ACAAGTGCTCGAGCAGATAACGATGCCGAGCCATGGGATTCTCACTGTTCCGGCTACGGCCCATAATACGGCCTTCCAGTGAACAGTCCTTATGGTTGGTGGCAGAAGCGATAATAGAACTATCGAGGACCTTCACAGGGTGGGTCGTATCGTCACTGCTGTGAAGGCCCCTATTAGGGGCCCCCTAACCACGTCGGCACCTGTAGGGGTTACGTCCACTGCCTCCTTCTCACGAGCCGTAGCGCTATTATCACATCTCTCGCCGCACACTACTTGGCCCTTGTATGAGCCCCTTCCGTATTCGTGGGTCTAAAAGGGTTTGGACGAACCTCGCTTGAAGATGCCGCCATGGGAATCTCATGAGAATCATTATAATGCTAAAGTCACCATCGGCCTTCCCTTTTCCCAACGAGAGAAGCTGAGCCATGGGAATCTCGTCAAAGGAGGCTAATGGAATCTACTAATCACAACTTCTCGTAAAATCTTGCTATTCTTGTAAATCTTGTAATTCCTCAACGCAAAATCAACAAGTGTCGCATAATCGCTCATCACACTCGTTAGGAGTTTTCCTTCCGACTCCTCCGTACCTTAAACGTCTTCCCAATGGGCCTCGACGAACACGATAACGAATTAATCTTCGAGACAAGGTAAGGGAGAAGGACTTTATGCAACTCTCCCACTATCAAATGATTTGCAGCTTTCACTGTTTGCCCTTTCAGCGAGGATGTACAAGTACTGGACAGCTTCGATGCTCTTGGCTTGAAGGAGGTGTGCCTCTAGGGGCGGCTCATCAGAGCTTTGCTTTATTTCCCCTTGGTCTCACTCCTCTGTCGTCGTATAGTCTATACAGGGGGAGACAAGGGGACGCTTTCTTTATAGGTATTGTTACAACGGGATAGACCGTATCTAAGGTCACCCCTGGCAAGATACAGAACATGTCCCTTTCAGGACCTACTTCGTGGCATCTACCAATACGGTTTCGAACGACCCTCTGCCGTCCAGCAGCGTGCCATTCTCCCTATTGTGAAGGGAAGGGACGTAGTGGTGCAGAGTCAGTCTGGTAAGCCTACTGTTAATGGTGAACCCCTCCTGGATGGTTTGACCTCAGGTACGGGTAAGACTTGTGTCTTCGCCTTGGGTGCCTTGCAAACTGTCAAGACCACCGAGAGGGACCCCCAAGTAGGCCTACGAATAGAAACTCCCTCGTGTCACTCTCCCCTACAGGTCCTCATCCTATCCCCCACACGTGAACTCGCGGAGCAAAGCCAAAAGGTTTGCCTGGCCCTTGGTGACTACATGAACGTCCAAGTGGGTTCGTCAGCCGACATATGAGTGGTGATTGTCTATGCCAACAGGTCCACTGCTGTGTGGGTGGTAAGAAGCTCACTGACGATATCCGCGCTCTGGAGGCTGGCGTCCATATTGTCTCCGGCACTCCCGGAAGAGTGTACCATATGATCTCCCAACGCCACCTCTCGACGAGACATCTCAAAATGCTGGTCTTGGATGAGGCCGATGAGATGCTCGATAGAGGGTTCAAGGAACAGGTGTGTCGTTACTATCATTACTATGAAGGCGATCAGAAGCGTCATAGGTCTACGATATTTACCGTTACCTGCCTCCTAGTACCCAGTGTGTACTGGTGTCGGCGACCATGCCCAACGAGATCCTGGAGATGACCAACAACTTCATGAATAACCCCTTCAGGTAGGAAGAGGCGAAGGTGTGGTATGATTTGTTAAATTGATTTATAGGGTTCTCGTGAAGCGTGATGAGTTGACGCTAGAAGGTATCAAGCAGTTCTTCGTCGCTGTTGAGAAGGAGCAGTGGAAATTCGATACTCTATGCGACTTATACGATACTTTGACCATCACACAGGCCGTCATCTTTTGCAACACCAAGCAGAAGGTGAGACATATCTTAGGTCCACCCTGCAAAGATTCATAACAGGTCGATTGGCTGACCAACAAAATGAGAGAGGCCAAGTTCACCGTTGTGTCCATGCACGGCGATATGCCTCAGAAGGAGCGTGATGCTATTATGCAGAAGTTCAGGTGAGCGCTCCTACTGAACGCTGGTGGCTCCATCTGATGCACTTTAGGTCTGGCCAGGCCCGTGTGCTGATCACAACCGATATATGGGGTCGTGGTTTGGATGTACAGCAGGTGTCTTTGGTCATCTGTTACGATTTGCCTAACAATCGTGAATTGTAATCGCAGCGGAGCGAAGCTTGTCGAATATCACCGTGTTGCAGGTACATCCATCGTATCGGCCGATCGGGTCGTTTTGGTCGTAAGGGCGTTGCTATTAATTTCGTAAAGGAGGATGACGTTAGGATCCTGAGAGATATCGAACAGTAGGTGGGCCGAGGCTGAGGAGCTTACAGGAGCTTCACTTTAGGTATTACTCCACGCAAATCGACGAGATGCCAATGAACGTAGCCGATCTCATCTAAGGAGCATCATCTGATGATCATTGGTAGTGAAGTAGAAGGGGACAGTCATCTCATTGTGTTTGAGTTGAAGCGGGCCAGTTGGGATGGTTGTAGTTGTTTTGATTGGACTTTCTCTGCAATGATCATCGAGCTGTGCGTGGGCCTCATCATAGGCATCGCTGTTGGCACTTACCAAGGCGAACGTAGGCCTATTGCTGCACTCTCCACTGCTGAGTGGTGATTCCCTTTACAGAATTCAAGCCCTGCTTCGACCCCTGTATCGAGCAGTCTAAAGTCGTCAAGGACAAGGTCGTAGGGAAATATCAACAGTAGGGCTATCGCGTTACATCCATATGCGGCTGAGTTTTCGTTGATGGTCAGATTTCGAGATTCCCGGGCGACTCATCATTAGGGTGATGCTTATAGGACCTCTTGGTTGTTATATAAGTTTCTCTATCTCTGCGGTTGTTGAGTGCCATAATGCATTGGGAAGTGGCTCGAGAGTGGTAGCAGAGGCTAACGAAACAACGCTATAGTAGTCAGTCGATTGAAACTTGCAAGATTCGTCAGAGGCGTGGTAAAGAGGAACCACCGACCACGGGCCAGTCTGGGGAGGATGTTCTCTCCCAAACAGAACCTGATGACGATTCCGAATGGGACGGAGGACGAGGTGGAGCTCTAAGCAAAACGTGACTTCCCATTGTCTCTTCCATTGTAGAGAGGCCAGCGTATGATCATGAGCTGTTACCGAGGAAGGCAAGAGATGAGCTTCCTGCCGATAAACCAATGAGTGATAGAGTCCTGGGGTATGACCGGGAGCATGCGTCACCCTTTCCAGGAAGCAAGCTGAAGAACCTGAAAGTTCGAGGCTTCTGGGCGGTCGTCATGATATCAGGCTTCTTCCTCATAGTTGCCATGGGCCACTTCTACTGTTCACTATTGGTAGTCTAAATCCTCTGCCACAGAGGGCCATGGTCCTCAATAGGTCCTCGGTATTGCTGCAGGGATGTTCCAGGAAATTTGTATGTTGAAGCGCAACAAGGAGAAGGACCTTAAACTGCCGCTTTTCTACTCTTTGCGATGGTACCTATTTTTTGTCACTATTTTTTATGGGTGATCGCCACTACCAGCCTCCCTATTCTTGAGCGATCCATGCTCAGATACAAGCGTTTCATGAGCGACAGATTCGACCGGCTAGCGATGGTCTACCCGAGCATTCACTTCATCGTAAAGTACCACGGCATCATCTCGTACACCCTCCTGGTCATGGGCCTCGTCGCCTTCGTCCTCACCTTGCGGAAGTGTGTCCCGCATGTTTCGATTTGAGATTTTACACCGGTCCTTCGTGAGGTACACACTTCGCTATCAATTCGGGCAGCTGGCCTGGACCATCGTCACCCTTCTTACAGTCGTGGTAGCAGGTGGGGCCCCTGGTATTTGATACACTCGGGGTCCTGGGCAGGTGCAGGGCATCGCTATGACGGCTAACGTCTACAATGGGCTCATCTGGTTCTTCTTGTCGACCTCTGTAGTCATAGTCAATGACATATTCGCTTACCTATTTGGATCCTTCTTCGGATGTGGGACACTCTGCTGCATGCCTTGGAAATAGCAATGTTCAGATCACCCGCTTATCAAGCTGTCGCCTAAGAAGACCTGGGAGGGCTTCATCGGTGGATCCATTGCGACAATGATATTCGCTATGAGTAGCAGGCTTTGGGGACGAGCTAGGTTAGTCTTATTTTATTCAGTCTGGTGTTCCGTCCTGCAGCAGTACGAATACTTCACATGCAAGCAGGAGGAGATAGTCTTCATGCCCTTTGTCTACCCTACTTGCACCCCTGATGATATGTATACTGTCCACCGAACGTAGGCTACTACTACTACTACTACTACTACTACTACTACTACTACTACTGTACAGGTATACTATCCCTCTATTGGGAATAGAGTTACACCTCACTGATATGCAGGTCCATGCCTTAGTGGGTCTTCTCATCCCCTCTCCCCATCAGTCTCCTTCCTTCCAGGTCCTGGGGAGTTTCGCATCGTTGGTGGCACCATTCGGTGGATTCCTCGCATCCGGGTTCAAGCGTGCCTTCAAAATCAAGGACTTCGGAGACTCTATCCCGGGCCACGGCGGGCTCACTGACCGTTTCGACTGCGAAGTGAGGTGTGGCTCGGTCTCGCCTGTGGATACCCCTGCACAGGTGGTGATGGGCATGTTTACTTATGTTTATCTTTCTAACTTCGTCGTTGGCGATAGTGCTACTGCGTTCACTAATCTGCTGGAGAGGGTCATGCAACTAACAGATGAAGAACAGCTCCAGCTGTAGTACTAGTGCTATCTGTTCTAAGGAGGATACCACAATTTTCGCAGATTCGATCTCATAGGGGACGGACTGAAATCTAGAGGGGTTGTCAGAGGCTAACAGTAGGATGACAGCTCCAGTGTGTGCCGATTCTCAACGAACTTTTTAAATTCAATGATTTTATACAGCTTTTTTGCAGACTCTGTGTGGTGTTAGTCAATCGAAGTTGGCTGAGGTCTTCTGCCCTATAGTGACGACGATGTACTTTCTAGAGCAACCGCCGCGCAGGACAGCTTCTCCTCCGATCGAGTCTTTAGACCAAACAACGCTTCCAGATGGGCTCAACTCTGTACTGAACAACTCGTCGTCAATCGTACCGTAGTGATTCTATAGGGACCGTTCGCTAGCTGCGTTTTCTTCGGACTGCATAGTCAGCCTATAGAAGAGGTCTCGAGAGATCTGAACTGGTCCAAGCCCTACGAGGGGGTGAGATCGAACTACAACCGGGGATGGGAGTAATCGGTAGATATCTGGAGAGAGGCGTGAGGGGTCCGAGTCCACGGCAGCAGAGCCAAGGGAGTTCCTGTTGGGTCTGCCAGCGCCGGCCTGTGGGTATGCAGTGAAGGAGCAGGAGAACAGTTTGATGGCGAATCGCCACGGTGGTGACGGCAACTGCATCCTCTCGTTCTCCAACTGTTGCTGTCAGCGGCAACAAGGCCCCTCGTGAGACCTACTGTAGACGAATTCGAAGCAGGGAAACTAACTGACCGGCTAGCCTTCCTCATGGAGAAGCGGGGTCATCAGACAATGGTAAGTAGCATGTTCGCATCAACTGCTACTACTGAGTCACCTCAGAGAGACCCCGACTGTCCGTTCATCCTCCTTATCGTTGCCCAAGGTAGTTGGCTGCCACCCTTTATAAGGCAGAATGAGCCGAATACGGGAACTATGTGAGCCTGTGCCAGTGGGTTGAAACCTTCCACGGTGAGTTGTAGATACAGCCGATGCATTGATGGTGAGCCCAATGGAGAGTCCGTGAGACTCGCGAGGGGACCGTCTGGCAGGTAGAATCATAGGAGTCGAGGATGGTAGCAGGGGCATGCCGATAGACAGTGAGGATGGACACACCAGCATTCAGTGTCATACTTCCATCATTGGTGGTGACACGCTGTTCATTGGACCATGTTACGTCCTGCTGTGTGACAGGTTTGTGTGCTCGGCTCGTTGGGCTGTCCCCCAGGCTCATACGTAGAAGAGCACAGTCGATCGAGGTTGACTGCAGGTTGCTGCAACTGGCTGGTGCTGGCCAAGGGGAGAGTCCTGCCATAGAGGGATTTGGTAGGAACACTACGCCCTCCGTCACAGGTCGATTCCGGCTACCATCCTTTGAGGAACTTCTTGTCTTGCCTGATGGCAGTAGATTCAGCAGTTGGTAGTGTGTAGTTACAGCGCTTCGTTTTCTATAAACGCAACCCGATCGGCAAAGTCTCAAAGATTGACGTTTTCAGCGACGGTCGTCTGCGAGATGATCGAGATACTACGGAGAGCCAGAGAATCAGCAACGGGGGTCCTTGGGGAGGGGCGGGCATCGGCAGCGGCCTATACCATAATTCGACATAATCTCCTTGGATCCGTAGAAGGGATAGAGAGTGCTTCTTGCATGTTCGACCGAGTCTGGTGCTCAGGCTGCCATAGTACGGCTTCGATGGAGGGTTGACGATTGGCTTAAATCTAGTCGAGGACTGCGGAGGAGTCCTCATAGATATATGATTGTATCCCACAAGTACCCGTCGGCTTGCCGATGACACCACCTTCTACGTAATCTGCGTAATGCTGCACCTCTCGGCGGATGGTGCCTATTGATCATGCTTAATTGAAGTATCGCAACGTTGCTTTGTTCAGCTTTAACTGTCCACGGTATGACTCTCGAGAGCTTGTGTTCGTAGTTCGGTAGTTTTGCTCACCACCAACACGCTGCGTGGGTCATCATTGTATTCTACAATTAGAATACAATTAGATTACAGTAGTCGTATGTAACGCATATTGCGATTAGTCTACACTGTAGACTCTACAGGTCCAATCCCATAGACAGATTGGACTTGAACAGTTATTTCGTTCTGTCGTCTAAACTCTAGCTAGTTATCAAAAGCTATATACACTCAACTCGGTGAAACTAGATGAGCAGAGTGATGATATCTACGCGGTGTTGGATACAGGACATGTGTTCGGGGGTGCGGTGGAGAGAGCTCAGTCACATGACCGTCCCAGCGAGAGGGGCTTGTTTTAGGTACACTTTAGCGTGTAGCATCAGTTAGGCTGACGATAGTTACAGTTACGACTGTGGTTCCCCTCGTCCTACGGTCTCAAAGGTCGTTCAATTTACCAACTGATGGAATTTTTTGGTGGAGCCAGTTTGTCACTGAGCCTCTGATCCTCGAGGACCAACGTGTTTCCCATTGTGCTACTGGGGCAGCAACAGCTCATACCGCGTGACTTCGTATCGACCACTATAATAATGGAACACAGAGCGTAGCGCATAGAAATCTTGGTAATCAGTCAAATCGATCGCCCGCAATGACGCGAGAAGCCAGCTGCTCGCCCGACGTCTCAGCAGGATCGGAGGAGTCCGGCAGAATTTCCTCTTCCGGGAATATGTACGGCTGAACGTCGAGCGTATCATCGTCCAAATCGATCACGTTCCCAGTAACTGGAAAGAAGACTGTCATTGGAGTATAAAGCGAGCACCCACGGTTAGACTCCGCAGAAGGAGGTCGAATCTTCTTTGGTGAAGGAGGAGTCGGGATGGGGCTCTTCGATCGTCCTAGAGATACGGAACGTCTCGAACAAAGTGAAATTTAGTCCTACGCCCTTCGGACGTTTTTGAGGGTCCACTGGGCGGAGTACTCTCTGCCAGTTGACTTGCAGTCTTGTCTCGAACAGAGGAGCCCCTTACAAAATGAAGTTCGTTCTCTCCTTTCCCACACTCTCACCTCTCAACACGATCTTCATTGATAATATCGGTCTCGACTTCCCTTCGTCGACGGAATTTCTTCTGTGGAGGATGGTTTCCTTCTGAAATTCTCAAAAATGTTACTGCAGGCTCCGACAAGTCATACTCACTTCCGGATTGACGTTTCCAGACGCCAGTGGACGGACATTTAAACCACCAATCGCCGTCCGGGCCCTCCCACATCTCCTCCGCCACAAAAACAGCAGCTTGTTCGCCATCAGCAGCGGAGCACTCATCTTGCTTCCCCCATTTATCCTCTTCGGCGGCGTCCGAAGGCCGTTTCGACCCCCTCCCCCAACCTGTTGATTGTCCCCCTCCATCATCCCATTTCCCACGTGGGGAGTAGCTCGGTTTTCGATCGGTCCACCATCCATAGCCCTCGTCACCACGTCTCCACCGATTCCGACCGCCGTAAGAAGAGCCTCCATCTTTCCTCCACCACTTCTCTTCCTCATCCTTCCACGAGTCGGTATCGTCCCCACGCCAGTTACCAGTCTTCTTCCACCAGTCCTTATCGTTCGACCTACAACACAGTAGACCACAGCAGTCCAGCAAACAGTCGTGTACTTCCAATCGTCCTCTTCTTGTTTCTGGTCGGGTTTCCTCCGCCAAATGATCTCGTCATCCACCTTTTTCCATGTGGAGGTCAGCGCATCGTCGGTGACAGCACCCTCATCGTTATCGTCGTATCTACCAGGACCAGCTAGGTGAACCAATGGAACTGACTCTACTGCTGAGTGTAGTCCGGCTGCTCATCAGCCAGATCCTCTCCCGCCTGAGGTACATCACACTCATCGCCGCACTTAACCGTGCCGACCACGAGATCCTGAACATGATCGCTTCAGTATTGTGAGCTGCAACGACGCGGCGACTAACATCCTCGGGCTTGGTCCCCAGATTGACGGGACCAGTCGGCACTTCACGTAGATCTCCCTGTTCCTGCGAAGCCAGCAGCTGATCAATAACAGCATAAAAAAAACTTCCCCAACTCGTGCTCACACTGCCCAGGTTTAATGCGCATCTCTTGGGACGGCTTGCCTCTTCAGCGGCCTCTTTCCGCTTCGCCACTTGCCGTTTTATCATTCTCAAGATCCTCCGTGCCATTCTGCGGACTTCTATAGTGCTGGCTTCCTCTCCAGCGATTTCGCCTATACCATCAACATAGGGAGCTCATTATATATTCGCCATCTCACTGAAGTCCTGCAAAGCCTGCAGCCCTCGAATGTTTCTCGGGTGCCTCTTCCAGGCGTTGTAGTCATCCACTGGCATCGCTGTAAGTTCAAGAGCCTCCCACTGTTTCAACAGCTATCATGGAAAGAAGCGTGCGCATTGTGAAGACTAGCCTGCGGCTCACTCCAATACGCTTCTCATTTGTTATGTCAATTTCGTTGTCTGGTGCGTCGTCACTGACAGGGTTCTCAGTCTCGCCAGCATTCACTGCCGTCGACGCGTCGCTTACCCCTGCACAAACCGCTTCTGGTAGTTGTACATGGAATGTCACTCACTCTTCTTGGGCGAGCTTGCCCGCTTCTTAGACCCCCGCTTTTTCCTACTGCCAGTTTTCGACTTCCGGCTTCCGGGTTTACGGACCTCCTCGTCGCCGTCGTCGAAGATGCAGACCGACACCTTGGGAGGAACAACAGTCCAGAGAGGAGCACCAAGCTGAGCTCCATCGATGGGCCCACCTGTATAATTGTATCCTGCGACGTGGAGTACACCACAGTGCTGTCCACATTCACTTGGTAAATGAGGCTCCTAGGCCCACACAGGACGGAGGAGCCGCTCAGCTTGACGAGATGGAAGTCTTCAGGACTCGTGTTCGTGCTGATATAAACTGCACAAAAAGAGAAGTCATTGTTCTTGGGAGTGCCTGCCAGGTAACGTACAGATTCCTTCAGAGGAGCTCAGGAAAAGCTTCTCCCCCTCCCATACATGAAACTTGACGCCTGTCAGTGTGTTGTCTGAGTGATAAAAACTATGCGATGGTCCGAACGTAATAATGAGGCCGACAGGATGCTACCGATCGCTGCCAGCTGTTCGCAACGGGCGGATTGCTTAACAGTGGGAGAGTCTGCGGCAGGGCTCGACCGAGTGGCGACTTCATCTGTCGTTGTCTCTAGTAGCCACTGGAAGATAATTCTGAGGGGATCGAGACCATCACTGGGCAGACAACCCGATGCGAGGACCTACATCTTGCCGTCCTCTGAAAGAGCTGCCACTCGATAGCGTTGCTCATCGTGGCTCTGTTCGCTCACTGAACAGCACTTCTCGAAAATGAGGGCACTGGGCAGAGCTGAAATTGTGAGGGAGCCGACACGATTGGATTTGAATTCGACTCCGCCGTTGCTACTTCGACCTACTGATATCCAGTACCTGACAGTGATGGGTTATGATTCATCCGCTTTTCAACCAAGAGTGGTAACGAACCGGTAATTGATTCGCTTGAAGCGACCAACAATCACATGGGAACTCACAAGAATAGAGTCGGTTGCCCATCGCCGCTTCGACTGCCAGACAAGGCCACCAAGCCTTCTTCAGTGAGGGAGGCTCCCTTCAAAGGGCTATCAGAAGACTTCACAGGGGCCACAGTCGACGGGGCGCTAGTGCTGCTGATGCATTGAGTAGTGACGCTGGAGATGGAGTGTAGACCAGGGAAAGGGTTCGAGCTCAGCAACTGCCCGTTAACCGCATCAAATGCCTGTGAAAACGATACGATGTCACCGCGCTAATGACGAGGGTAGTCCTACATGTACGGTGGTCTCCTGGTCGCATTTCCCAACACATAGTAGCGTCGACTCAGTGAGCTGCTCCACAGAGCCTAGCGGTAGTTCTACGTCCAGCATGACCTCAACAGGACATGGGAATCTGAGTGAGTGTCACCCTTGAGGCACTTGGCATTCACAACCGTACCCGGGCTTAGGGAGAGTCTTGACCACACACCACCCGGAATTCCAAATGCAAACCCGTCGGTTGTCACTCAACGTTATCATCATCAACTCATGGGATTTCTCCTCTAGAGGCTTCGGCAATGGTATCTGTTCGAGACTGCGGTTGTGCTGATGTACATGGCTACCGTGGAGAGGGCCCGAGTTGCACTCGAAGACAGCTCTAAGTCAACAGCTGAGAGCTGATGGCCTGCGATGTAGAGAAGCTTCTTATTGTCTGTACTGAGGCATGCAGTCGATGGTTGCCGGGCTGATTCGAAGGACACTAGTTGCCGCATGGGAGGGAATAAAAAACTACCCATCCACTGAGTGAGCAGGCTTACTCGTAAAGAGGCTATGGACTCCCGTATCATACGTCGCTCTCGACATGACAACGGCATCTCGATAAGCAGTCATGGCGACTCTACACAGCTTGTGCTACTTGCTGGTCATACATTACTCAATCTTCTCAAAGGGAATATTCCGTAGTGGAGAAGACGGATTAAATGTGACATGCAGGATATCATTATCGAGAACGCGGACGGCTCTCATCTGGAGGCACCCAACTCGATTTCAGTCCAAGTGGAGCATCAGCACTTCACTTTTCTCCTGATCCTATGCTAAGGTTCGCCCTGGGAGCTTGCGAGCTATCATCACTCCAGCCAAACCGCATACAACTATAACGCAACACTACCCCTCACCTCAACATGGAAGCGTCAGAGCGAACTTGGCCAAAGGATCATGGCCTTCCATCATGCCTCTGGCTCTATCCGTGAACTCACTACTGTGCATGGGTCTGAAGCCCTGCTGCAGCCTTCCAGAGGCTTGCATCTCCCTAGCTAACCACGCTGATTGGTCGGCGCGTATACCCTCAACCGTCCGTCCTCCTCCTATGGAGCGCACCTGCTCATACTAAGAGCCATCAGTATCGCTCATTCCTACCTGCCCAGTTCCCCCCATATGCCAGGACCGGCGCTGTGCCTCTCTGGCCCTCACAGTTCCTTCGGTTTCTATGTGGAATCGAATCTTCTCCCTATCATCTCCACCGGTGACACATCCCTTCACGAGCCAGAACCTCAGACAAAGGGCCTGAGCAGTCACCATGCTTTCTGAAAGGGCTCCTTCCCCCCACCTGGAGCAGACGTATCAAGGACATGTCATCTTCACACTGGTCCTTGGGCATCTCCTTCAACTCTGCTCGCCATGATGCGAAGAACTCTCGCCTCGTGATACTGTCATCAATGATCGCAGGGAAGACTACCACCAATGGGTCCTCCAAGCTGCCTGTATACGCCGAGCCTGCCAAAGAAAGCCTTCAGACATGTGGTTGGAAATGTAGCTAGTGACCTACTCTCAGTCAAGAGCGCCGCCGCATAGGAGTCCCGTTCTGACTTGGTACGAGTAGTCAGGAGGCAGTAGAGACGATACAACTGAGCCATCTCGGCCATGTAGAGAGGACAGACGTAACCACAGTCTGGTAGAAGACACAAGCACTGCAGCTGCTCTGTGGATGGCTTATTCCCGATCTTAATGGTCATCTTGGATTCGGCAAGTGGCCCTGTAAACCTATGGATAGTGCCTCAGAGCCCGCAGGATGAGGTCAAGAGCCTACAGCCGCCTGAGACCAGTGATAGTCCTGTTCATGCCCTGCACATCCTCCTTCCACTCAACGCTGCCGCCATGTAGTGCCACCTCCCGACTGTAACCACCCGTCGAGCCTAGTATCTTATACACTACCAAATGTCGGTCAGTGTCGCTGATGCAGTACACATATACGTCGCATTGCAAGTTACCTCGTTCGCTGGTATGAGAGTCCAAGCCACAGAGACATCCATCGGAGTGCTAGTCTTCGGCCCTTCAGTCTCAGCCCGAACCGTGACCAGCACATCAACTAGGAGGCACAGGCCACTCCGGTCGATCGAGGGGGGCAGACGAGGCAGATGCAGCATCAATGGGAACTGCTTATCGACGATCCCTGGGGCCTGTCACAAGAGTCATCCTACCGAGGCCTGGTCCTCCACTCGCCACATGGCCGGTTGCCTAGTGTCCACAACATAATCTACCTCCCAGGACGAGGCCCCGGGCACGAATATACCCAAAGGCTTCGAGTACCTACCCATACCTTGGACCCGCAGTCCACAATGAAGATACTCCTACCATGTGAATCTTAGTCTACGAGCCTCGCATGGTATGCTTGGCTCTACACCCTGCACGCCCGAAACAGTGAGGGACGCCAAGGAGCGCCTCAACTTGTGAGCCTCTGTGCCATGCAGGACTGCCCTTGCCATATCCCTTCGAAGCCTCAGAGGGGACCATCTCGAAGTAGCGACCTTCTTTTCCACCACACTGCTAAAGAAGGCCGACCACCTCCTCGGCGGACCAGGGCCTCCCTCAGGAGGGAGTTCGCTCTTATCCAGATTGAACTCGCTGGCTCGAGGCATCTCCACTTTACTTCGCTCCAACAGGAACGCTGCAGCCAGCATGGGATCAGTCGAAAGCAAGCCACTGGCGGCATCCATCCTAGTGCTGCCCAGAGGGGCCAGGAGGGTCCGGGAGAGGATACACTCGAGTGGAAGACTAGGAGCCAGCCGACAAGACGACGGGAGCTTCCTAAAGGCCGCTGCAGCCTCGAGAATTCTGACAGGACGGGTGTGTCGCAGTTTGTACTTCGCGAGAGCCAGGTTCAAATCCTGGTCAGTTATTTTTCCACCCGATAGCCATTCCACGAAGCCATCTAGGAACTCGCCCACGTCCACCTCCCCATCACCGTTGATATCTGCATCGTTAAATAGGAGGGAGATCTCAGCCCGGATCAATTTGACAATGGCGTCCTTCGTGATCTTCTGGATGAACCTCTGGAACTCTCCCAAGTCGAGACTTCCAGTAGAATCATCATCAAAGTCATGGAAAATATTTTCGAGCGCTCCCACAAGTGGATTCGCTTGGCCAACAGAAAACCAGTCGAGCTCGATCAGCATCACAGGGGCCATCAACTGAACGAACTCCTCCTTGGTTACCTCCGTCGTTCCTTCCGGGTTCATTTCCAACTGCCTTACCCAAAGCGCCAAATGCCTCGGGTCTAGATTGGTCGGAGAGCCCACAGCGATCAAGCAACTACGGAGCTCTCGGGAATCGATCGTAGAGGAGTTGTTCTCGTCGAATATGTCGAAGAGCTGCTCCAAAGGCGCCCGCAGAGTTCCCTCGAGCAAAGCACGGCGGACATACAGTGCTGAGGCCACCTCAGGCCAAGGACGACGCCCTAGGCCTATCAGGAAGAACTCCGCTTCAGCAGGGCTCACACTAGCTAGAGCAGCCAGTTGGGTGGGATGGATGCCGCTGTCGAGGGCCCAGAACTGGGCAGGGTCCGCAGAGACTACACGACCAATAGGAGTGTACATGTGATGGTCAAGAAAGTACTCCATAAGAAGGTAACGTCGCCACCTTAGGAGGCTTACCCGGCCGGGACCGTACGCGGCGTCTTCCAAAGACCGGCAGACGAGATGCATCTGGAAGCCAGGAACCTATGGCATCACCGGAGTCGTTATTGCCCACCTCCTCCTGAGTCAGCCTAGCATGGTTCATGACTCCCATCCCTTTCAGCAACCTGATGAACTCCTCCGTAGTAACCCACTGCATAGCCCCAGGAAAGGCAGCTCCCTGATGAAGCCTGTGAGAGCAACGACATCAGTAATATGGCACGCCACATAAAGCACTACGCCCTCTTCCCCTCGAGCTCCGCCAAGGCCCAATCGATCGATCTCACCACACGCCTGTGCGCCACAAGCAGCCTCCTTAAGCACTCCTGCAGTAACTCGTCTCCATCAGCTGAGAGGCTGTGACTCGATTGTACGGAAGGATGGAATGACGTCGGATCCATATTATGCCAGAATAATTCCGTGTGAGAAAATATGCACATGGTCAACCACATGTGTCGCCGATGATATGAAACTTGTGAGGAAATTTCGGGAAATTCTCATTGGTTTCTGTACATTTTCACCCCACTTCGTATATATGTAGATCTCTATGATAAGCGAGGAAATTTCCGAGCTCAGTTGAAGAAAGCGAACATATATTCCAACACCGGAATAGCTACACTGTATATCACTGCGAACCCACTAAGGCGTAACATACAATCGTTAGAGACCCCTCACAGCACAAACGGGAGCCTCCCTATGTGATCGTTGATATCGCACGGGTTCATGCCTTGGCAGCTCGTTAGGGCGCAGTGGAAGCCAAACTGACGACAATGCTTCTGTTTCGTTTTAGGAGCCTCACCAATTCAAAAAAACCGTTGGGCCATCTACAAAGGATCGACGGGGACGTTCTAATTCAAAAACTCGACCGCAGCCTCGCTCCGCGTGAGCCATGAGCAAAATCGCAGTGATGTGGAATTGATAACATAACTCAACATAAAAACTGAGTTATTCACTTCGTATTATTCAACTCATTCTGGCCCTTATACTCAACAACCAGCTCGTCCCGTTTAAGTTTCATCGGCACCATCGATATACCAGCCAGGGAGAACATCAACCTTCCAGCTTGCATAGACGGCGACTGACGAGAACAGTGTCGGAAAATATATTTGCTCTCCTCAGCTTAGCTCAGGAATTTCCACACTGATTAAAGGAGTTCATATACGAATGAAAAAGCTTCCCGAAATTTCCTCAGAATTTTCATACTGTCACCAACACATGTGGTGGACCATGTGCATATTTTCCCACACTGGATAAGAGTGAACCCTTCAATGAGTCGCTCACAAATTCAGTGCTTCGAGTCACGGAATCATCGAGTGACCTATCATGTCCTCGGATTCGAATTTCTCACATGCCTAGGAGCACATTCTTCAATCAGTTTCCCATGTGAATGATTCTCCCATTCTTATCAAACCCTGGGGAACATTATTTTTCGAGACCCGAGCACAGTCTGTGATAATACCACTCCCTCAGTACATCCTCAAGTGCCCCGTCCTCGAGCTCATCAGCTACATATGCCACCCGACGTATGCCGCTTTGGACCTGGAGCGATGAGCATCCACTGATGGGCTCACACTGAGAGGAGATCTACTATGAATTTGGCACATTCGCAACATGGGAAGGCCGTCGCGTATATCCGGCAGTCTCGGACGGAATGCTGATTCTTATTCATAATGGCGTTGATAGTTGCATGACACATATACATGTGCCTGCCGGGAATCGAACCCGGGTGCCGCGATATGACATCTACTTCTCCTGAGCTTTATCCTCATGATGAGAGGCCCATGGCAGATCCTTATCTGCTATTCCTCGGGGCATCCCGTTGTATCTACCACCACACTTCATTTAACACCACTCATTCACCAGCTGCTCACCCGACAGCAACTATCCTGTTCTGGTCATTGACTATGACGACCCCTCCTCTACTCTCACGATCCTTACTACGCATGGCCGTTAGAAAAGCGACCGACATGAAGTAACTGCCACTATAATCTACGACTCAGTGGAGCTTTTCGAATACCACAACTCGTATTACTCGTCCCACTGGAGGTAGTCCGATCGAGGCGCACTGCTGCCCTGAGGATCACAAGACATTTAACTGCTGAGAATTGGGTTGAAAAACTGCTACAAGCCACTCAGCTTTCCCACCCCACCCTTCCGATGTGACAACAAGACACCCACACAGCTAAGCACAACCTGATGAATACCTTCGAGAAAAGCTGTAGTGATATAACAGTAATCTGACAATCAGTTTCAATGGTGTTTCTGCTCAGTCGGAAGTGCTTTTCAAATTGTACCTGCGTCCATCAAATCGTAACAAGGAAAATATATTCCGTTACCAAGTCCTATGCAAATTCTTCTTCCTGAGTGTTACGGATACCCGCTTCCCTCTAGACACTCTATGTTTGCATCCCTCTGGTACTATCTCAGCATTGAGAGTCGGGATCGATAGAATAACTCGCCAGCCATCAGCTGCGTCCGCCCATCTGAGGAACGCCGGTGCTGCACTTGGCAACTGCATAAGTAGAATCTTACAGGTCGAATCCAGTAGCTGTGAATTTACTATGAACTTCAACCGAGTCATCTTCCAGCGCTGCCAGCAACTGCGGGTCCTCTGAGACGACACTACACTGACAGTCCTCATCATGGGATCCCACCTGTGTATACCTTGACCTTCTCCTCATCGTCAAACCAGCTGTACTGCTTCACCGTCCTCTATACGAGCACTCTTCCAGTTAGTCGTGTACTATGCAGTATTACCTTTTTCATCACATTCCTAGGCTCAGGCGACAGCGATCGTGCAATCAACTCGGGCTGGCCACCGGTGATCAGACCCGGACCGGTCACCTGCAACACCCAAGCATAACAACAGAGAGCACAACCGAGACCAGCGTGGGAAAATATGCACCTGGTCAACCACATATGTTGGTGATAATATGGAAATGCTGAGGAACGTTTCCGAGTTTATCGTAGACTCCTGTACATTTCTACCCGAATTCGCACATAAAGTTCTATATTTAGGGAGTAAACTCCTAATCTCAGCTGAGGGAAGCGAGCATATATTCTGAGTCAGAATATATCAGTTCGGGGTTACAAACCCGAACCCGAACTATCAGAATATGTCAGAATTTCTGACACCGCCCGAAACTCTTCACCACTCACAACTTTAGCATCCGGAGGAACGTGGAAATCTCGAGAGTGCGCGTAGTAATATCTGAACAACACAACGCTACACGACTGGACCGATCAGCAGCTGATAAACTTACGATTTATCACCCTTTTCGGTCAAGGACTTCCTGAGCTTGCTATCTAACCGTTTCATAGCGTCGCTCTCCTCACTGCTCATACTGCTGCTGCTATTCCCCACTGGCACAGCCTTGTACGGCGACTCACTCTCCGGAGATGATGATGATGATGACATTACTCTACTACTGCTTTCTTGATGACCACAATCCACTTGCACGTGAGAACAGCGATAAGGCTAGAGTGGACCAAGTAGCGTCCACGATGGACAGGGGAAAAGGACAATGCAAACTGCAATCAAATCGTCTTGGAAACCTCCTCGTCGGATTCACAATATACTACACAACAAAGATTACTACAGAAACTCTTTTGTTATTGAGATTTTTAAATACTACTACCTCCTACAGCACTCGAATAGCAATAAATAACGATCAATCATTACTCCCCACACAGGCAACGAAACGGAAGACCGATGATGCTATCACTGATTTGTGACGAGCACCAGCGATACAACTACAACTACTTAGCAAAAATCAAAATCCTATCGGTAGCACAAACCGATATCAAGATTGTCATAAAGTCAATGGAGAGCACTCTCCAACACAATGATGAATCACAACATCATCGAACCTCGATAAGCTAACGAGCTACTAACGAGGCATGCCGCCCGCACTTCCTACATTACGGCGGCGAGTACAGACACATAGCAAACCATGGGTCCACACGAGGAAGATACAGATGATGATAATAATGATAGTTCGAAATCAATAGTTGAGAATAAGCCAGACTACATCCTTCTACCCAGAGTGTGGTCTTGATTATCATCTCGATTACTGTAGCGGGCTATTGCCGTTAGTAGCTGAGCGAACAGTCTCCAGCCCATGCAGATCTACGGATCAACTCACCAGTCGAGCTCAGGTCACTTCCATTAGTCCCCGTCATAGAATCCGTCCCAGAAAACCCTGAAGGCAGCTGACATCACAAAACTCCATACGCAAGGTCTTACCGGCACCCTGGGGAGTGTAAAGCTGTGGCGCAGACCCTTGCTGTTGTTGTTGATGCTGATATACAGCGGGATGCCCCATTGACCTCTGCTGCTGTTGATTCTGTAGTAGATGATGATAGCCATGAGCAGGGGACATCACTCCACCAGGTGGAACGTACCTATTAGCAGTTCGATAGTCAAAAACTCTTCAGCTGAATCTTACCCGCTGTTCTGTTGTTGAACCACTGGACTGTTGTTGGTATAAGCATTATTGCCAGTCCCAACGCTACCATTCCCCTGGTTAAGCCCGTTGTTAGAGCCGTACCTGCACCCGAGCACTTACAAAAGAGCACATCTTGTCCGTAGTACCCAGTAAGAGGTGATTGATGATGATGAAGATTATGACCACCACCAGCAGCAGCAGCAGAGCCCTGCATGCCGTAAGCATTACCATAGTGCGTGTTTGCCATATAGTGCTGCTGCTGCTGTTGTGGTGGTGGTGGAGGAGCAGTTGCCATACCCCATCCTCCGGTACCTAGGCGTCCACATAACTACACACAGCACTGCATCAACAGCTGCTGCTTACCCCGACCACTTCCGGGCATATATTGCCGCACTATCCCCCCCTGCATGAATTTACTAGGACCAGTACCTTCCCTAGTAGAAGGCTTCACCTCAACCTATGCACACGATGCATGATGCAAAACAGCACAACACAACGCCTTCTATATCAGCCCACCCATTTGCCGTCAATGGTATTGCCTTGGCCGTCCATGCCACCCTGTATAGCCGCCTGGGCCTCAGCTGGCGTCTGGAAAGTTACATACCCAAAACCACGAGAGCGACCACTGGTGCGATCAACTCTGCTCGAAAACAATACACCACAGAGTACTGGAGTAAGTCCCTTCCTACTTGACGATGCAATCAGTGATGACTCCATATCTCACGAAGTGCTGCCTGAGCCTTTCTGAAGAGATGATGAATCATCACGAGCCCTCCCAGACGCCGGCCAGTCCTCACCCCGATCGACCGTTGCAGGCAGCCCTCCACAGAAGACTTTACATGGGTTATCCTGCGGCAGCAGACCACCATTGCCGAGTCCAGCCGCCCCAATGGGTCCGAACCCTCCCATAGGGGTCTGGCCAACACCTCCTCCTCCACCAGGCATCATATGCTGCATCACCCCCACAACCGAATTAACGCCAGGATTCACCGGCTGCCGTAGAGCCGCCTGCGCTCGTATTTCCTCCTGCGACACGGCTCGTTTTACATCAACCGTCTTGTCCAGTAATATGTGCGAGTTGGGATACGATAAACACGACTGAAGACAACAGCAATGCCGATCACCCAAACGAACGTCTTACTCACTTCCAGGTCTTTCACATTGACAAAAGTGATGAACCCAAAACCGCGACTGCGGCCTGTGAGCTTATCCATCATCACCACGCTCTCCTCCAATGGACCAAACTGGCTGAAATAGTTCCACAAAGTTTGTCGGTCTACCAAACTCGGCAAGCCACCAATGAAAAGCTGCAATGAAAGGAACTCTTCGTTCATGACAGATCACAACGACTTGCTTACCTTTCTCTCCGTTACATTAGGATTGAGCGCATTGCTAATGTTGTTCATATTAGGGCGACCAATATTGTCCCCTGCTGTATAGTCCCTCATGCCAACCATGAAATTCTGCATTCCACCACCTTGCTGCGCCAACACCCCAAAGTCTTGCTGCTGTAACTGCTTCCCGTTACCACCACCAACTACAACGACAAGACGCATCACGGCGCTCGCTCCCTATCCAGCCTAGGCTTACGGGATGCCGCAACTGCCGCCGCCTGATGCATTGCCATTGCCTGTTGCTGACGGTCATGATGTAACATAGCGTTAGACTGGTGCCTTACTACACCAACGGACGTACCAAACTCGGGTATACTCGTAATGCCAGAGGCCACTGTGGGAGCCATCATAGTGTTATTCCCAGCTGCCAACGGGGTCGCTCTAGAGCTAGTTGAGGACATCTCGGGGGTGTTAGCGGCAGTACTAGAACCATTAGTAGCAGAGTAGTAGCCTTGAGCACTCTTTTGCGAGCGGGTTACTGCTAGTTCAGGAGTGGGAGGATTATAGCTGAAAATGATAGTCACTACTTATACCATAAATAACAACACTTACTCATTTCTTGGAGTTGTCATACTTAAATTTGATATTACTGCTGTTACTCTGTTATTGTTAGTACTATATAAGCTTTACGGCGATTCTAGTGATCAATACAAACGAAGATGTAACTGCTGCTGTTGCTGCTGTCTACGAGATTGCCTAGAGCTGGACTAACCTAAGGAGGTAAGCCAAGACAGATGAGCGCAATCAAACTGACACAGACAACGGCTTCCCTCTTTTGAAGCACTCAACGCAAATCCAATGTACAACACAGTGGGAATGGACAAAAGTCCTGCAAGGTGTAGTTGACACCGACGGTGGGGTAGTTGAATAGGACGACGGCGAGGAACCTAACAAAGAATAATTTATGTCCGATGTGCTCCAAAAAACGCGACGATGAATATCAAAGCCTGCTGTGCTCACTGTGGGAGAGTACGCACATGTTCAACTACTCGTGTTGGTGACAATATGCAAATTCCGATAAAACGTAGGAAAATTCTCATTGGTTTCTATACACTTCTACCCAAATTCGCAAGTGAACTTGTATAATTAGTGAGGAAACTACAGGTCTCAGCTGAGGAAGGCGAACATATATTCCTCCAACACTATTTATGCCACAGCCTGGCACCCGAGGTCTACTACTCCAAGGAGCTGATGCCCACTACCATCACTGTTCAGTTGATAGCTACTAAGTCGTCACTTTCACGAGGAAGACCAGGCAAGGACGAGACGATAACGGCAATGGCTGAACTACTTCCATGTGGTATCATGCTTCCACTCCCACAGCGTTGAGGAAATGCAAGATTGCAAGATTACTGATCTCTCATCCCCTATGTGATTGATAAACCTTCCTTTACTTAACACTAATACTAAACGTACTCTACGTAAAATAACCCCAACGATAGCGACAAGCAAACGCCTATCGCCATCGACGGGACACAGCGAAAGGGACAATACCATAGTCGCATCACCGACAATCACCACAGTAGCGATCAGCCACTAGCGAGAGTATATCAAATACAGCTACTCTATCATTATGGAGAAAGCCACTCCTCGAGATACCTCCCTAAAACAGGCTTTCATCATCGACAGTGACGAAGGCGTTCAATTTCCGAGCCCCCACAAGCCGCTACTTCTTACCAAAAATAATGTACAAAGGCTTTCATAGCGCTAATAAGGGCTGGCCCTATACTGAGGAGGTTGACCATAACCCTGTTGTTGAGGGTAGCCTCCATAACCAGCTGCAGGAGGAGGTGGAGCCGCCGGTCCATAGCCACCACCCCCCACGCTCTGTCGAGAAGCACCACCATAAGCTGAGGAGCCATAACCACCATATTGCCCAGAGCCAGCCTGCTGCTGCTGCATCATAGGCTGTTGTTGATATGCACTGCCACTGTACATGGGCCTAACAGCACGACTAACACACAGGGGCTGAGCCATCACTGAGGTTACGGTTGGGGCGAACGGTAGCCTCCAGTCTGATATGAGGGAGGTCTTTGGCCGTATCCACCAGCATCTCCACCACCAAATGACCTACGACGACGACGAGTGTGATGGTTATATCGAAAGCCCTGTTACCCCATGGGGCGGCCCTTCCCCTTCCCACGAGACCCTTCACGTCGAGCATGTTTGACCTCAACCTATATCAGAACAACACTGCGATACCTTCACTGCGCCACAAAATTACATGTTTATCATCAATGACGTTTGCATCGCCGCCAGCAATAGCCGCATTAGCGTCAGCCGGCGATGAGTAGATAACGTAACCAAAGCCCCTATGACGCCCGGTCTCACGGTCGTACATCACCAGGGCTTCAGCCACTGTACCATATCGAGAAAAGTGATCATGCAAACGTGCTGAAGAAACAACCCATGACCGAACCACTCACAAACTGCATCAGAAAAACTACCTTGGTCACAGCTATTGGGCAAGCCACCAACGAAGACCTTACACGGGTTGTCGCTGCCCTCACTGGGACCTCCTCTGCTGTACCTATCGATCCAACCATACTTCAGAGATAGATGGTATGACCCTTACCCAAAGTCGCCACTGCCTTTGCCTCCACTATAGCCTCCCTTACCCCCATACTCCCCCTTTCCTCCACTGTAGCCCTTACCACCTGAGGGACTTCATACTGCCCCACACAAGCAGGCCCTCACCACAGTACCTCCTTTCCCCCCATGCGATGGGGGATCCTGAGAGGCCCTCTTCACGTCAACAGTCTTCTCCAATAGAACATGCGGCCCGCTGGCCAGACAAGTCTGATACATCAGCCATCAACATAACCAACACAAGGAGCCCTCCTACCTCCATGTCGGTCAGCTGGCTATAGACAACGAAACCAAATCCTCGGGATCGCCCTGTGTTGCGGTCGTACATGACCATCGTGTGCTCCACAGGGCCGAACTGCGAGAAGTAGCTGTCCATATGCTGCTTCTCACAGGCGCCCGGCAATCCACCAATGAACAACTACGAAAAAAGCATCCTTCCTAGCGGAGCGAAGCATTCTCTACCTTGCGGTCATCAGACTCCCTAGACCTCCCAGACCCGCCACCAGAGACGTAATTGCCACCCTGCTGAGGTGGAGCTGTTGGCGGCACCCTGTCCATATTGGGGTAGGAGGAAGCTGACGGAACTCCACTAGTATTCATAAGAATAGAAGGGCGCCTACGAGGAGAGCTGGGAAGCCGTATATAACACAACATAGAGGCGCAACACGTGAGACGGTTGGTGCTTCAACGAGATGCATGATCTGAGGAAGCCACACACAGAGATACACTCACTCCTACTTTTACCTCCACCACACTGCGAACTTGAGAGCTACTGCTGTCTAGGACGAGACGGATCACATAATGTACCGATTACAAGGGCTACTATTCTAACGGCGACAACGACCAACATACTCGATCATTCCTCTCGATACCACAACACAACCAAATCATACGGCCTAGCCTTCTTCGAAGAACTATTTCTATCCCACAAAGATAGTAGGGAAAAAGGGAATATAGCGTTAGGAAGAGTCCATCATACGGTGGTCACCTCCAACACTACTATTAGCAACTTCGCAGACCTCAAGAGCAGCAGCTACTCGATACCATTACCACAGAGTATCAGACATCACGGTGAAGAAAGGCCCTTCATTGTTATTTTACGTGAGCTGCTGCTGCTGCTGCTGTTGCTGACACGACTTAGTACGGGCTGGCTCGCGAAGGACCACCATACGAGCCACCATAACGAGGTGGTTGCGAGGTATTATCTACACGAACAGGCACCCCCGTACAGTCCTCTGCTATTCCCACTGCCCTACATCCTCCCATTGGGGGCCGTCGCTGCTCTTGACGTTGATACCCCATACCACCGTAGCCGCCACCCTGCTGCATACCATACCTGAGGTCAGCCTAATAGACCCATGAAAGATCACCAAGCACCTCACCCCTGCTGTTGTGGTGGAGGCATCCCATACTGTGGCTGCTGGTACATACCCATCGGTCGTTGCTGCTGTTGCTGCTGGAAATAGGCATTGGATGCCGCCCTGCTAGCTTGCATCGTAGCTTGGTAACTACTGCTGACCAAATCGACGGTCATGACTAATACCACACCATGCCCTACTCGTCTGACCCTCTATTAAACCGTCCATGATCGCCATATCCACCGCCACTGCCGTACTCATTATACCCGCCGAACGACTGTCGTGGAGCCTCCCTCGTTGTGTGCTTCACATCAACCTGTCGACATTACTCCTACAAACTTTCCCCTCTAAAGCTATTACCCATTTTCCATCGATGACGTTGTTGGCCGAGTTGCTGATAGCGGCCTCAGCAGCAGCCAGATCCTCGTATGTGATGTAGCCGAAGCCCCTAGACTGGCCTGTCATCCTATCAGTACTGAAACCACCAAGGAAATGATGAATCAATGGAGGAGTTCCTATTAAGCCTACATCACTGTACAGTCGACCAAGTTGCCATACTGGATGAAGAAATCTCTAAGTACATCTGAACCAACAAGCTGCAATCCGAACAACACCGCTACGACCTACCACTGGTGACCTCACGTGGAAGGCCGCCCACGAACAGTTTATTAGGGTTCTGGTCTCGATGACCTCCCTTGCCCTTCCTGAAGAGAGTGACCAGTCATAGTCTTAAGGCACGCATCACAACCAACCCTGAGCTGTAGTCATCATAGCTCCTCGGTGCTCCACTTCCCTTCCCTGAAAGCCATACCACTCCATACACACTTCACGAGTCCCATGCCCTACCTGCTGACCGCCTCTCATTGGCCGTAGAAGTACCATCATCATTGATAGATCGTCGAACCTCCACAGTCTTCCCCATAATCACATGAGGAGCTGCAGCCACACACCCCTGATCGAGAATCCCATAACCTCGCCAACCATGCTGACATCCTTACTAGCATCTGCTCTTTAGTCTCAAACGTGACGAAGCCAAAGCCCCGACTCCGGCCCGTGAACCGGTCCATCATCACCACTGAGTCCTCTACTGGCCCGAACTGGCTGAAGTACTCATCCAACGCGGGCTTGTCAGCTTCCCGAGGGAGACCCCCGACGAAAACCTAACCAGATAGATAGCAACAGTAATGAACCAAGTCAAGTAGGAAGGACCTTCTTAGTATCATCCCCTCTCCTAGGTGGTCCATCATAACGAGGAGCTACTGGTGCTGGGTTGTGTCCCATTGGAGGTGCCGACGTGAGCTCCTGCTGAATAGCTGCTGCCGATGCAACGGCAGTAGCAGCCGCTACGTCCATAGGCGATGCTGGGGGCTCCTGTCGAGGGGTAGCTGGCGGTAAAGGAACTGGAACAGCCTACCACATCACGACTCCAAGAGGGACACTGTCACCGACTCGGGAACTCACCTGTGGCTTCTCCTCTGCTGCTCCCTCAATGGAGTTCTCCACCGGTGTCTCCTCAGTAGTCGGAGCAGTTCCCTCCGGTGCGGTAGGAGTAGCAGCCTCCGATGCTTCCGTGCTAGGCTCAGCCGGGATCGCCTCCGTCGGTGCTTCTACTGGTGTAGCTCCAGCGGCCGGGGCAGCCTCTGGGGTTGCCTCGGCTGGGCTTTCACTACTCGGCTCTGCCACAGGAGCATCAGCCACTGGCGCCCTGAAGACCACAATCCTTGGAAAAGCTATGAGACTTTTCCTACTCAGTGGTAGCGGATGATTGCTGGTCCATAACGGGAATAAAAAGGGGGAGGTTGATAACCGGCTTGGTGAACTACGAGGATGCATATCGATCAGCTTCCCAGCAACACAACGACTATGGACGATCGAGACTGATGGCATGAGCTACGACGACATGTACGAACGCCCAATGGCTCAAGAACGTATCCCCGCAAGGGCTCCAACTGGACCTATTCTGTATCTTCCATACTGAGCCACAAGATACCCCCCTCCCCGGTGTACGAAGCCTGCCCTCGTATGAGCAATGCATCACTTCACTGTCGAAGCTACCTGTGAGGGGTGCGGTCAGGTTCCTTAACGTAGGCTGGTTGGGCTTCACCGGCAATACTGATTTAATATTACCAAGTCGGATTACTACCAGTACGGTCGATGTATGCCCCACCCTCTGGGGTCTAGCGACCTACGGCTCTACCAATTTCTGTGGGAGCGCTTGTCAAAAGGGCCCAGTGACCAGTAGCCTCGGGGAGTTCACCTACGACCACGTGAATCTGCGATAGAGACGGACCTACTTAGGCTGGGAGGGCGACCTGATGGTGCTGACGATCTGAGAATGGAGTGGTACTTATTTAGGCTACCCACTATGCAGGTGGTCGAATGCAGCCCTGCCCACCCCACCTCCGCCAACACGGCTTGGTACCCGATACCCGAGGATAGTGCTCATATACAGAACGCTTCACCATCCATCCCTCCATCGCTCTCAGTAACCAGCAACAATCGGATGAGCCTCATGAGCTTCGCTCCGCCCAGATGAAAAATTGCACGAAAAGTGCAGCAAAAGTCCGCACGAAAAATTGTAAAAGCGCGTCTCCCGAGTTGAGGGACGGGAAGTCGCGGCGTAGGGATGGATGTGATGCTGGTGCTGCTGCAGTTGTTGTCTCTACTCACGACTACTTGACTTCTCTTCATCGGGGATTGTACAATCATCGATGTCAGCAACGTCGATTCCGGCATCAGCAGACGCAGGACCTTCGGAGGGGCTGGTGGAGGGTGATATGACCCCACCGACCCTACCTAGGATAGCGGACATTTCTGAGGCCTCTGCATTGGCCGCTCAGTTCGTTATAAAGCACCAACAACAACAGCAGGAGGCCGCCGCCGCCGCCGCCAAGAAAGCAACCTCAGCGGCAGAGACCAACAGTGCATCTGCTACTGGCACTACCGTTGGCAACGACTCTAATTCTCGTGGTTCGGTTGTGGGCGATAACGCCTCGCCCTCTACAGAGGCCCCTTCCTCTACCACTGTTGAGCCAGCTGAGCTGCTGGATAGCGAACTGTCGTCCTTTGTTGAACGGGTAGCTTTAACTGAGGAGGATCATCATGTTCACAATCACATACTAGGGTCAATATTGTCGGTCGCACGAAGTAACCTAGATATTGAGGCCACTATAGAGACCTTTGGGTCGGCGGCTAGCAGGCTCTCCGAGAAAAGCAGTGATATCGATGCGACGATAATATGTCGGTTTGCAGCGTTGAAAAAACGCTTTGGCGCCGCAGGGGACGAGAAGAGTCTGTGTTCAGCAGCCGTTATGGGTTTGGGAAAAGCGATTAGCAAATTTGAAAAGGAAGCGCCAGGTGTCGGCTTGAGGGTCGTGCAGGTGATATCTTAGGGTTCCCGGAGGAAGATTCAAATCATGTCCGATTTGTGCCATCAGGTTATTCCCTCTGCCAAGGTTCCGATTGTGGTGCTGTCATGGATAGGGCCCAACGGCAACGTACAGATTGTGGATGTGAGTATCAATAATCAGCTCCCTCTACATAACACTGCGGTAAGCTCCCATCACGTGTACCAGGAAGAGCACTGCCTCTTTTTATAGTTACTACGGAACTATGTGGAGATGGACAAACGTGTCCAAATCCTGGCGCTCTGTGTGAAGGTAGGACCTAGGGTCTGTTACTGTTCCTCAGTGGTGACTCTTCTCAGCGGTGGGCCAAACTATGTGGAATTAGTGACGCTAAGCAGGGTAACCTCAGTAGCTACAGTTGGACCTTGCTCTGCATATATTTTCTACAAGTAGTCATATTACCATCACTACTGCTAGCTATTCCCCTTGCATAGGTGCGCTCCAAAGGCGCTATTCTGCCGTCTTTACAGGCAATGGCGGCTAAGAGGCGTCAAGGGGAGCAGGTGAAGCACTATTCGTGTCCTATAAGTGGTCGTGTTTTTAACGTCGACTTTGTAGACAGATTCGGTAAGCATCATAACCTTCCCAGTGCGGTGAAACGGTACACTCCTTCTCCTCAGAGGCCACTACGGGAGATGACGCTTTCAAAGCAGCGGACACCCCACCATCAGAGCTTCTGCGCGATTTTTTCGTGTTCTATGACAGAGACTATAAGTGGGGTTCTGAGGTTAGTGCTGCAGCGCTTGACGATAGGAGAGGCTTGGTATCGTGATCAGGTGGTGTCCATTCGAGTGGGGGAGAGGCGAAGCATAGATGACTATCTTCATCTGCCGAGGCGGGATGCCGAGAGTAACGTTCTTATAGAGGATCCTCTGGACCTCAATCGGAACCTCAATTGTGTGTTGGACTATGAGGGCCGTATACGCCTCCGTCGAGCGTTTGCACTGTTCGCGGCCAAGGTGGCTGATGCGACGATGGAGGAGTTGTTGGTCCAAGCCAAGACACTAACAAGGATGAGAACGGGGCCAACGGCAGCGGTGATGGCAGCGAAGCATGCCCAGAGTGCTACTATGAGTGGTCCCCATGACGCCAGAGGTCATCCGGGTCTTACTGGTCCAACCTTGCAACAGCATACGGCAACTGTGTCGTCGCAACCGCAGGCTCGCCCTCGAACAATGGAGTATATGCGGTCGGGCCAAAACACAAGTCCAGAATACCAACCACGGCGAGGCCCAGGGCCAGGACCCATGGTGCAAGGGCAAATGGGTGCCGCTGGACCAGCAGGGTATAATATGGTGGGTCTCGGAGGACAGGGGGAAATTAGAGCGCCACCTAACCTGTTGTTGAGCCCTGTGAAGGACGGGCCTGGGGCGACTAGTGGAGTCGAAGGAATTAGAGGCGTAAGGATTCAGCAACAGCAGCAGCAACAGCAAGCGTATAACGGTGGGAGTGAAGTGAACAAGGGTGGTCCTTATTATCAGTATGGTCAGCAGCAAAAGGAGGCGAGCGTCGGCGCCGCCGCCGCCGTTCAGAGTTATATTATGCCCCCGCTGGGTTACTACTTAGAATTGCAAACTGATGGTCATAATTGGGAGATTGTCGACCGATGGTGATGACGACTAGCATGTGGGAGAGGAGATGACTGCTGCTATTACTACAACTACAACATTACGACGAGGGCTCGTGTTCTCTATGGAGTATTTTTCATCTTCTTCAGCAGCAATCCTGAATGATGAAGTTATCTAACTTTTATAGGGAACATTATCGCTATATAGGCCTCGTTAGTGCGACGCTAACTCTCCTCTTTGTGCCGTTGTTAGTGATGATGATGGTATTGCCTCCTGGCCCTACCTCCTCGCTCACTGATCTTGAAGACCGCCGCAACACGCCTATCTCAATCGTTTGTTGGTCGTCGTCGTCGTCGTGATCTTGGCATCCTTTTGTAGCTTCTAGTCCCATCTTGCTATTGTGTGTTGCGGTGGCGGCTATCCCAGCTATCATCGTCATATTGCTGATGGCCTTCACTAATCGGCAGTAGATGTTGTTGATGTATGACTCGCCCTATCGTCATCATAGTCTATCACTTCTCTTGTTGTGATGCCACAACAAGCGGAGGCCGCCGCCCTCTTGGTATTCCTTTCTACCTTCACAGCGGCTGCCACCACAGTAGACGATGATGATGGAGATTACGTCATCTATCCATTCAGTGGTCTCGGTGGTGGCTTCACTCTCACGATCTCATCACTAAACGTCTTGTGTTGTACCAATGCGAGTGGGGAAGTACATCCTTATGATGCTTCAGTGTAGCCTTCAAGTGTCTTCTTCGACCTACGACTCACAGGAGCTCTCTCTAGTGCATGGTGAGTGACCTCTTGAGCGAGGCCTCCAACATAGTGATGAGTGTTCAGGCTATGAGCTCTAGCAAGTTTAAACGGAGTCGGGCGAAAACGCATATTTGCGACATTTGTTGGGGAGATGAAGATGAGTGTCTCTGTCACAAGTCGGCTGAGGAGCGCCAGGCCCATGTCGCAAGCTTGCATTCGATTGTGAGTGGTAAGGTTTCGATGAAAAAGACTAAGACAAGTAGCGTACTGGGCGCGGCGGCTACTACCACTGAAAGCAGCGCTAATGAGGTCATCGAAACAGCTATACGGTGCATCACCCATGATCGAGATGCTTCTAATGTCGATTGGAGTAACTTCATAAGAACCTCCAAGTACACGCCGCTAACCTTCCTACCACTCAACCTGTGGTATCAATTTCACCTCTTTGCGAACATCTATTTCCTCGCCGCGGCAGCTCTACAGTGCATACCATCAATCAGCGACTCTGGAGGCCAGCCCTTGTTGCTCCTACCACTCATCTTCGTCTTGGCTGTGGCCGCCATGCGAGATCTGGCTGAGGACATACAGCGACACAAAAGTGACAATAAGGAAAACGGCAGGAAAGTCATTCGTGTTATGCAGCAGCCAGACGCTCTTGGCATGTACACAGAGGAGGTCACTTGGGCTGACCTTGGCCTTGGCGATATCGTCAAGGTCAAACGGGGTGAGGGGTTCCCCGCTGACTTAGTGATGCTGAGCTCTGAGGACGAATCGGGAATGGCTTACGTTGAGACCATGAATCTTGATGGGGAGACCAACCTCAAGCCTAAGATGTGCAATGTGGACCTTATGAACGACATTAACGATGAAAAAGATGCTGCTAACTTCATGGCTGCTCTCACCTACGAGAGGCCCAACACTAATCTGTATAAATTCGATGGCGAGATGACGACCAAGGGGAAGACGTACCCGCTGACTGTAGATCAGTTCTTGCTAAGGGGCTCGACCTTACAGACTACTGCTTATATATACGGCATTGTGGTCTACTGTGGTGATCAAACTAGGATCTTCAGGAACTCTGCCGACACGGGTACTTGGTAGCTTTCAGACTGTTACGAATTGCCGGTGGTGTAGGTACTGGTCGCGACAAGTTGACGAAGCTGATGGCAACCTATAACCACCACGTTATTACACTCTTCATCCTGCAAGCTCTAATCTGTATAACCGCCGCAGTCGCCAATGCTGTCTATACCACTACTGAGGACGACTGGTGCCGTGCCCTTCACCGAGAAGGCCAGTTGAGTGGCTCTATCAGGTATCTCGATGTCAACGCCCACGAGGGTAAGGATGGTGGGGAAGTGGCCCTCGATGCGTTGAAGGTTGTTGGCACTCTTCTACTACAGTTCACTTACTTCGTCCCCATATCACTACTGGTAATAGGCTTCCTCCTTGTTTCTGACTGGATTCTCTTGGCGCTCTCAGGTGACGTTGGAAATTGTCAAGTTCTTCCAAGCCAAGTTCATTAACGAGGACAAGAACATGGTCTCTGGAGGCAAGCACGCCCTTTATCAACACTGGGGCTCTGCCCCTTACCTCAGGTCTGGGGGCAACAGCCAATAGCTCAACACTAGGAGAAGAGTTGGGTTCGGTTACTCACATTTTCAGCGACAAGACTGGCACTTTGACGCAGAATCTCATGTTGTTCACGAGTAATACCGTTTCTACCTACCCCTGGACATGTATGACCATCTAGGTGCGTGTGCTATCGGCACTGGCGGCTCGGAGTCACCGCTTCTAGTGCGGCAGTCACAACAACAGGGAGAGCCTATGGGAGATACCAAACCACGTAGGCCCCTACAGTTTCTAGGCACCTATCGGGCTCGGCAGATGCCGCACCCCGTGACCATCATGTTGGCACTGATTTCGACATAGACCTTTTCAAGAGGATCGCACATTCTAGCTCTGGTGTAGTGCGGCAGAGGTGAGCTATAGCCACAGTAGAGGATGAATGGAAACTCCCTTCTGGCCAGGTTCGTGGACTTCCTTATTTGCCTGTCTGTGTGCCACTCTGTGTTGATAAAGGCTGATGATGATGACGAGGAGCAAGAGGAGGAGGAGGCGTCTGGACGAGGAGCTGTAGACGGTGCTCATGTCCATTCTGATAAGCTGTACTCGGGACCTCATCACTGTTCGGTTCGTTGGATATTATTGTTACCTAGATACGATGCCTCTTCCCCGGACGAGTTGGCCCTAGTGGCCGGGGCACGCGAGTTGGGCATGGAGTTTGCAGAGCGACCCACTGTGAACAGTGTTAGAGTCAACCTTAAAACCGACTTCGCCAAAGAAGTAGTTCTAATCTCGTTTCCCGTTCCCGTGACGAGCCTTTTTCAGTTGATGGGAGTCGACGCCAACTACCTGGATTTCGAGCTCCTAGAAGTCATAGAGTTTGACAACGACCGAAAACGCATGAGTGTCCTCGTGAAGGAGAAGGAGCCGGCCAATAAGTATCATTACGTGATACCATAACTCTCCCTAATTTGTTTGATCACAGTCCCCATGCTGCGGATCGTCGCCATGTCCAAGACCGGGTAGCGGCCAAGCCTCTCGGGCAGAAAGTTAGAGAGGTAGACTGGGCATGGCCTCGATTGGAATATGCTATGATTGTCTCCTCAGAGTTGCCCTCATCCGCGCACTCTCCTCCTCATCAAGGGCGCGGACTCCTCTATGCTGGATGTCGCAGTGCCGCTCTCGAAACACGAAGGTACTTCCCGCTCGGGGTTTGTGGTCCTCACTATGTGGCAGATGCTGAGCTTTCGGAGACGTTGGGCACTCTAGCGGCTAATGGTTTGCGGACCTTGGTCTATGGTGCGAGGGATCTCACAGAAGATCAAGACTTCGTTATCAAGTCGGTGGAGTCCGCGAGGGCCCTCAGGAATCGACTCGCTGTAGGTGGCGAGAGTCCTACTCTGCAGCTCGAGGCAAGATAGGGGATGATAAGAAGAAGGCCGTACATGAGTGCATGTTGAGGATGGAAACCAACGTGGAGTTGGTGGGCAGTACTGGTATAGAGGACAAGCTGCAGGTAAGTGGTCGAGGAGGTAGGGGTGAAGGACCTGTGCTGTGGTCAGGACCAAGTGCCTGAGGTCATAAAGGAACTGCACTCCGCGGGCATAAAACTGTGGGTGCTCACTGGTGACAAGATAGAGACGGCTATCAACATTGGGTGGGGTCCTGATGGTGACCGCGACCAATGACGATCCTCCGCCAGATACAGCAGCAACCTCCTCACAAACGATGTCTACAATCAGATTATTGATTCTACCTCTACTAGGGACATCAGCGCGGCCTTGTGCGCTCTTAGCAATCTCATTGACTCTAAGTTGACCACACGAGCCGCCACTCTGGATTGGGACAACGAGGCGGAGGCTAAGTTGGAGAAGGAGGGGTATATCGCCCATTCTGAAGTGGACCCGGAGGACGTCGCCCTTGATGAAGTGGAGGACGAGGAGGACGTCGCCCTTGATGAAGTGGAGGACGAGAGGACGTCATGGCTAGAGAGGAACCGGAAATGGCGAGTTTCCGGCAAGTGGCCATCACGGTGTCAGGGGATGCCTTGGCGGTTATTCTGAGGCATAGGTAGGACACGATGTTGAGGAGGAGAAGGTTGGCTATTGGAAAGTTTCTTAGAGTTTTGCGACTCAAGTTTTTCCGTCTAGCGCTCACACACTGTGTCACCGTTATAGCCTGTCGAGTGTCACCAAAGCAGAAGGCGGATGTTGTGAAGTATCCCTGCCCAGTGTATCAGCTAGAGGCTCGTATGCTCCTCATCTCAGGTGGAGTGGAAGCTACCTGCCAGCCAACACTATGTTATCGATCGGGGATGGGGCCAACGACGTGGGCATGATTGTCGTTGCGGACGTTGGAGTAAGGGTGCAAGGAATCTTTATAGTGAGTAGCAGGATATCTTGCATCAGGTCGGTCTCAACGGCAAAGAGGGAGCTCAGGCGGCCCGCTCAGCTGACTACGCAATACCAGAGTTCAGATTCCTCCGGCGCCTCCTTTTCCTGCATGGTCGGGAGGCGGTACGGAAGAACTCAATTTTCGTCTACTACACGGTTTACAAGAACGTTGCATTCTCTTTGCCCACCTTCTTATTGGGCTTCTATTCCTTCTTCTCGGGGACTAACCTCTATGACCCCATCCTCAAGCAAGTGTATAACGTCCTCTACACGGTCTTCCCAGTGCTTCTTCACGGCGTCTTCGATCGAGACATGCCGGTCTCGGTCCTGGCTAGATGCGCCTTCCTGTACAAGTTCGGTCACCGTACCTTCGGCAACTTCGTCCTTGCTCGTTGGTTATTCGGGGCCCTCTGGACGGCTCTATGGTGCCTGATTCCTCCACTGTTGGTGCTCTATCCTGAGTCCTACCATTGGGACGGCAATACGAGCCCTTCTGACCACCAGGTTGGTCTGCTGGTCTTCTTCGCCATGGTCCTTATATGCAACATCACCATGTATAAGTTCACTAACGTGTGGTTTTGGTTCATCCATGGTGGCATATGGTTTGGCATATTCCTCTTCCTCATCTGCTGGGCTGCTGGCTCTGTAAGTTTTCCCCGTCTACCACTCGACGACCGGATCCAACTCGTGCAGTGTTGGGATATATATTCGCTCCTCTCGACTGAGCTGGGGAGTCTACACATCACTTTGGGTAGAAATGTACAGAAACCAGCAAAAACTCCTCGAAATTTTCTCAGAACTTTCATATTGTAACCAACACATGCAGTTGACCATGTGCATATTCTCCCACAGTGAGCTCCTGTTTAAGGCCTGCACCCCGACTTTTCAGATATTCGGTGACCGGTTCGACGGCTCCTTCCTGAACACCCTCCTCACCCCTCCCGCCATCGGCTCTCTTATGCTCAGTTGTGGTGAGTCTTTATAGTGCATCGTTTTCTTCCGAGGTTCCATGTATAGGAATGAGCCTGATGCCTCTGGTCCTCCAACACCAGTACTACGGTCTGTTCTTCCCGTCCAACTCTCGCGTGGTCAAGGAACGCTTGCAGCTCGGGGTAAGATGATCAGCACTTGCCGTGGCAGTGTGTTATTCGCAGGCGCGGAAATTGGTCGCTGTGAAAAAGGATGAGGAGCAGCCAGAGTGGCAACCCGGTGGTCGCGAGGGCCCGAGAGGCAGCAGGGGCAGCCTCCTCCGCAAGACGAGGACCAGGAAGTCGCTCATGTACACCTCGATACAGGGAGCGCCGCCGCCGAAAGCGCTACAGTCTATGGGGGGATATGGCTTCACTGAGAATAGCAGTGTGGACAGGATCGGGAGGTCTGTTGGTCCAACGTTGGTCACGTGTGGAGGCCATCCTCGCCGTAGGTACTCTGTGGTGGAAAGCACCAGCAACCGTCCCCGTGCTTCACTACGGACAAATCGAGCATCGAAGCGCAACAGCCACCTCGTTACGCTGTCGGCCGGTGGCATTCAGAAGTAGAAATAGAGTTGTTTGCGGTGGAGTGCTTCTGCACTCAACTACCTTGTGTATACCATGCTTACGTTCATGCTGTGTAAATAGTGATGTCATCGAACCTTGACATTGTTCTGTGTTATGCGGGAGGATTCATAAGTAGTCAGTAGCAGTATCCATGCCTGATAGTGAGGAGAGTCGGAGTATACTGCGCAGATGGGCCCACCGTATACTCGCCATATTACCATCTGGGGTGAAGTGGAATGATCTCCCGGCCAAGACGCGGCGACTCATCCTTCTCGCTGTAGCACTTGGTGCGGTTGCCATCGTCACGAGAGCTCGAAGGCGCCGACTGGGGATCTCCAATGCCGCAGCCAAGCCTGAGAACATCAGCTTATCCGCATTCCTCAAGGCCTGCGAGGACGGCCTTGTAGCTTCGGTGAAGGTCTCTCCAGGAGGCATCATACAATCCATCGGCTCTAGCGGGGTTGTTCAGTTGACTCGGCTGGTGCCGGGCTCACAAAGCCACGTTTTCAGGACCATCGCTACCTACTGCAAAGACTACAGCTACTTCGTCCCTTCTGCTACTGGGCAGTCTATTTTCTTCCGAGCATTGCAACAAATAGGTATACCATTGGCCCTGGTGTACCTCTGGTACCGACTTCTTATGAAAATTCTCCACAAGGACGAGTCGCATGATTTTGGTGGGGATCGACGGTCCCGAATACCGAAGACTACTTTCAATGATGTCGTCAGTCCTACAGCGTCAACAGAATTGAGGGAAGTTGTCGAGTACTTGAACAATCCCCGAGCTTTCTCTCGTCACGGTGCACGCCCCATCAAAGGCGTTCTCCTCTACGGCCCCAGTGGTACAGGAAAGACCCTACTAGCCAGGGCAGTGGCCGGAACAGCTCACGCTGCATTTCTCTCAACTAGTGGGAGTGAATTCATAGACACCTACGTCGGTCGGGGTAGTGCACGAGTCCGGGCTCTCTTCAATCAAGCTAGGGCGTTGGCGCCTTGTGTGGTGTTCATCGATGAGATTGATGCACTTGGTGCTCGCGGTGCTGGTGACTCCCGTTCTGGTGGTGGTCATGAGGAGTATGTACAGGTGGGCAGCTTCTGAGGTGCTTCTACCTTTTATTTGTGCTTCTTTAGACGTTGAACCAATTGCTTGTTGAACTGGATGGTGTTTGCAATCATGATGGAGTGGTGGTATTAGCAGCGAGTAATCGGCATGCAGCGATCGATCGAGCTCTACTCAGGCCTGGCCGCTTCGACAGGTGAGTCTGGATCACTAGGCTTGCCCCCGATAGTGCTGTCCTTTCATGTAGACATGTATTTTTGAACTTGCCGACCCCGGCTGAGCGATGGGAAATAATTCGAATACACTCGCGTGAAGTTCGATTCGAGCAGAACGTGGACATCCGAGTCCTCGCACAGGCCACGGAGGGCTTCACCGGAGCTGACTTGGCTAACCTAGTCAATGAGTCGATATACCTTTCACTGAGGTGATGGTCGCTGAGTACAATGTGACCTTCTTGAATACTCCTTTCAGGACCGGCGGCAATGGTCTCGTACGGGAATGTGATCTGCGCTCGGCCTTGACGAAGTGCAAACGACTCGTTCAAGACCGAGAAGAACGTCCGTCGGGTAACACAATGGTGAATTGATTGACCAGACCGGCCGATTGGGCGTCATCATTTCTCAGCTTCCCCGCCTCGGACACGCAACTTATACCCTATGAATTTCTACTCAGTCACCTCATAGTAGTTTGTATAGTTTCCGATATGATGAACATGTTGCGTAGTCGTGGACAGTGCGAAAAGCCATGGGCGCCCACATGTATAAGTACATGACATATGTTATATTAGCATCAATCGAGTGCTGCGGATAATGATCGCACGTTGCCAGTGAGTCATTCATAATAGCAACCGGTTGGCCCCCCTGCAAGGTTGCCTGTGACTCGCAACAGAACAGTCTATCGTATACAGAAACACACTGTCACAGGAACATGTCCTATCGGAAGTAGCCAGCGCTTGACGGCATCATGCTCTCTGTCTCAATATGTATCCTAGGGGCATTCGGACAGCTTATGGATGCAGCCTTGAAGTACGGCAGGTCCAATACTCGTGCCCCTGAAAATAACATCAGCAGTGCTGTGCTGCTGACTGTCAATTACTTTCATCGCCGCCGCCTGATAAAGAGGATATCCCTCCCATCAACTTCGGCAACATGGTAGTGAGCTTCGCCAATTCTCCTGTCTTCCGGACGACGGCCGCATTATCACCTGCCTCCTTCGGCCTGTTCCGAAGGAGCTCTTTAATCTGCCGTATCACATACCCCACGAGAAGGCTGAACGATCTAGTCCGTACGAAGAATCGCATGTTCTCCAGGATCTGGTCATTGGACATGTTAGTCTTTCCGAGGTCCACTCGGATGTGGCCCTCTCCTTCGGCACGATACTCCACTTGACTGCCCGACTTTGCGTCAATCACAGCCTGCTTCAAATTCTGGACGACAGTACCGTTACGGGCGTTCGGCATGAGTCTCTTCGGACCCAAAATCTGTGATAATAGAGATGTCGGAAATAACAGAGTAGAATCTACCTTAGCCAATTTGACAACCTGCGGGATAACCTGCGGAAGAGCGATGACTTTATCGAACGGAAGCCAGCCACGTTCAATTTTGTTTAGTGGCTCACTGAGACCAGCGTAATCTGCCCCGGCTTCCAGCATCTCCTGAAACGACTCATCGAAGAGGTCGACTACGTTCCCCTACACTGGCCATGTAGTCAGGACAAAGGGCCAGGACTCGTATCTCAGTCTGAAGCCCATGAGGCAGCTGGACGACGCCTCGAACGGACTGCCTCGTCAGGTCCACTCGAATGCTGCAGTCGAGAGTGACGACTTCCTTGCTCGCGAGGGACTCACTCAACATCAAAGGTGATTCGACTGACGATATCAGTGTCATAGAAAGCTCTGAGGAGCCTCAATGCCTGATACGGAGTGTTCTTGAGAATGATATCCTCAACGTCTCCGCCAGCCTGTGTAGCATCACTGCTTGAACTTGGCGTCTGATCATCGTCATCATCAGCGGCCATACAGTCTACTCTACCCTATACTGCCGCCGCCGCTTGAGCCAGTTATCATGGACTAATGCTCGCTGGCTCGGAGTAGGCGTCCTCACGAAGGGCCGGTATCTCTTAAAACGTACAGCCCGGCACAGGAATCTCGAAGTCTCGAGTAGCGTACAGTCCACTGAAATCCCGAGGACCGCCGCTGTGGCCCGTCGCCGACCCAATTGGTAGTACAACATTCTCTGAAGGCGATACCCTCACCTCCCTGGGAACAACGCAAGACACAGAAGGCTGGGAAAAGTATAAAAACTAGACACAACGCACAGAGCAATCAATTCCTCTTCCCATCGTCGTCGAAGCTCAGTAGATGATCAGTAGAGAACCAATAGCAGGCTAACAGAGAAATGGTCACCCCAATGGAGCAAAAGACGCTGATGAACATGAGCGGAGCGAAGGTCATAGAAGGCAACACTGCCGGTAGAATCTGACCAGAAACAGTAATAGAGGATAGACTGATGCCTGCTCACCCATTGATGCATAACACAGGCCATCGCCGTTATAGCCACTACGTAGCGATGGAACCTTCCACCGTCGGCGCTCATGGAGCCAATGCAGCAATCGATCGACCACGAGAGCAACTGACAGAAATGACGTGACCGTTGAGGCAGAAGAGGCCGCTACCGTGAGGGTACACTTGAGGCCTAGCTCTGGGGGGGAGTCGGGTAGAAGGGGCAGCAGAGAGGCCATCATGAAAGTTGAGAGGGAGGCTACTGCTGTCACATAGCGAGAAGAGCCGTGGAGATCCCTCTTGAGGATAATCTGAACCGAGGAGTCAACAAGGGTCATTGGGAAGCATCGTACCTCCAACATCATAGGGGCCACGACTGTAACCAGGGCTTTCTCATGGACATGCCATCCGCACATGAATGACGCACTGCTACCTGATGGGAAGAGTCTCGTCGTGTCACCGTCCAAGTACGGCTTACCTATAGTAGCCCAAAATAGCAAGCTTCTTTGACTACCATGAGGCCGGCCAGACTCCCGGACTATACCAGTGAGTATGGGAAGATAGACGGCAACTAAGACAACTACGATGGACTTCTTTTGGCGATAGATACTACCAGTAGCTAGCAAGGCGTGGATCGGTCGAATGGGAGGGAGAACTGTAGGGTCCATCACTTGGACCAAACCGTGCGTAAAGGCCGATCCAGGGAGGCCTTTCAGCTTAGCCAACACCACATCAGCACCGTAGTATAGAGCCCTGCCATCAACGCGGTCAGCCTCCCCGAGTAAAATGCGGTATTTTAATTATATTTTTAGTTTCCTCAGCTGAGCTCAGAAGTTTCCTCACTAATTGTAGAATTTACACATAACTAGGGTAAAGAAACCAATATGAATTCCACAGAAATGTCCTCAGAGTTTTCTTATAGTTACCAACACATGTAGCTGAACTGGTGCATATCTCCCACAAAATATATAACTCACCAGACGTTGGGTGCCCAATAGGCGTGTGTGAGACCCCTGTCGAAGGGGAACATCCGGCTGAGCATCGGCTGCAGTTCACCGTTGTAACTAAGGAACACTATCAACCACGGCATACTCCCACACATGGCGTACATTATAGGCAGTAGAACTACAGCTGTGGTGGCGAGCACTACCACTACGAGTTCGAGGAGTCGACGGAAATTGAAGTTCCTTTCGACTCCAGTTTGATAGGATTTCGTGACCATACAGTAGTTGCAGAGGAGCCAAACACCGATGGCTGGGGCAGCGTAGGCGAAGATGTGCTTCGACAACACCTAAGGAGAGGTAAATCCGGAAGGGAAAGATGGCGGAGTAGTACGAGTAGTGTGAACGCTACTGCGCCACATAATACATTCCCACGCTGCATCAGCCCAATGGCTGAGAAGTAGACTCCCAGGAGCATCCCTGAGGTACTACGTCACGCGCCACGAAATTCCGATGAGACTCACCATTATACTGAAAGTGGACATGATCGATGAGGAGAAGAGCAGGCATTGCCAGCATATAGAGAAGACCAAGATACCGTAGTGTCTTCATAGGAGCTGAACCAAAAGTAGGTCCGGTACCGGTGACAGGAGGGTGGTGACACTTACTGAAGACACCCGAGGGTGGGCATAGTAATAATACCCCTGGTATCAGAGTTAGGTCTGATACGATGACCGTAAGTCGTTGGAATAATACCACGGATCCAGGAGCAACATCATCTTGGGCCTGAGCACCAGCTCCTGAGAGGGACACTGAGAGCTGGAGGGCACTACCTGGGGGTCCAGCATCTTCCACAGACTGTCACTATTTGTCAAATACGCTACGGCAGCTGCCACCTTTGCTAGGAACTTCTCGAAATACCTGATGCATCGAGACGGTGGCTGTCGCTCCAGCAGCTAACACCGCCTACGCGAAAACAGGAGGGTAGTCGAGGGTCCACTGCGACGGAGCCCAGGGGCCGTCCACATACCACTTTGAAACCGGCAGAGAGAAGGTCACCGCCAGCCAGTTCCGATGCACCTGGCGACACTGAGTAATAGGATCTCAGAACGACGTATCTTACATCGAAATCAGTGCTATGGTAGAAGGGTATCAGGAAGGACTTTACTATGGCTGTGAGCAAATACACAGCTGCAATGCCAACAACAGCAACCGCTGCGCTCTTCGAAGACGATGACGAGAAGGAGGATATCATCACACAAAGAGTCCAACTGCTTTGCTAGGCCATAATAACACAACGCTGAAATGCACGGACTAGGGGGAAACTATCATGGAACTATCACTAGAGGTAGCATGTACAGGTAGAAGGAGTAAATAGACAATACTTTAGTAACTTCAAGGGGAACTTCCCTCTATCCTCTTGGCAACACACAGGCGCTCTTCCGATTGATACCTGACCGAAGGATAGACAGAAGCTCGCGCGGGTTCGCTGTTGGTACTTCCTGTGAACGGCACTAAGATTGCGAGCATGCGGAGAGGAGTTGTTCTGAGGACGGTGCTGGTTGACGATAGTCGTGATAAAGACGGCAGTATCGTCCACTGAATGCAAGGTGCACTGGGGTTTATGACAAGGGGATATTACGCTCCTTTGCTGATATATTCAATTCGTCAAGAACCTCCTCTTGGACCTGTGTGGAGTCACTACCGCGAGATAGCGGTGGTAGGGCTCACCAGAGCCTTCATGGCTTTACGCTTCTTGCGATCACGCTTCATGTGAACAGCTACCCATGCACAGGCCAGGGCCACCACGGCAGGCCGGAATCTGCCACCACGAACCGATGCAACATAAACACTTCACTAACGCTACTTGAGAGTCTCGTACTCCAGCAATGTGAGGTCTAGAAAGTAGGCCGAGATGAAATAATACGGCCTTCGAAGAGAGAAAATCTGCGACGATACCGAAGACATCGTGACGACTATCGGACCCTGGGTGACCTGGTTCCATCTCCGGAGGTAGGTCCACGCGGTTGGCAGGTCGATACGGTAGTCTAATGCCTTGATGATAGCATGTTCCATCTGTTCGATTTGAAGGATATCATAACTAGGGTGAATCTATGGGGAGTGGTTGAGCGGGGGATACCTACGCCCCATCACAGATCCTCATGAGGGAGTCCAACTCCGGGCTGAACGAGTTTTGCATTTTGCCTGAGGTAGCCTGACGATCACCCAAGGTCGACATTGGCTTACTAGCAATCATCGCGCAACATATCCCGACAAGTTGCAGCTTCCCAACTTCAATGAGGCGCTCTGATTTGTATAGGAATCTGTGTACATCCTCATCATCACAAATTACACCTCTTAGAGACGCCCACCGGTCCACAAGGGAAATGCACAAATGTAGGGCCTCATCTCGGATCTCCCATTTCGACAAGACATCAACCAGCCAGTCCACCAGCATGGCCCGCATCCTCGGAGTAATCCTGTACTGTCGCTTCTCTAGATAACTGATCAGTTACGATGAACACCACGTTGAGAGGAACCAGCTTACTTCGGGTCGAGAAAGTCAACCTCTGGTGACACGTATTCAGCATCAAACTCGAACAAGCGGTGATACATGCTCTGAGCAATCTCCGCACAATACCTACTCACCAAAACAGTACAGCTCCTCACGGCCGTTACCACCTACTGCGCATCTCCCACAACTTTCCGGTCCCAACTCTTCAACTCAGACTTCCAATCATAGTTTTTGAAGTCTTCGAGCGCATCATCGACCTCTTCATAGGATGGCTCCCGAGGGAGCGAGCCAGGACTGCTAAGACCTGCCTCTGGCCGCCGATCGGGGGTGACGAAGTCGCAGACATTTCCTAAGCCCCATCTCTCCCCAGTAGCGAAACCCTTCCCAAGCAATTACCAGTCAAATACCCCACTGCATGAGGTAGCCCCTGGCCGAAGACTTTGCTGCTAGAGTACGACGCTCCTGTACTACTGGCGCTGTCTTCTCTGCAACGGAGCATGCTAGTCCCATGAATCACACCAACCGACCTGCTCTTAGTCACTCCGCCAACTACCGTCCTACGCCTCTTCAGAGGAGGTTGCATGCTGTATCGGTTAGCGACTATACTGTAGAAAATAACAAGCTGGGATATTAAGGCGATGCTCCGAGCTGACCTGGAGTTCTCGTTACCAGGAAGGTACCGCCTTGGTGCCTCGCTTGACATCTTACTGCTAAAGACCATGACCAACTCTGAGTACCATCCCAGTGCTACTTACACAACGCGACAGGCGTAGACTATGATGAACTGAATTCATCATCATACTATATGGGAAACAGAATGCCGGACCGACAAAGATGCATACAAGGAGCTAGGAGCGATGCCGAGAAACAAACCTACACTGGTGATGGTCGAATACATGTTGGTGGGAGTACTTCAGCATAGCTACCGCTAGCATGAGCACAATAACCCGTAGTACAGCACAACGTGCGACACAGCATAGACCAACAGAGTAGTTAAAAGGGGCATGGCGTAACAGCCGGGCATAGGAGGGTGTCTATACACTTCCACTCAGTCTTCTTTCACGAGCTCAGGAATCTCCAGCTTCTTGCCCTTCAACGTCATCACTGCTGCCGCCACAGCCGCGCCAACCACTGCACCGCCAATGACGATCTTCATGCGTTGTTGACGCTTCTTGGTAGCAGCATATTCGATGCAGTCCGCCTTGGACATACCAGTGCGACCGCGCCAGTGGGATTGGTAGACCTAACGGCGGTGAACACAATGAATAGGAGTCCCTCATCAAGCCTTACCCCAGAAGTGAAGTGTCTCCTCTCGCTATGAGCGAGAATCTGCTTCAAGTTGGTCGGAGTGACGTAACCATACCAGTCACCAGTATCAGCCACTTTCATGTCGTAGATGATGAGCTGAAAAAAGTAATAGCAGGAGAGCTGAGATCCATCCAACTCACGTTGCCAGCAAACTTATGGCCACCAATGTGACTGCATTTCCGCACATGAGTTCTCGGATCCTCCAACGCTTCGATGTAGGAGGCCAGCTCGGGTCCACAACGACCACAACGCTTATCACGGTTGTTGTGAGCGCAGACGAATATGTGCCTATTCAGTTGTTGCTATTTACACTAAGGGAATTCATTTACTGAGCATTACCTGGAGTTGGCTGGCACTGGCACGGCGTCAGGATGGGCGATGGGAGCTGGAGACTGCGACTTGTCTACCTCGATCTTCGAGAAGTCAGCACCGGCAGGAATGCGGAGACCACTAGGGAAGAACAACTGAAGTGATGAAGAGATGGTATCGGAATTGGCTTTGGCGAAATGATGTGTATTACCACATCGCCCTCCTTATCCTCGCCAGGGATGCCCTCAGCAATCACTACGGGGAAATTCTTCGGTAGATGCTTCCTCAAAGTATCCACCATTTCCTGACAAGCCAGTGCCGAGCTGAGGTACCCGCAACCGACTGTACCTTGAGCTTATCGTCCATAGTGTTGGCTTCCTTCGGCCAGGCTGTGTGCTCGCCGTAAATAAGATACGCCTGGCCGGCCAATTTCTTCATAGCTCCCACCACAGTCTCAGTGTCTGCCATGGGTGAAGCGATGTAGCCTACAGCTGTTGATGTCGGACTTACTCATTTCAGGGCGATCGAATCCACAGCAAGCACAGTTCTCTCCGCAGCCGTCATCACTAGACTCGACGGAGACCGCATCGGGAGTCTTGGTATCTTCACTGTTGCAGCACTGTTGCTTTTTACTACAAGAATTGGAACAGCAGGAAGATGATCCGCAAGGCATAACGAAGTTAAGTAACGTAAACTTGGTCACAAAGCGATGATGTTATTGAACCCAAGATCTGCAGCTGAAGCCAGGGCGCGCGCTACTTGCAGCGCACATTGTTACACTGGAAAACTTATGCATGAGTTGAGATTGCGACACGAGCTCGTGAGGACGCAGGCCTCTCAAGCCCACTGGTAAAGTCCCCATAAACTGCCTTGAATATGTGGTGCAGGACATCATGGTGAGCTAGAGGGAGACTTGAAGGAGAAGCAGAAGGCGGTAGGCGTCTGTAAGGGGTCGCCTCACCTCGACAAGAGAAAGAACGCAAGGAGCAAATATCCTTGGACGATGAGGTTACTGACACGTTGGGTGTATCAATGGACGATGGACAAGGAGGCACTACTACCATCCGCAACTCATGAAAATCCTCGTGAGTAGACCTGTAGTAATCCAGGACAAAATTCGTATCAAGACTACCTGCCGAGATGGATTGGGCCATGTCTCGCCTTACGTGACTGCTGCTCACTCAAAGTCATTAACTACTCGATTGGCGCTCTAGCCAGCTCTTCCGCTCGAATCACATGATAGGCGTAGCTTGCGACCCTTTTGATGTATAACCGGACCGTATGAACTCTCGTGCTTTGAGTTGGACAGTTGCCACTCATATCAATTAAGGTTCCGAAATGTCTGGCGGTGTCGGAGCAGAAGAGACTCAATAGCAATCATTCAATAACGTGATGCTAGAGACACCGTGGAGTCAAGACGCTGAATTTATCGAAGGAGCGACAGTGTACACGTTGCTCGGGCGTCAGGAAATATTCATTTACGACGTGAACACTGAGTGATGTGCGTATATTGGTAGATTGACAGCTGTCGCGAACACAACACAACAGCGATAGCTCTGCATGAATTATGAACCTTCCACCAGCCATGCAATTGGTTCACCGAACCAACAAGGCTTATACAATGTAGACCAAGTCCGAGCTAATAAAGACCTACACAAAAGTCTCACTCTCAAGCCTTCCACTGTTGTGGTATGATCACCTTGTTGTCTTCTTGGAGACTTTCCAGTCCACCATTGAACTCCGCGGTTGTGAAGACACTGAGCTTCTTCCGTTCAGCGAGAGCGTTGACCTTGTCACGCAAGTCTGAGCAGAGATGGTTGCCGAGGTCCGCTTGAGTTAGCCATCACCGTCAATGTTCATGAACTGCGTCCTTTCGGCAGAGAACACATCAACCACCAGCTCACACAGATCGTCGATTCTGACAGTGGATGGATGTCGTTATATCCTTGCAGAAGTAGACTCCACCTGTTGCCTCCAACCGCGACGGGCGCGGGTGGCTCAGCTGGTGCCTGTTGCACACGCGTGCGCTTAGATCGAGTTGTTTTCTGGACGTCCACACGCTCGGCCGGCCTAACACGATCACGAGGTGAGATAAGGTGTACGTGGAGCCCCTTACTCAGGAGCGGCCTGTTCTGCCTGCTTGTCAGTCGGTGGCGGGCTTGCATCAAGCTGACTCTGCCTGCGCTTGCGTGCTGGCTTCCTAGCTGTCTCGAATTCGTCTTCCATGTCCTCATCGATATCCTTAGCATCCCGACCTGCCGTAGCTCACCACCCCGCAGTATCAAAAAGTGGCACCTCACCTCTGGCTGCAAAGATGACTTCCCTCGCCATCAGAACATCATCCTTCGATACGTTAGCCTGGAGCTTCAGTTTCGCATGGGCAGTAGAGAGACGAATAACGGCTTCAAGGGTTCCTATAGGAGACCACCCATGAAATTAAATGCTCCTCTACTGTCAACTTTCTCATCTAGGTCCTACTACTCAGCTGACCCCTCGAAGCGTACGTGCAGTGACAGCGAGACCTTGAGTCCCGTTCTCGGCAGCATCAGCACTCTCCCTCCTCAACAGACTGTACAACGTAGCCACTTCTTCAATGGCATCCTCCGTCAGTTGAGGCATCGGCCTATTCTTGGCATACATAATATACCTATAGTGGGCGATCCTCCGGGTTGTCACTTTACTCCTACGACTACTTCTTTAGGAAATCCACTGTCACAGCATCACCCGTCTGTCCTTGGTACTTAGTGTATACATCGTTCTTGTCACTTGTCTTGCCCTTTTCTGATCATGCAATGAGCCTTCCCATGCAACCACACACCGGTGGTATTACCAGCGGCCTTGCCGACTAACAGAGGTTCTCTATCGTACAAGCCAGGTTCGAGGATGGAGGTGTGGTTCTTCGAACCTGGGCACCGTACCAATTAAAACCTCACAGGCTGGAAGGGCTGTACCATCCCTGCCGGCCGCGGTAATGGTCGCAACATTGACACGATTCTGGACTTGGGCCAACACCTTAAACGGACAGCCCTATCCCCAACGGTCGCTTTATAGCTGCCCAACCTGACTAGCTATCTTCCTATCCTCAGCCTCACTCATCTTATCACGGACCTGAGCGCACACGGTGAGATTCACCATGAGACCAGCTTCACTGCAAAATCCTACCACGAAGACTAGATCAAAACGAGAGAGCAACGAGTCGGGAAGAGCTATGTTCTCTTGAATGGTCCTGTTGCCGTCGAAATTGCCATATAGAGGGTTCGCTGCCGCCAGCACCGAGCATCTGATAGGCCAAATTGGGAAGTGGCTTCTCTTAGGCCACTACCTAGCGTTGAGGCTAGTATGTATCCCCGCCTTAGCCACTGTGACCGTCTGCTGCTCCATCACTTCGTGGATCGCTACTCTATCAGCAGTACCTACCATTGAGAGAATGAGCAGCGTCCCCCACCCCCAGCGACAGCCCTACTCATCTTGTCGAACTCATCGATACAAACAACTCCTCTGTCAGCCAACACCATGGCTCCGGCCTCCAGAGCCCGCTCGCCTGCCAAATCTCATGTCACCGGTAGCTCGTCACCGATTGGCAGCTCACCAGTCTCCCTATCCACTGTAACAGCAGCTGTCAGACCCACACCGCTTGAGCCACGACCGGTGGTAGAGATGACCAGAGGAGCAGTGTTCATGACCTGAATGCAAACCTTAATACGGTACTAGACTACTATGGACTTACGAAGCGGAGAAGCTGCGACTTGCCACATGAAGGATCTCCGATCAAAAGGACGTTGATGTCACCTGAGCTGTCTGAACCAGCCGACTCATATCAGCTATCACCTCGAAGATGTGTCCCATTCGCCAGGTTCTTCTCAGCTCCTCCCAGCTGCTGCAATAGCATACCCTTTTTCTCCCAATCACGACCTGAATTCTTCACTGCGCCACAAAATTATTTTCCGAGTTACTACCAGCGATAGAAGGGGCGAAGGAGCGAGACAGCACCTCGAAGGTGTCCTTGCCTGCAAAAAGATGACACCGTCGCTACCAGCACTCAAAAAGGAGAGTGCTCTTACGCTTGGCTATCTGTTTCATGAATTTAATATCTGCCTTATTGAGCGTAGGCTGCCTTGCCTGGATCTAAGCGGGAGCAATCGCCAGTGGACTCCAGTCGCACTCCTACTTGCAGCTGTTTGATCTCAACAGCGATGATGACCGTCTGGAAAACTCCCGAGCTGATACCACCCGTGAAGGAGGCTATAGGACGATAGACACCAATAACGGCGATACGGTCCCCTGAATTCGTCATGGGGATTAAGGCGTGCCAGGAAATGTCCTACCAGGTTTGGCCCTATCACACATATCCCCGGTACAAAGGACTTCAGCACTTCTCGGCAGCACTCCGGTAGGGGCTTGCTCTGGCATCTCTTGCATGGTGAGCCTCTGGAAGTCCTTATACCTGCTTCTATTAACTGCTAGGGCTCCCACCGTCCTGAGAGCTCACAGGCAAAGACCGTGCTCCCAGGAAAATCGATTGCCATCTTCGTCCTCTTTCGGCACTGCTCCGCCTGAGTAGGAGCTACTCTGGATAGTAATAAACCTACACAGCTCCTACCAGTGTCTGTAGTGGTGGTAAGACTAGTGTAATCCTTATGTTCCTTCGTTCGCATGTCACCGGTCGCTGGGCAGTAGTGGACCGACATGCTCAGGCGTGGTCTGAAGAGTGATCCACTTCACAGCAACATCCCTGAGGTCGATCGGCTCCGTCCACCTGCAGAGGCCTAGTCTTGTGACGATGCCCTCAACACAGACCAATTCCCCAATAACCTGACAACGATTCTACAGCTGGGGCGTTCCTAGTCGGACTCACCTCGCTGCTGAGACCACGTGGGGTGAGATGGTTGGCGCCGAAAACGCCATCGATACCGACACGCGGAAACACACCACTCTGACACGAACAATACGTAGGTCTGGGCACTCCCTCTGCCTGCCTTATTCTTGCCGAACGTGGCGTCCTCATGCAAGATGGCCTCCACAAGGCCCTCATCAAAGGCCGGCATATACAGCGCGGGATTCCTGAAGCATCGACAATCAACATGATTAGATTAGGACACAGTCATGGTATAGTAGATACTTGATGATCTTCTTGGCAAGTCCCGGTTGCCAGTCCTCTAGGTCCATGAGGTCGATTGTGAAACGCTGCCTCTCCCCAGCAAGAATTTCTCTGTCAAAAGAACTCCAGATGGAACGAGTACTGAGGAACTACCGGAACTGGACCATGTATTTCTGACTCTCCCGTTCGTCGGAAAGGAACTCTCTAACAATGACAGCGAAAGCTAGTTATTCGCATGTTGACTGCAGGCTAACCTGAAGGCCCGCTTGGCGGCATTGAAGAGCTCCTGTTCGTTCATCGACATGCCAGCTTGGATATCGGCGCCGTTAAGATCCGCCATATTGTTTATTTATGGTAACAGTAAAGTCACTAAGGATGTTCTCAGTTCCAGGCAACGACCATCCGCAGACCGCTCACTGAGCGGTTACCAGATATTAGCGGTGACAGCACCACTCAAGACAGAGAAAACCCGAATGAAATTAACAGACTGAACGCAACATTGAGTCTCATAACAATCAAATGGAAGCTGACTTTCAATACAAATCAGCCGGAGCAAGGCATCATCCGATGATCCCTGAAAATCCCTGAAAAGACTGCGGATTGTCAACCTTGTTACTAACAAAACGCAATAGCATCGTTGTACGGGGTAGAATCCCATATGTTGCACATAAGCATCCTAAGGCAACACACCATTTACAATAAGATGAGTTAATCAAACTAGTTAGAACCAGCAGCAGCGGCAATGATATCAGTGAACTGAGGTTTCAGAGAGGCACCACCAACGAGGAAACCATCAACGTCAGGGCACTTGATCAGCTCTCCACAGTTGGCAGGACTGACCGACCCTCCGTACAGGATGCGCATATCAGCAGCAACCTCGGCGCTGACCTTAGACTTCATATAGTTTCTGATAGTGGCATGAGTCTCCTGCGCTTGTTCGGTAGTGGCCACCTTACCGGTACCGATAGCCCACACAGGCTCGTAGGCGATGACGATGTTCTTCCAGTTCTTCACAATAGGGACGATAGCATCCATTTGAGTGGAGCAGACCTCGTCAGTCTTGCCGGCCTCGCGCTCCTCGAGCAACTCGCCAATGCAGAAGATGATCTTCAAGCCGGCAGCCTCGGCGTTGACGACCTTAGCAGCGAGATCCTCGTTGGTCTCGTTGAAGAGATGACGCCTCTCGGAGTGGCCAAGGATGGTCCAGTTGAGACCAGCGTCCTTGATCATGTCAGCAGTGATCTCCCCAGTGTAGGCGCCAGGGCCGGTCCTACTGCAGTTTTGGGCAGAGACCTGAATGTTCGATCCTTTAAACTGGTCCAACGCGAAGGAGAGGTGAATGGCGGTGGGAGCGACTACAACGTCGACGGCGTCCTTGTTGTACGTAGCCTCCCCAGTGACCAGAGAGGCAGCGAGCTCCTTGATCGACGCGAAAGTGCCGTTAGATTTCCAGTTACCTCCAACGAAGGGCTTAGGAGACATGTTGAACTGTATTCAACTATAGAGACGTATACTAATACCGGATTGCGTATTCAGAAAAGTGGCGCGCTCGCCCAAGTGATCGACTCAACCTGCACACATCAATGATGTGACATCATCCACCGAGTCCACGGTTAAAAGACATGAAAGTTTCCAAACAGCGGGACTAAGCCCTACAAGACCAACGCGTGCATGTACGATAGACAGAAGCCTCCACTCCGTTGCTTTCCTCCCCGACGCAGGAGATGTCACTTTCACGGTAACTACGCGTACACGATAGATGACGCGACGACCGAGCCCACCACGGTCTTCTCACATAGCTGACGCTTCTTGACAGGAGCGTATACGATAAACTACTCGGCAATATCGTCCGAAGGACAGCTACCATATCCTGAAACCCAAGCGACCCGAGTCATCGCCAACAGATCTTACTCAACTTCTCTCACGGTCATCCTACAGTCTCATCACCCTCACCCGTTCCCACAGCTGCATCACTCACCCAATCGGTATGTCCACTGCATATGATAAAATCTCCCACACACCAGTGAGTGGCTCAGCATTTCGAAGGGAGGCGATGCCTTCTAAGATTGAATACTTTGAAGAGACTTCTGTCTCCACACTCATGTCCAGCCATCTCAACCGATTGCAATCAGGCCAGCACGGTGTATGAGAATCCCACTCGAAATCGCTCGTTTCCGATGAGGACGTTGTCCAACGTTGATCGATGTCGTCCCACCTACTGCTAGCCATCAAACAAAAGCTACACCAGTCTACCGAATCGTCTCATTCATTGAGGAGTAACGCAACGCTGACATACATCTCCTGCGGCTTATGAATGGTAATGCCTTGGGCAGGATTCACAGCAGCTCGCCGAAGAACGAATTAGTCACCATTATAGCCATCACTCCACCTCGTTTGGCTTGTCGTTGTCCTGACAGAAATCACAGAGTGGTACTAAAGCCCAGTGCAATAGCATTAGAAGAGGCGCTGATACTCAATCAGACCGAACGTATCCAGTTGTCACTGCTTCGAGTAAGCGACGAGGAAAGAGTAGTCCACCACAAGAGATGCAACTCAAATTGTCATAGTTATAGTATATGCCCCTCGGATGTTAACACATGCAAATGTCTCACAACGTTGCTGAGCTATCTAGACGACACTGCTGCGAGACCACGATCAACGGCCAATCATAGCTATGGCAATTCCCAGGCGAAAATGGGGATAGAGAGGTCCTCAGTAACGACTGCACAAATGCTCGTGTGCTACCTTAATGCAAACATATATATAGTGGACATTATCCTTCTCGTCACCACCAATAGCCGAAGTCATACCCATCATGGGCTTGGCAACAGTGTGAACCTGAAATTAACCATTGCCATCCAACCGGAACGACGATAAAAGCGATACCTTGACAGACCACTGAAAGTCCGGTTTCTGCAAGTAGCTAAGACGGTAGCTCTGCTGACCATGAGATATGCATATGTAGACACCTTTAGATGGATTCAGAACCCGAGAAATCTACACAGGATGCTGATAGTCGTCGACTCAACAATCACTTCCAGCTGACCTCGCTCAGCATCTTCTGTGCATTCTGGCTGGATCCTTCACCACACAGCAAGGAATCAAGTGTTCCCTTATCGATGACGACATCAAACATGCCATCAGGAAACTCAAGTGCCCTGCGCAGCAGATCGAAGGTTCGACACCCACACGCGGTGTTTTACCTGCAGTCGGCCTGCTGGTAAACCATACCAGGCTTATCCTGATATCGCTCTTCCATCTGCTTTATAACGACATCTGAGAACAATTAAGCACCCTAGTGAAGAAGATTAACTTCATAAGATATACCAGAAATGTCCACATTCACTATATTCTGATATCCTTCTTCGTACATCTCCTCACTCAGCTTCGAGCTACCAGCACCAACGTTGAGGATCTTATCACCAGGCTTCGTATACTCTTGAACGACCTGGAAATTCAACAGTCACGTCATATCACTACAACGAAGATTTCTCTCACATCTTTGAGGCCTGCCCAACGCTGGTACCAGTCGAACGGCTCGGGGTCACGAGTGTAGCGCTCATTCCAGTACTCAGAGCGACCGTACTGAGCCATTGGGAACGAATAGGCTAACAACGAACAACTCCCATTGTGACACTGGAACTCAAGGAAGGGTGTTCAAGCTTATATGAACGCTCAAATAGTCAGTTGTAACACTATACTCAGAGTCGGTAATCATTACCGGTATTCAGAGACCTTGTGATGGTCACAATAGATCCTCCCCCATACACCGTCGCAGTCACAGTGCAGCGAGAGCTCTACAGGAGGGAACCTCACATCACATATGCCACGTTGAACCTCAATGACACTTCTCGTCATCGGCACTGGATGGATCGTTGATGCGACTGAAGAATGCTATACGCCCGGTGGGGTTGTGCTTAACAATGAAGAAAAACGATCTGTTGACTACCATCTCGAACGAATTCGGCGGTGGCATCACGAAGGCACGGTTCATGACCATAGCTGTAGCTGCGGAGCCTTCAGTTCCCTCCTCATTCACCTTAAGAACAGCCTTGTGGAAGACGTTGCTGATTTGCAAGGGACCATCAGACATGCCAGAATAGTCACCCGACAGCTGCAGACCTCCTTCCGCTAGGACGCCGGTCAGGTCCTCCACACCATACTCGGCTTCGAATTTGGGCATCATCAGCACGCCGGGCGTCCGTTTCATTCCAGACAGCCACGACTCATAGGAACTCACGTCGAGGACAAGACGCTTGTTTGCTGTACTAGGCAATACAATAATAGCCGAGTACTCAGGGTGAGTGTAGGGGATAGACACGACCTGGACATCACCATCAGAGTAATAGTCAAAGATCTTCATGCCTCCTTTCTTGTCCTTGCTCTCGGCCACCATCATTGGAACCAACTTCGACCCACCTCCCGGCAGCTCAAATTTCATAGGTCTAGTTAGCTGAGGGTTAAATTTGGCCAGCCAAGAATCCTTGAAGTAGGCCGCATTGACTAATACAGCGCCGTCAGGCGAGGGATCCTCGTCCAGAATGTGACCGATGAGATGCTTGGTATTATTATCAACCCAGCGGTTGATCTCAGCTGCAGTAGGCACTTCACGGTGTGCGCTTGAACCGGGCAAACGAGTTTCAACTGCTTTCAAGTAGTCGTCACGAAGCACCTCCGACCAGACAGAGTTGGCCAACAACATAGCGTCGGAATTGTAGTCGACGCCGAGGAGATCATCTACCGAGCTAACGCCAGTAAGCTTGCAGATGCCATCCGCAGTGGAGCCTAAGGTAAAGCTTCATATAACAAGGAACGGATGGTAGGCTACTTGTGGTAGCTGCTAGTAAGCTTACCTTTTGCACCTAGTGCTGACATGGCCAGAGTTTGGTACACTGATAGGGGGCTGATGACGATGTTGGAATTATCTTCGTCCGACTGCAATAGCTTGCCAATGAGGAAGAACGCCAGTAGATCCATCGAGCTATTAGTTAAAAATTGTGACATTATCCTGAAACAAATAGCATGCTCAAATTGAAGAGCGTCGTTCAACACTCTAATGGTATCATCACAGGCACAAAGCATACCCAAGTTAGGCTAGTGCCTTGTCTCATACATCATACGTTGTGCTCAGTCACAGTTAACTAGATGACGTTACCTCACTTCCATCGAAACCGAAGAACACGAAGACCTTTTAAACATCTGGCTCGTTCTTGAAACCATCGTTTCCAGCCCAGTGTGCGAGGAGGTACGAATCCGAAACGGAAAGATCGTATCAGTCTTTCTCTCAACCACTGGCATAGGTGCCCCAAAAGCACGCCGAATTCATTTCCCTAAGGGCACGTGATGGAAGTTTTTTGACGAAATTGACGGTTGAAAATTACAAGTTGAAATTCCGATAAACTCGAATTTCTCGTCGATTTCGAGGGCGAATGAGAGAAGTCACCCGCGCCAAGAAATCTTTTTTCGTTTTCTAGCGGAGCGATGCTGCCACATGGCGGCGGTGGGTACACAGCGGATTTACAGTTTCATGATGGTACATTGTTCGATGACTCGCTGAGTCGGAGCTAGCAAGGGGACCCAAAGTTTCCCATGTGCTCCACACCAGTAGGAAGAGCCATGTTAGTCAGCGCCGGCGACCGTGACCAATGACCAATTATCAACAACGAACTCTGTGTCACACGTGTGGTTGGAGATGGCTGCGACGGTGGGGAAGCCGAAGGAGCTCAATTAACAGGAGTCAGGCAAGTTCGATACGGCCCTGCAAGTCTTCCATAGCGAGATCTCTATAGGTGCTTGTAGAGCACCTCTCTTCCCACGGTGTGAACCCTAACGTTACCAACACTAGAGGGGAGACAGGGGGATCGGTGACCATTCCGGTTTAGTTTTGTTTTTACTGCACATTTCCATGCTCTCTACAACTGGATTCACGGGTCGAGCCATACCAGGGGCTTTGACTGCTGCTACCCGGGCACTGCAAGCGAGGTTCATCGCTGTCTCCGCTGAGGCCACACCTAACCCCTCTGCAATGATATTCACTTTGGAGGGTGGGAAACCAGTTCTCGGAAAGGTGCGAAAAGCATGTCCTTCGAGAGGAGCCAGTGTGGCGGTTCTCCACTGGCTGCCAGTTTATTCAGGGTGAATGGTTGAAGCCGTAGCTGTCAAGGAAGGAATGATCCCTCTCCAGATTCATGGAGTGGACAAGGTCCTATTGGCCGCTCGTCATGCTACTGTAACCAAGTCACCTGAGACTGACTGGGAGATGTTACAGCCTAATGTGGAATTGGTCATGTCTCAGTTCTTCGAGATTCCCAATGTTAAGCCGGTAAGAATCAACTTAGCGGTTTTATTCAGTTGAATCACTCACCTTCAGGTTTCTCCCGAAGCTATAGAATACACGCCAGAAGGCCAGGATCAGCATAATGATGAAGTCGTGAAGAGCATCCATGAGATACTCGAGCAGCGGATCAAACCATTCGTAATATGGGCTTCGGTCTAGGAGTTTGTGAACATAGGGATGGTGCCCTTCCTCATGTCGAAGGGATGTACGGAAGTCTCTTGTGGGGAATTTCCTTTCTTCCTACACATTGACGTTGGTATCGTCATCAGGTGGAGCGAGATGGAGGTGATGTAGAGTTCGTTTCCTTCGATGCGGATAGCGGAGAACTTGAAATTCGGCTCGTCGGTTCATGTGAGGCTCTTGGTCAGTAAGTTTTCATCGATACCGCTCCGCTGTCAGGTTCGGGTTGCCCTAAATCTAGTGTGACATTGAAATTCGGTATTCAACGAATGGTGTGCCATTACATCCCGGAGGTGAAGAATGTGACCAATATTGAGGAGTCTGCAGAAGGTGTTGACGCAGAAGAGGGGACTGCCGAGCCTCAGGCCTAGTACAGCCTCTCACCTTAAAGGTTATCATTGCACTTGCTGTTCTATATGTCATCGATTCATCACTTGATTCTCGAGAGTTGACCAGAGGCTTGCGTTTGGTGTGATCGAGGCTTTCTTGAACAGTACTTGTTCCTTCCTTATGATAACACTGACAACCTCGGGGATATCAAGTCCATTGAGCCGAGTTATAGCGTCACACGCACCCACTTCGCCGTCGCTGTCTTATGAATGCAACACGTCTACTGAAGACGAGGCCTCTCCTGTTTCTGAAGTGGCAGTGAAGGTCTCATCTGCTGCATCAACAGACTCCAATGTGATGATATTCTGGCTGAACAACGATAAGAAGATCCTTCCTAGCGGGGCTAAGGGAATGACTTTCGACAGCAAAGAAGGTTCATCCCAATCACCACTGGCTTTGAGCCTATTCAAGGTAGTACCGGCATGAGAGGGGGAAGACGCATCGATCTCTCACTTTTAGCTTTCGGGAGGATATCCTTTAGAGTGGGAGTAAATGTAGCTCCACAAATTCACATTTCTAGATTCGCCCCACACAATTTTTACGATGTTTTTGTAAATTTCGTGAAGTTTCAATTTCATATGATGACTGATTTCTGAAATTCTCTCTGTGATTTTATCGGTGGCTTCATGATCGGTTCACCACGCCCTACATGTTATTGTGGCAGTAGTAGTTGCTTTTGACTGTCAGTGTGAGCTGTCCATTGTTGTCCTCAGATTGAAGGTGTCGAAAGAGTGGTTCTCACCCACCACAATGTGGCAGTGTCCAAAGTCTCCTCAATTGACTGGTGCTTTGTCAAGCCCAAGGTGGAGTCGGTCCTTTCTAATTTCTTCGCAGTACCTGGTCTCCAATCGGTATGGACCTTATTGGGTCTCTCCCTATGTCCTATACGCTGGTCGAATTAGGTTTATCGATCTGCCTTGCAATTCGAGACGGAGGTAGAAGAAGCTGAGAAGGCTAAACTGATGGAGCGCATCGCTGAGGTGCTGGACGATCGAATTAGGCCAGTGGTAGTAGTAGGGAGGGTGCTCCGGTGTTTGCTGACTATTGCTTCGTCAGCTTCAAGATGATGGTGGCGATGTTGATGTAGCTGACTTTGACGAGGAAACCGGAGTGCTGAGCGTCCGACTGAAGGGGGCCTGTAAGAGAGCTATCGACTCTTGTTGTGATCGTTACTGATCTTCTAGGTGCTGGGTGTCCGATGTCGAGCGTTACTCTGCGCTTCAGAATAGAGAATATGCTTGTACAGAGCGTCCCTGAAGTGAAGAAGGTCATCAACATTGCTTCTACCGATGTTAGTCAGAACCCTAAAGAGATGGAATTTTGAAGCACGTGGTTGCAGTTCTAAAATTGAACTCTTCCGACAGTGGCACCGGTCATTATTGTAGTCATTTCCTTGATATAGTCTCATTAGCACTTCACTGGCCCGACTTAGCTTTTTCGGCATGTGGGTCAATCAGCTCGTGTTAGTTCTCTGCGTAGACCGGTGCAGAGCTCGATAGTACTCAGCACATTGACAACTGTATAATAATGAGTTCACGCTTGCCTTTCCAGGGCGAGTAAGATGACGAATTTTTCTTGAGTTTTTTACCAAATACCAACTCAATGGTGTCTATTCTTTTCTGCAGTTGACTACCTCAATATGGGTGCTTCCGAGGAAACTCCATCTTCCACTGCAATGCAGCCACTGTCTAGATTGGAAGGTTACCGCGTCTTGTATGTTCCTCTGTCGAAGGGCTCTCCCCTTACGCGCCAACTCATGGTCAAGCGTAACGATCAAGCGGCTGATCCTGCGGAATGGCCCAACGAGAGTAAGCTCAGGAGAGGGCCGGTCGCAGATCTAGCAGTGTGAGCTGGGAAATGTTCTGCGTAACGCTAATTTCGCTACCCTCTATAGTGTTCTGCTCTCCGTAATTTTCTTGGTGGTGTCCACATTTCGTCCCCTAAGGAACCCTTTTCGTCGCCCATTTGGACTACTGGGTCACCGAGAAGGCATTGACACGGCTATTCGAGGTCTTTGGAGACGTTGAGAGAGTTCGGATAAAGAAGGCTGTGAAACCGGCCCAGACTAGTGCCGATAAGGCGGTAGTACCTGCCCATCGCTGTCTGCCCATATCGGTCGCTCTTAGGACGGTATAGTGAGGGACTTAGTCTTTGGCCATGTGCTGTTCGTATCGGAGGAATCCATGACCAATGTTTTGGAGAGCCCTAGCGCTTCTATGGAACTGGTGAGCTGTTCACATGATCTTCTATTGTGAAGTTGTCGAGTTGTGGTAGGTTCACCGAGGGTTGTGCCTTCCCCTAGCTAAGAGTGTGCTGAAGACAGCGGAGAAAAGTGCGTTGCCCGCTTCCAGTCAAGTGTCCACTACTAAGACTACTATACTCGGCACTCCAGTTGTGTAGGGTATAGGACGCGATGCTCTAGTATTACACAGACTCCAATCAAGGTACTGTGATCCCCTCACTCTACAGCGACATGTTGATGTTGCCATGGCTGAGCACGAGGACGAGGAGGCTGCCGAGAAACGTAGGCAGCAAGAGGTAACACCCTGTCTGTTTGGTCTGACTCTTCTATGTTCCTATTGCAGCCCGAAGTCGACGAGGACGGCTTCACGGTGGTTCGTGGTACTGGTGTCACCCGCTCTGCAGATGGCCTTGCGGTTAAGGGCTACAGAGTCCCAACTGCAGCAACAACAGCCGTGGACTACGGCGAGCTTTTCGGAGGTGCTGCGTCCCTTCCCTTAGGATCTATTGATCCCCGATTTCATATGTGCTCAGGTATCGGGCATGGAGTGAGTCAGCAGCGAAAACTGGAGAAGAAGAGGGCGAAGAAAATGCAGGTGAGTTTGAGAATCACGAACTGGAGTAGTTATTTATCGCGGACAAGATTTGGTTTGATTTTCTATGCGAAATATTTCTGCGAGATGTTGGGAGTATTACACTGTGTCTTGGACGCAAGTCTCAGTGGAGAAGGAAGGGTTCGGTACATTTTGGCCGTTGCCAGGTAATGGACTTCTATCGGTTCCAGCACAGAGAGAGGAAGAGAGCCGAGTTCATAGAGGAACAGAAGCGGAACACTCAGGATCAGGAGTAATAGTATCCACGGCCGCATGGACCAGAAGGCACCGATCGTTTTCAGGACCGTCTCTGCGATGAAAAAGAGACGTCTCTTTGAGATTAAATGATTCCGTACCATCACATTTCCTGTCGAACTGGGCAGTAACGTTTCATTCCCACCTGTGCGAAACGCGTCGAGTTCATCGGGTGGCGCTGACATTGGCGGTGCCACCATCAGCCGTCAACAGATCATCGCTACTACAGATGTCCAGTATGAAGATCGAGCCTTTGATTTGGCGGGGAATCTTCCATGATCAGCTTGGTACGCACCCGCAACACTCCCGAGAAGCTGTCATCAGGCTGGCATGGGAAGGACCAGTGCATTAACCTAGAAGGGACGAACAACTGCATATCATTCCGACAGACACCAGTGGTGTCACACCACGATAGACCCTTTCCTATTGTAAACTTTGCCTTAATGCGTTTCCAGTGTGAGCCATGATCTACTTGCAGGGTTAACGGGAAAATCCTGTCCCATCCACTGACGAACGCGGCGCTGTTATAGCAGGAAATGTTCCAGAACCGTACAGAACTCAGGGTCCTCATCGGATTCCAGGATTCTCGCTAACTCTGGTGAAACTACCACTGCTAGCTGTTTGAGGCACCGCGGGCTCCGTCACTCTTCCGCCTCGAGTAGTTCACAGTTGTTCTTCCCTCTTCTCTAGCAATTGCTCGATAGGCATAGGCTTGTGAGTTTCCAGATGAGCCCGAATATGAACCAACTCACCATGCATATCGCCTCCCCTCGAAACAGAAGTATGATAGTTGATTGGTTCCATCGAGACTTCGACAGTTTCACTCCTACGCGAGAAACTGAATTTCGTGGCGCGTGACGCTTTTCGGCCCCCACCAGAACGACTTCGAGGAATCGGCCAAGACTATCGCTGCAGTTGTATCATATTGTAAATGGCATATTCCCAGTCTGGGTACTCCAACTTCCAGTCCCGGATCGAGGGCTACGGCAACACAGCCTATGATGGGCAAGATGAGTCCCTTCAAAGTCGTGCTTCTGCGGTAGTACGGCATCATCATCATCCTACTGAGCATCATCACTGCTAGAAATCTTCAGGCTGGTTCCAAATTGGCTTCCGAGGTCGGGGCTACAGTCTCTGCATTCCAGGATGGCAGTATGTATAGCACTATCAGGGAGCAGGCTGGAGAGGCTGCAAGTAGTGTTGGGGAGTGGGGATAATTTAAAATTGATAAACTTAGTCAAGTTTGTACTGAGCTCAGTGCTACTGTGTAATGCAGTGTGTCGCCGTTGAGTGAAAGGCATGAATACACGGTCATTATAGGGTACAGCGACTCACTATAGGATCTGAAGGCTGAATAGTCCCGTATAATCTTGATGAACTCGTATGTCACTCTATTGAGACTTTCCTTAGGTGTGATATCTCAAGCCGCCTGGGGAGTGGCCGAGTGGTTCCGTCCTTCTACGACGTCCAACGGTTACTCTACTCCTGGCAATGCTTATGTCAATAACAACGTCCCTTCGTACAGTACTCCCACCGCACCACCGCAATCAGCATACCCTGGCTATGGCAACAGCTCTGGCTACAGTGCTCAACCTTCTAGGAAGCCTTGGGGAAATAACGCTACCCCATCGGTCACTCCCGCACGGTCGAGCGGTCCGCCTGTCCCGGTCCAACCGGTAGCCGAGGCCAGCTCGACGGCCCGTGGGGTCTCTGGGGCTTTGCCCAAAGGAAAATACGAAGCCCAGTTGGTGAAGCAGGTGGTCGGAAGGGGGTTTACAAGTTGTCTGAGACTCTGCATCAGGTCACTGCTCCTGGGGGCACTCGGGTGAAACCATCCGAAGCTGTTTTGCGTGAGTTCTACCACAAAGTAAGGAATTTGGACTTGGCAGTTGTGGGCAAAGAGCTTGCCAAAACCATGAACGCAACGGGAGCAACGTGGCAGCACCGATTGAGAGTAAATACGCACTGCCGCCTTAGTAAGTTGCCAGGGTTCGTCTTAGGTCCTCTATGTCGTAGACGGGCTTTGGGCGCAAGGCTTGGAGGAGCCTGTGGAGGCAGTTAAGGAAGAGTGTGCCATTACGGCGTTGGCCGAGTTGGCTGTGGATCCCCATACAAGGTAGGAAGTGTCCGGAGGTCTTTTTGTCTATCAACTCGGAATCGTCGTCGTTGAATATAATGATAAGAATTAGATTAGAAAATGATGAAGTACGTGGTATGTCTTCTGTGTTGATTTGGTGTTGGTGTAGGGCTAAGGCCGTACCGATCCTCAAGGAGTGGGGTATGGACGTGGACGGGCTTGCAACGTCTGCTGGAGTCAAGTCAAGAGGCGATGTGACAGCGTCTGCCACCGGGGATCTTCTGGACTTGGGCGAGTCCGGCAAACCGTAGTAGGGGTCCTGGTCATAAAGCATAGGTTTTGAGAAGTGTAATGGTGGCGGCTCAGCTAAGGATGCCCTCTTGTTACTTCTCGGATGAGATTGCCCATATGAGGGCTATTGCTTTCGACTCCAATGTGGTCGGAATGGAGACTCTGGGGATTCAATGTCTCAATAGTGCGATTTATAGGGAGTGGCTTAATCATAATGCTGGGAGGTGGAGTGAAGCGGCGCGTTAGTCTATGGTCTTACTGCTCGAGGAAGCATTCTCGAGCTTGGAATATACAAAACGAGTGGTACAGAAAATAACATATCGCATTTCCTATCAGTCTGTACTTGTCTTGAACGTCACTACGTTGTAGAGGTTGAGTATCTGCCTAGTAGCTGCTCGCCACGGATGCCGCGTGTCGGTTGGGTTACCAGGTGGTGTTCATCTCAGGTCATGGCCAGTCGGGAATGGACTGCCTCCGAGCACCGTTTCGCCCACTGCAGTTGAAGCACCTCTGATCGGCTCGACTCCAGCCCAGTCAGTGATTAGTACCGCGCCCAGCAGTCGTCAAGCCAGCCCAGCTAACAGTCGAGGGAAGGCTTCGGCCTTCAGTTTCGTCAATAAAGCACCTCCCAGTGCGGCCAAGGTTGCATCAAACACCAGTGACGAGCCCGCCTCTACTACTGCGAATCTCCTCGATTTGTGATGCACCCTCATCTCACCCACATTCAGTTGTATAGCACTGTAGTTTCTTTCCGAGCACTCGTTTTGTGTTACTCAGTGGGGTCACGACAATTGCTCCTAGTTGTGACGGATTATTGTCCCTTATATATAGTGACATCCGATTGAGCGTCAGTGTTGGTCCTGCGATGTCTTGTGGTCATCTATCCCATGCTAAACCCTCGGCGACTGCATTTGCTATGCTACCGGGAGGAATTAATATAGATGTTTTTAAAGACTCTCATGGCAAGGATGTGTCTCCAGTGCGTAGGAAAGCAGTAGTGTAGATCTACTTGAAGTGGAGGGTCTTGTTTTTGAGGGGCCTCAGTAGTACGCCTTGTTAGTACTCGTTAGAAGGCAGTGCCCAGTTAGGAAAGATGGCGGCTGAAATGTTCAAACAGCCTGGAAGTCCGTCAGCTGCCGAGTGAGCCAGCGCTGCTGGTGTCTTACGCTACTCGCTTTGGCTGATGATTATCAGTTTGACCAAGGCGTCTTACGATGAGCAGCTGGCCGCCAAGGACATTGAGAGGGTCGGCCAGGTCGGCCCTGGGGTACGGCTACTCCATCAGTAATGGTGGAGGATGCTTCCTATGTTCAGTGCAAGGAAGACTTTGCAGCGCCTTGTCCCAAGGGCTGGTCCTTGCTCAGCAACGACACTATCGGCCCGGTTTGCATCCCTCCGAGTAACTATCATGGTTATTGCAACAAGCCTCAACCCTGGCCGACTTATCCAGAGGCACTGTGATCAGGCTCATCTCGTTGAGTATGTCAATTGACTCTCTTTAGAGCCGTAAGGCGAGTGACGCTGTGGGTTGTAGAGTGAAGTACCCCTGCATAGGAGAGGCACACGAAGTGAAGTGGGTCAGCAAGGGTAAGACTAGAAATAGCGATAGCTCAGGGAGTTCCCACAACAGCAGACGCCGCCCATGTTACTGAACTTGTTGCAATTGAAAGGTGATTTTATGTGAAGCATTTGTGAGGAGTAGAGTTGAGTGTCCTTATATGGGAATGGTGTTCTGAAGTCCCAGCAGTTGTCCTTCTCCCTCCGTAATGGTGACCGCTGCTCATGAAACAGATGCTTATCACCGCTACTCAGTGATGCGTGTCGGGGCATTGAGAGCCCTCTGTAAGGAAAAGGGCTTACCTTCTGACGGTGAGGGAGGGGCTCCTATCGGACCTGGTTCGTATCTTTCACCGGGCAACCTCTGGATTCACACTGTGAGTGTCTCAGGTCGCAAAGAAGATCTCGTGAACCGTCTTTGTAACAATTGCAGCACCGCCTATTCTGGTCTAATTAATGCAAGAGTAGCATCATCATCAACCACTGGAAGTTCTCCCGGGTCGACGACTTCAAAGTCTCCTACTGATGTCACTATCACTGAAGGAGTTCCCTCAGAGGAGGGTATTACTACTCCTCATGCGCCTCCATCGGCAGCGTCATCAGGGGAAGTAAGCTGCCCTCCTACTGCGTGTTCGCCAGGAAAAGCGCCGTTGATCGCCAGGGCGATGGGAGCTCGAATAACAGCCGCCTGACTACTACTGAGCTCCATGAACTAGCAAGTATTGCCGATGAGATAAGGCACATAAGGAAGCAAACGGTGAGTTTTCCTTCTTCCAACTATTAGGTGGCTTCAATGTTCGTTGTTGTTGTTGAAGGAATTCAGTCTCCTGCGCGTAGCTGGGCTAATCACGGACTATCCCTCGGCATCGACACGCCTTGCTCCTGACACTCGCTATGGTGCAGCGCAGAAGGCGACACCTTATGGAGTAAACAGTCCGGGCTCTTCCCTCGAGTTATCAATGCGTTTTCCTAGTTTCCGGTCGCAGCTCCTACTTCTAGAGCTACCGTATCGCTGCATCACTCTCAGCAGCAGCACGAGCAGTATTGGTCGTACGAACGACAACTAAGCCTAGGTAAGAACCACCAATTGTTGATTGGCGAGGTATCATTGCTCTGCATATAATGTCAGGATCTCACTGATGTGCTACTAGCCACAAGAAGTCTCGGCACTGGTGTGAAGAACCTCATAATAATGTCATTATCATCCTTCTGTTGTCCCACTCATTCCCTATCTCATTCTTTCCTTTTTGTCTGTCTCATCGTATTCTCATTGAAGTGAAGTTATGTGAGCTATACCAGCAGCTGTGTGGCTATTGCTGCTCACATTAGCTGGTATTCGCAGCTAGCAGAACACAGAATCGCCCTCAAGAATTCGTTCACGCGTTACTATAGTCCGGGCAAGCCTCTTTTCGACGGAGTATGCTTGTGATGTGTTCCGCGCCGGCGAAGCTGTGTTCTCTATTCTTCGGTTTCATAACATTGAGTGGAGTTGGTGTTCTCAGCCATTGACGCAAGCCTTGATCGCTCATTTCGATGATATGTGTAGAGTGCGGACAAGTGGTGAAAAGCCTCTTCCGAGAGTATTCGCGTGGCAATATCCGCCTCACTCATTGCCAGAACTGTGGCGCTATAGCTGATAAGTAAACTGAATATTAATGCAGCAGTCTGCTCCCATGGATGTTGTCTGATAGATATATCGAGTTAGAGATACAACTGGTGTTCGTCGACCTGATACTGCACAGGAGTCAGGCTTATCGGCACATACTTTTTAACCGGGGGACTATTCGGGTTCACAAGGAGGTAACCGGATAGAAAAGTCAACCGAATTCTCGCGGAGCCTTTCGCTCGACATCGCTAGCATCATCAGCTGTTATTTCATGTTCTTAGGTATACAAGTTTCTCACGGTTATGTTTGCCTTGGACTCGTTCGATCAGTGGTTCCTCTGCGGTCGAAGTAAAGAGGCCGATTATCTTGAGAGTCATCCCGTCGGTTCTGAAAGGTAGAGTAGCGTTGCAGAGTGTGTATCAGTGAGACCGCCATCAAGGTATCCTTGGGAGGAGTTTGCAAGGTGGCTCCAACCTCACGAGCATCAATGGATGTTACTCATAGAAGCAGTTATGGAAACCGTTGTGTGCGTATACGCCTAAACAGCATGAGCTTGCGAGCAAAGACTGTTCCCCTTTCCCAGGTATCTGGCAGTCATCTGTTGGTTAACCAGACTCTACGTCACGCTCCTGCAGGATAGGAAGATCCCCGACCCGTCGAAGCCTTCGCAATATGACATTATGGAATTGGTATGCAATCCCTCTTGCTTGTCAGCATGACTCGGATATCAGTCCCCGCGAACTCGTGCCCAATCCCTCCGCACACCCTTACCTTCCTGGGGAACCTCGTGGATGCAATTTCGTTTCCTGATCTCCGCTGTTGTGATATCTTGCTTCGGGAAACTCGGTAGGGAGTTCTTGCTATAGAGACACAGCGAGGATGCAATGAATCCCAATACACAGGTATTCTACTGTGGATGATATGGGATGCCAGCCGCTTGATCCGAAAGGCCATATCAGTGTTCACCCTAACTTCGAATATAGTTGCTGTGCGAGTCTTCTTACGTTGCGATAGTTACACACCACCTGTCACCATTGTCGGGCTAGCGTTCGTTGCGAGGTAAGCTGCTACTTGCTGGAGCTCGATTGGTATGATCTCTTTTCTTCAGGGCACTCTTCAGATGTGCCATGTCTACTCTGGAGCCCACATTGGAGTTTAGTATCATATAGTACGTTTGTGCACTGTGAACATTGATTTTTCCTCTTTGGAAGTCTCTACCTGCTCTTGTGTTCCAAGTCTTGGTTGGTTTATCCGGATTCCCTTCGAGCAGAGAAAAAAGAGATGTTCAATATCTCGTGTTAATCTGGCAAGAACTCGTGGAAAATCACCTGATGTCATTGTGTGAACATCCCACATCAATGACGTTAGCACCAAGCGATAAGAAGTTGGCGAGCCACAGACTCTAGAGTTACTCAAAATAGGCTTAGCATCCCGTACGAAAGGCGTAGGTTAACCGATATTGATATTAACAGTCGGTCGATGCTAGATCGGAAGACAAGAGGCCTCAGCAGGGTACTTTGCATTAAAGTTGCCAATAACACTATCGGCTTTATCCGTACACTCTAGTGAGAGTACGATTTCCCTTCGCCAGAACGGCACCCCAACCGAGGAGACCGCGGTCAGCGGGCGAAGTCAACGGCTGACCCTTTCTTAGGATTAGTTCGGGTTTCGGACTCACCCTGAAGGTGCTGCTCCTTGTGGAGCACAGACACTGGATTCGAGGGAGGGTCATCATCGCGTGATGTGAAAGAAGTGTGGTATGGGCGTGCGTGCGGCCGTTTCATGCCGAGAATGACATAGATAATTATTTGGACCAACTGTGGTATTGGTGAGGACAAACGAAAAGGTCGAATAACTCTTGGTATGCAGGGCGTGTTTGCTTCCTCATATATTTCTACGCCCACGATGTCTGGGCAGTTTTTCCTGCAGTTGCACATACAGACATCGCCGAGACGGCAACGGTGCAGATTATAGCACGAACTAGCTGAAGACCGCATTGGCCCGCTCACAGCCCATTGTACCGATGGATTTCTCAACCGGGAGGTCGAGTGCACTATATATTCTCCGTGACCCCATAACCCGTAGTGTCCTTGGCCTCATGATATCCGTCCACGATATTCAACGCAATCCCTATTGGAGTACAAGTTACTAGTATCCTAAAGGTGAGTCTCAAGTTGTTGAGAGCAAGCCTCTCGTCCATCGGCTTGTCACAGAACGGGCCCGTATTGTCTCTGGTGATCACATAGCACTCGAGTGATGAGCTTACACTTCTCCAACTTCCCTACTACGAAAACCCAAGACATCCCTTGGCAAATGAAAACAGTAACAGTATGGACTATACAAGTTTCGCAACGATTAGTGATTCTATATCGACTGCCGGTAGCTGGTGTAACGAGTATCATCCGATGCTTGACCGTCAGCGAACCAATGGATAATGTATCTGTCAGGACCGATCGAGCAGATTCGATTGCAGACCAAGGTGTCTCACTATCGCACGTTATCCGAAAAAGTTATAATCAGTAACATAGGACGGAGGGCCGTATCTTGGGTAGTGATTATTATTAGTATTATTGAAGCTACCCTTGCCACGGCCTTTCCCATAGCCTTTATGCGGAGTCCAATATTCTATCAACGATTGATTCGCTACGAGCAAGCACGTTACTGATGCCTACTGGAACGCCGACCGCCATGAGTAGGAGGACCTTGACGCTGCTGTTGATGCTGTGGTTGTGCCTTGGCGACTGCTATGGGTCTAGCGTAGGCATCAAAACCAGGAGGCTGCACAATTAGAGGCTGGCCAAGACTGCTGAGCGCCCCTGCTGAACTACTCCGTGAGCGACCTAGCGCTCGTGATTGCGATGTAGTAGATTCTAAATACCTGAGCCACAGACGTCCATATCGTTACTGCGCGTTCACGAAGGGAAACTACACTAGAAGAGCGTTCTCACTGAGCAAAGGTAACGCAGCGAGAATCTCATCCCCAACAGGGTCCACGGCTGTCACGGGGCGACTCGGGAACCTACAGCCCAAGTCCTTAATACCGTCACAAAGGCAACTCTATCTCACGCTCGGGTCGCGGAGTCCCGCATTCTACAGCACGTTACATAAGCATGTTGCAGTTTTGAATTTATGATGGCGTTCCGAAATCCAGGGAACTGCCGAGTGGTGTCAGCCGTCTTCTTATAGTACCTTGAGCCATATTGAACACCCTTGCCTTGTTCCGCCTCTTACTACTTCTTCGTAATTTTCCTAAAACCTGCTATATTAACTTCGCAATATGCCATTAAGTCATTCAGGGCTGGTATGGCATTATTCATTTTCGCTATTAAATCAGAAACCGCAGGGGAAGGAGTGTCGATCGATGCCGAGGACAGTATCCCAACGATCGTATCTACTCACACGCCGTCACCGACATGCTAGGTGCTCCCCAACTTACCCCGACTCGGTCGGCCCTTCCCTCCAGAAGACGACGCCCCTCCAGGTCTCACACCATTCACAGTGGGGGTCGAAACAGGCCCCGCGTCCAGCAACTCAGTCCTTGCTCGGTCCAGCTGCCCCGGGGTATAAATCAATCCCAGCAAAATCGAGGACTAACAAAAGACTATTCGTGGAATATAGTGCCGTTGAACTCACCAACTGTGCTTCTGCTAGCAGCGACTCTAGTGCAGTCAATCTAGTTGCTATCAACCCTACAACGTTAGTAAGATCGGACTGGAGTAGTCGGGTGAAGTCTGCCACGGCAGGGTTCTGTCGCAGATGACTACCAAATCGTAATATGAGGATTCAAGGCCTACTGTATCGCCATCGAAAGCCCCGGCCTTCGACGCCTCTTCTATAGACAATTTAATCAATCGTTTGAGCGGCTTATAGGAGACGTACCTGAACGGCTACTCTCAGTAAAAAACTGACGACAGTCCGCGACGATCCATGCACAAGAAGTTGATATTTTGTGTAAGATCAGCGTGGCTTCTGCGAGGCCAGCACTACAGGATTTACATCGACATTGCATCGCTATGCGAATTTGACCGAAAGTGTGCATGTGTGACGATATGAAAGGCTCGCCCTCCCGCACTACGGATGAGATGAAGACGTTGCATGTAAAGCAAGAGTCTTGCCGAAGCGCATCGGAAGCTTATAAACTGACAAAACGAGTCTATTGCAAAGTACCGTGGCCGCATCCCAGAGGAAGTGCATGTGAGGAACACTGCTCAGCAATTCAGTAGAAACGACGTTAATCCTTCTTCTCAACAGTAGCGCCCCGGATCTTGAGTGCCATATGAACAGCATCATCCTCCAAGAAAGTGGGAGGAATGTCGGCATCGCCGTCGAATGAAGGGAGATAGGACAGCACGGTTGGTGATGGACCCTGAGCGAACACCAATTGAACCGCCACTTGCATCCCCCTCCCCGACCTTTCTCGTGCCCTTTACATAAGTCACCACTATTATAACTGCTCCGCCGCATGCCTGCTCCTCTGAAGCAGTAGGATCCGGCAGTAGCCACGTCTTGTCATCGGATAATAATGCCAAAGTGGTCGAGCCAGGAATCGAACCCATGACCACACCATGTGCTTGAGTCAGCTCTCTTCCCATGGGTGCCTGCGCGAGACCAAACATGCCATATATCAGAGCGATTACGCGACTTCGTCGGATGAGCATATCTCAGAGCTCCTAACTCTCGTTCCCAGTTCCCCTTGCGTACCGTTGTAATAGACGCAATATTGACATCAGCGGCTCTGTCACTGAGAGCTTCTCCAGCGAAGAGTGCAGGTAGTTGGACACTCTGCAAGGCCTCAACAGCCGCCCGCATACACACATCCATCAGGGATCCGTCCACAGATAGGACCGTTATGACCAAGTGAAGTTGCCATACCACCTAAACGCCAACATGCGATCCTTCCGAGGTGCCCCCCCCACACTACTACCTGCCCTTCTACAACACACAGCTGGCTGGGGTCGAACACTTCTGGTCCCATTTGGAGAATGGACCCGACTTTAGTTGCAACCTATATTCAGCAACGATGATCCCCACTGTTAGGTCACCCCACTACCCAAGACGACACCTGCTGTGCTTGCCTTCGAGACTGGTCTGCTGCCGGTGGGAGATCCACTGAGACCTAATGTGGCTATTCCCAAGTTGCAGGGAACATGCCCTATACAAGGGCCTCATCACAAGTGCCTACCGTAAGACGGCCCTGCCTAGGCATTGATGATAGCGGCTCTCCTAATAACGGGTGGACTACGCAGGTGGCACAGTTCTGAGGAGGAACCAACTAGTGCAGTGTTTTGAGCTAACCATAGCAGTATCGGTTATAGGATATTTATTTATTATGAAATGCTAAGAATGAGGATAGAAAATCCATTTTTTTATCAGAGAACGATAATATTGATTATTCTCCCACGCAAGTTCGCAACCCCCTTCTAAAAAACAAAGTTGCAAAAGGGTTATCTGCCACACCTACTACCTCGCCGATCCGGACTGTCGACTTCCCCTCACTGGACGTCGCCGAGATCTTTCGACTCGAGAACGGCGGATCGGCCCTTCCATCAGGGCGGACACCAGCGTTGAGGTGCTTGAGTAGAAATCCGCGAGGATCTGTCGCCTCTAACAGGGCCGCGTTCATATATAACACTAGCTGCGAATGGTTGTGAGGGTTGGCTCGAATAGGAGCATGCTACACTCAAGTTCGGTTGGCGAATGTGCCCATCGAAATCCTAGATCACCATACAATTATTTCATCAGAGCTCTGAAATTGTCGTTCTGCCGGTTTTGTCCTACATTGACGCTCTATTTAAGGTGCTACTCGCGATGGCCACGAAGAACACGGAGTTGTGCCTAATAATCGATCAGAATGGCGCGCGCAAGTCGAACGGCGCAGGATGGTAAAATTGTGCCCATAGTCGCTGCGTTGCCCTCTCTCAGTCTACTCACGATAGCAGCAGCGATGAGTTATCCAATAGTGGATTCCTTCAGTGTTCCAGCGTAAGGCAACAAGGCTGGGCCCAATTCTTGCCTAAGGCGGTTCACTCAGGGTTGGTCACCAAAGGGACAGTCTCAAACCCACACGTCCATCGTATTCCTTTGGGCTCGGCACGAGAGGCGCTCGAGAGAAGCTGTTCATTTCTAAGGAGCACGAGAAACTCATGCCCCCGAGGTATGACCAGAATTCCACCATAGGGGTTTGCCTGTGATCTCCCTAGGTGCTCCCCAGGGCCTGTGTATCGTGTAGAGAGCCAGATTGAGGACCACAGTTATACCTTCAGTACAGCCGCACAACGACCCTCTCAGAAGAAGCGTTATCCAGGTATGCTATCCAAGGCGCACGATGCCTCCTGTTTTAGCCACATAGTGTACTGCTCTCTTAGATTCTTCAGTCGATTTGACTAACGCCTTGGTAGACTCCCAACCCCTCAAATATCCGACGGTTAAAGGAACCATCTTCGGTACAGACCCCAAAGGGCATATCAAGAATGCTACTATATTGAAGTACGTTCGAGATCACAGAAATATCTTTATGTAGGTAGGATTCTCTTATGGGCTCACTGTTCAGGAATCATGCTTCTGCTTTCTATGGGAGGATATCTCCTGGACCCACGGCCTATAGCCCTGATGACAAGCAGACTAGTCGGACACCACGGGCCCCTCGCGCTATACTAGGGTCCAAAACTAAGGTGCGAGTCTATAATGCCGCATATTACTGGGGAATAGGATGGTCTTTGGGAGGAGTTTCCTACTCTTACAGATACTGGCTTCAGAGTGCCAAACGCCAGCAGTAGTAGGCCCTGGAACATACCCTTCGCCGACGAGCATGGGAACACAGCATCTCAGTCAGAAGTGGGATCGGGCACATCGGTAGCGGTTGTGTGGTAGAATCAATAACCTCAGACGCAACCTATCATCATACACCTTCAGTAAGGCTCGGAGGGCTGGAGAACGCAGTAAGGTGAGCCCAAAGGGGCTAGCTATGGTGGAAGGCTGTGATTGTATCGGGATGACTTCATGATAAAACAGTAGTGGCCTAGCATGGTAGTACTTGTCGTTCTCAGAAAAGCTCTGTTGATACCATGGACAGAGTAGATTCCACAAGCCGGGGTGCCATCAGCAGTAAGGGAAGGTTAACAACCCACACGATGGACAGAGCATCTGCATTCAGGTATCGGTGAGCAGCACGATTCGCGTATTGCGACTGCGCCCAAGTTCGGCTTTGGTACGGCTACTCGGGATCACAAGGTGAGGGGAGGGGTATCGCCTGGTTACAGCCAGGGACCTGTCGTTCTCGTTCAGGCGAAGACATTCCTAGTCCGAATCCCGGGTGACACTGGACCATCGGATAGTTGGGCCAAACCAAGGTGAGTGATCAGTACATGCCAATGCATTCCTGTGTGATGGCACTGTTTTGGACCTAGGTGTCACCATCCGACATTGCCACGGTCAAAAGCGATTGTTGATTGGCATTAAGCCGGAGCCTCGTTACATGTTGTTCCTGCATAGTATTAGGGCGTGTGAATCATCGATGTTCAAGTTGCCTTTCGGAGTCGCGTTGGTTAATAAAGACCGTCAGTGCTGTGGCACAGTGTGGGTTGTTGGACCTCCCACCCTAACCAGAGGAGATTCATGGCAGCAAGGGCTACTACTCCCAATCCCTTGCTCAACGATGACAACTATGATATAGAATTGCCACCCGCGATAAAGGGTACAGCCAAGCCATCTCCTACACGGTTCACTTTGATGTCATTATCAGGCAAAGTGAAAATACTGCGCATCTGCATGGGAATCTGTGCCTTCATGATGCTCGCATGTAAACATCTCAGCTCGAGTGCATTTTCGGAGTTCCTCACGTAGGCTCGGTTGGTCGGCTCTATACACGGCAAGTGTGGGCAGGAATAGTTCTTTGTATACTGGGAAGCTATGCAGCTTATCTAGCCGGGCCAGAGTAGTCTATTGCTTCGTCCGGGGTGAATTTATCTTCTCAGGTGCAAAATGCATATATCCCATTGTGCTATGTATGCCGTTTTTGCCGGTCTCAACGCATTTTTCGATTTCATCGAGTGAGGCCTCCTACTGGCATCAATGTGGTTTACTACCGGTGAGTTGTTTACCGCAGGTTACTCCTCCGGGCAATTGGCACAGACCGTAAGCCTTCTAGGCTTTTCGCCACAGGCGTTGAAGTGGGTCAAGGGCTCTCCAGCGGTTAAGATGCTCGTCTTGGGACCATAAAACTTGCCTCAGAGCGTCACTGTCGAGACCCACGATGGCAGAACGATAGAATATTCAGCATTCTTCTACAATCTGACCTCAATAGTTCTCATCCTATCAGTAGTCTTCATGGGAATCAGCTTCGTTACTGCGGTGGGTTGGCGTGATGTGATCAAGTACAATTGCAGATGTCGCCGTAGGTCTTGGCATACCGAGTTCAGAGCGACTACTTCTTTGAGCAATTCGTGCCGACATATGCGGTATCAGTAGAGCACAGAGTATCCCAGAGACTTAGTGTGGCGTCGCGTAGCGGAATGGACGACTATGGCGCCGTTGGCCACGACGGCCGTCGAGAGACCTTCAGAGCGTTCAGCGGTAGGATGTTGATGGTTTGTCGGTGCTAGCGGGTATGAATTGATACTCCCTATTCGATCTCTCCATCTCTGTGTGTGGTCCACCTCAGCCCTACTCTACGCGCACTTCTCACCTCTAGAAAGGTTCCGATAGCATATTCAATTTAGGTTCTAGTCATCGATTGAAGGACGATAGCGATTGAATTCGTGACGTCTATAATTGCGATAATACCGATGTCACGTGCGACAAGACGGTTATTGTGTTGGAAGTACAATAAATGTCCTCGATCGGGACAGACTTGAGGTTGCCTCAACACTGCCGCGGAGCTAAGAATGAGTCGTAAAAGAAGCCTTCTGCCGGAGTTGAACCGACGACCTCCCGCTTACTAAGCGGGTGCTCTACCAACTAAGCTAAGAAGGCTGGTAAAACAATAATCTTTCATGGCAATCACGAAACGTTAGCCACTTGACGTTAATCGTTTAATCGACATCCTTCATCGACGGGATTTCTTACTGAAAACCGCTCATTCTCATCAAAGTCTCGTCCTTCCTGTGAACGCTGCTCAGCACCAGAAACTGTTACACATTGGGTTACAATGATCATAATTGAGTTATATCACGGTGAGGAGGCCCGCCCGGTCACTGACCCTAGATTTCGCTAGCTTTCTCAGCTTCGCAACCTCTGCAGACTAGCCAGCACCCTTCATGGACCTGACTCTTTGAAATTTGGTGAATAAGCTGGTGGATATCAAGCACGATGTGAAGTAGTTTCCAAGATTCAGCATCCATGGCCATCGTTCCAAGAGATTACATTCTCAGAAATACGTAGAGATTGCGTAGAGACTACGAACGTACATTCATGGATTCACGAGTATTCTCTGAGAGTACTTCCTCAGCGCCTTACGAATTGGAATCCCAGTCTGTCCGCATGGGGCTCGCGTCTACGATTTTTTTAAGACGTTCATCTCCGACTTCTACCTCCACAAGCCGTTATAAGAACCGCCGAAACATCTTCCCAATGAATCTTCCCAATTCAATATCTTCCGAATCTTTCCGATAAGACCGAGGGTCTTATCCCAGAAAATCCCCCGAAGCCCAGGATACCCCTATAGCCTTGGAACTCACGAACACAAATAGCGGTTTTTCCGGTACGTGGATAGAAACCAACTTATATCACTGGAACTAGATTGAACAGCAGTAGCCCTACACGCGGCTTTACTTTTCCGAATCTCACAAATGCTTTCGACTCTTAATGGCGGCACGGACTGTAGGACAGATCGAAAGTACGGAACCGTACGAAACGATTCTCCTAAGATGGAAAACATGGTACACGTTCAACACCAAGGAATAACTCACCATAGGCGTGAGAGGAGTCTCAAGGTCCTTGAAATCTTCTGTACCACGGACAGTGCTGTTGTAGACGAAGTCCTGGCTGACAGGGCTGGACAGATCGTCCATGGGATGGGCCACTCCAAGGAGATCCCAGACCTTAGCGAGACGCCTGAGAGGAAGAATAATTGAAAATTCCAGAGAGACTGAAGGGCTTACAACTGAGGAGGAGCTTGCGTGCGAGTATAATTGATGTAAGCATCCTTGGGGAGGTCCTTCATCTCAGCGACACGACGACGGAGCTCGACAAAGGGAGTAGAATAAGGCACAAACTCCCTGAACGAGAAAGGATACGACCATAGACGTCACAAGCTCAGCACGAGTACCTCGTGGGTGGGTAGGGCCAGCCCTTGCCAGGTGGAGTGATCCAGAATTCGCTAGAGATGTTGTACTCATGGAGGAACCTCTTAGTCTCGCCGGTGAAGAGCTGACCAAGGTCTACCTGTGCCCACTCGACGCTTGGAATGTTGGTGCTGTGAATCTGTGAAGAGGAAGATGCGATCGAAGGGCGACGACTGAGACGGCTTACCGTCACGTAGTCCCTCTGGTAGCCGAGGAAATCAAAATCATCACCAAAGACGAAGGAGTTGGGCTGACCACCTTCAGTGCGGAGGTTTGAGAACATCGCCAAGGCGGGGTAGTTGCGGATCCCGAGATAGGGGCATGCTGAGGAAGGCACAAATTGGAACGGGAAAACAGCCACAAGGAATTCAACCCTACCAGCAAGGCAGCAGATGAAGATCCATGGGAGGCTGCCGAGGAGACTGCGCTTAGCGTAGACCCTCTTGACGGGGACATCACTCTTGGGTGCGGGCCAGAAGGTAACGCAGAGAAGATAGACGCAAGAACACAGACTCCACACGGCAGCGAATGACCACAGGCCGTAGGGGGGATACCTAAGCAACCACACCGAGAATAGAATTCCATTTTCAACACTGGAGAAGAGACAAGAGTGGTCAGCACATGAAGATGGGCTTACTCGAATGGCCTAGCTCCGTTCAAATCGGAAGCCATCAGCTGAGGCCAAGCGCTCACGAATGAGAAGAAGATGCCGAGGAAGCCGCCCCAACGGAGAACAGGTTGCGCATTCAACCAGTTGAGAACCTTGTTGGCAACAAGAGCCGCTTGCTCGGGGAGCACCTGAGGAGATCGTCAACTAAGCCGATAGAGATCCAGGTGAACTTACGAAAGTGTACATGGGAGCCATGGCCATGGTGAACGGATAGACGCTCATAGGAGATACAGTCTCAGCGAGAACGCAGTGGAAGAGGGCACCCCAGAAGCACACGAAGCGAAGCCAAAAGTAAGTGCCTACGAGGAGCATCAGTAAGACGAGCAACTGATGCCTGCACAGGAGGACTTACCCTTGGCAGCCGCGAGGAGGAGAGCGATGGGAAGGCCTATCTCAATGATGACGGCGAGATGAGGCATGAAGTCCCAAGGGGCCCAAGAAGGAACCCAGAACTTGAACAAGGGAAGATCGACGAACCCGCCGAACATGAGAATCTGAGGAGAACAATGATGAGCCGCCGACGGCGGGGATCACCCGACGTACACAGCAGCTATACTCGTGGCTGGCCCAGCCACCGTTCATCTTATCGATTCCAGTAACAAAGTAGAGGGCGATTATCATAGCACGCATAGCCCACGTGGCTCTGTTCACCCACTCTGAACGATCGTTCTTGTATGTGAGGAACACCTAAGGGGAAGGCATTCTCCTCATGCTAACGGCACGACATGAAAAAACTTACGCATGATCCGAGGGCGATGTCGGCGAAAATGTGGTTACTGTAGTGACCAGTGATGAAGATGACGACAAAGCCGACCAAAAGGGAAGTCATCGTCACATAACGGCAGCGTGGCTTGACTAGAGCGAGGAAGTCGACAACAGCCAGAGAAACTAGAGGTATGGCGTTTTCTACAGTGCGCGAACCTGATTTAAGAAAACAATACTTTGTGAAGCACCCCGCGATCAGTTGGTTGGCGGTACTCACTCTTGAATATGAAGAAAAGCTTGACACATTGGAGTAACATGAGTTGCGACCAGAAGAATGTAAAGACCGAAATGGCGTCCATGGGTGGCGGAACGGCCTCAGAGGCCTTCTTCTCCCTGATCGTCTGGTCTCTCTTAGTTGATGTCGCCGCGCGAGACATTTCTTAACTCAACTGCGATATCACCATTGCCCTTACCATCCCTCAGACATATCCCGATAAGCGATATAGATAATTTCCAGCACTCCCCGTCTCCCGCGATGCGTCGGAAACTGTGTGGCAGTTGTCCCTCCGCTTGTCGGCTATAGCGACTAACGCGTGGTTAAGCTCGACACAAAAAAGTGTCCTCTTTTGATCACATAAAATTGCGCCACTTACAGCACTGCTCTTCATCAATTCCACAATGCTATCACGTCTGTAAACACTTCTACCTCTATGAAAAAAAGGGAAAATCTATGCGTTTGCGTGCCGCGGTCCGTTACACGCATGAACAACAACAATGCTTGGTAGTATCATCAAACTGAGTATACAGCTTAGGTGAGCTGGGATAATACACAGCTGCACATAGTAGTGTTGACATCGCAAGACACTGGATCTCTTTAACCCAGCTTTCGTACGTATACACTTCAGCATGACAGAGGGGGGAGAAACTAGGCTCTACGTAGAAGATTCGGTCGTTTGAGTCGGGCAACAAGTGTTTCACCGCGAATAGGTAAGCTGATCAGTGGGAAACCAAGCATCCTTTGCTCTGTAACACATAAGAGCAAAGGATCACATCCTTGGCTTGAGTATCATGAGGCTATTGCTGCTACTTCATCCAACGTGACTCCATCACAGTGTGAAGGAAACAATAGTTATTTTGCAAGCTAGGCCTTTGGAGGCGGACATATTCTCCCACTTTCTATCGACTTCTTTACCGCCACTTGCAACAGCTGCCGAGCCGCTGAGTCTTTCTTGTATAGCACGAACGATGGGCGTGCATTCAACGAGTCCCAAGACCTACCACTCGTACTACGATGCAGTGAGCCCGTTTACTCACATGTGAATCTTCTGGTCAGCCAATCTGATGGGCTTGAAATCCCCTATCACCGCCATGAACGCGATACATGCTCCTATGACGCTCTCTAGAACCACCTACAAAGGGGACGAATCAAGAGAAAAGTCCGAGGTGCACTTACTGCAACTATGAATGCTGTTCCCATAGTATCCTCTTCAACCTCCGATGCAGGCATCTCCTGAAACATTGAGACTATCTGATGGACTGTAACACTCGCATTAACACTAAGTTCATGGTTCCTCTAGAAGAGTGTAGTTCTGTGCTAACCAGGGTGACCGATTCGACAAAGCGAATCACATGCGCCCTGCCCAATGGTATGCATTATTGCAGGTGGACCCCATCCTACACAGCGTTACCGTATTCAGCTCCGCTACCGCTGTATGCTCCACTTGGGCGTTCATCCGATAGGCAGCATGGAACAACATAGCCATTCCAACGAGGAGAAGAGACCGATCCAGCACACGCATGGAGTAGGGTCGGGCAATGTGAAACAAACTACGAAAGACACTTCTATTCACACGACTCCGATGACTCCGCCACAGATTCACCAGACTTCGCGAAATTCCAAACGATAGCTACAACTAGTAGTAGTCAACTAGGGAGGACCAACCAGACTTGAATATAGCTACGGCTTTGAACCTCTGAATGCAACATGAACGAACCACTCTCGCTAAACATGACGTAACTCCCAGAGAACTCCTGACATGACTAGCTGTCTGCCGTCAGTGAGTCACCGCGTTGTCGGACTCCTCTTTTTTAGCTGCCGAGTTCGATTCCAGGCATGGTTAGGTACACCGAGCCTTCACAAAACATTACATTGCAGCCATTGCATGTGTTGTGGGGTCCAGACCGGAACAAAGACTCCCGCTGATCCCCAACAGACTGCGTTGTGCTCAATAAGAGCGCATACGACAACAACGACACCACTCGAGTGTTGAAGAGGAACAACTCCAAGTCGGTCACTCGAATTCATTACATTCCACTTAACCACTCCAGTGGGAACTCCAACGCAACAGCTTGTGTAAGAGCATTACTGTGTCAGCAGATGAAGTGTATAGTGGCTCATAGAACCACGTGTTCGATAGTGCCAAAACCATAACACAAAGTACAGCACCCCCATAGGGAAGGGCTGCAACCATTACTAGCACCCTCGCTAAAAAATGAACCCCCTTCTCCTCCAGCCATTCTGCAGTGACCTCATTGGAGAACAGATGGCTTAGAAGAACCCGCCGCGTTGAGCCGATGCTATAATTTGCAACACCGCAGACCCGACGACCACGAATAGGAACAGACCCAGAACCCAAGGCCCCACTGGATACTTCTCCTTCCTGAATGGAGATTGCGCGTGCGTGCACATTCACGCTCAAGACAGTCTTACTTCTTTCCCTGAGAAGCTCTGCCCCGCTTCGTGATGTTCTGCTCGAACTGCTCAGACTTGAGGGCTGTTTTACGAGGAGCGGGCTGAGAGTACCAAAGTGATCACAGCATGAATCACCTCGACTGAGCATGCTACCATATTTGGTCTTCAGATAGTCGAAAGTCAAAAAGGTGACGAATGAACTGACGGCAACAAAAACTACCCCCGAGCACAAGCGAGCCGCCCAACACAACAGGAGCAGTTACTTTTCGTGGAACTCCACGAGGGAACTAGAGAACAGGAATCGTAAATGGCGATCATTCGCACCACTGTCGCTGCCTATTCTATTGTAGATTCTACACAAGAAACAATTTTACGGCGCGCGACAATTGCGTGAAGACCAACAGCCACTGAGTGCTACTGTAGCCATATCTACATCTTTCCTCCTAACTACTACTTAAAACTCGCAGCGTCCAGGATACCTACCATGAGCTCAACGGGGACGTAGTAGTAGGTGGATCTTACCTAGGGTAGGGGATGACATCCCGGATGTTCTCCACGCCAGTCATCATCATAATAAGGCGCTCAAAACCGATACCGAAGCCGGCATGAGGAACACTTCCAAAGCGCCTAACGAGACAGGGGAATCGACAGCCAATGCAGTAGCTAGCAACCCGTACTCACCTGAGATCGCGATACCACCAGTAGTCTTCGATGTCCATGTTGAGGTCAGACAACTTCTTATCCAAAACATCAAGACGCTCCTCACGAACAGAACCTCCGCATACCTGTCCAACTATATAAGGGAAGGAGTTATGTCTCCCTCGGTTTCACCTCGCCGACAAGAGGAGCGAGGATGTCCATGGCGGCCACGGTCTGCTTGGACGGTTCCTCATCAGCATTAGCCCGCATATAGAAGGCCTTAATAGCAGCAGGATAGTTATACACAATGACTGGCTTCTTGTATATCTTCTCCGTGAGATACCTGAAGCGGCTCATCACAAGCCCCCATGCTCCACCTGGCACACCTCTCATGCTCCGAATCGAGATCAAAGCCCCAGTAGATGTTGGTGTTCTCGAATTTAGTCTGAAAACGAGAAGATTGCCCGCAAACGAAAACTGGTATCTGCAAATGTCTCACCTTCCCGCTCTTCTGGGCTTTGAGGAGCTTTTCAATGGCTTCAGTGTAGCTGACTCGGGCGAAGGGCTCGGCGATCAAGTTCTCGAGACGCTTGATGAGACCTTTCTCGATGAACTTGTCGAAGAAAGCTATGTCCTCTCGGCAATGAGCTGACGATAGGAAAGAGCACGTACAATGGGGAGCACAGCGCATCAGAAGAAGTTAGCGAACCAGTGTGACTGTTTCATATCAACCATCTCAAACGAACACATAGCTCACTGGTCACCCACAGCAGCTACTATGACTCAACTACCAGTTATCAGATCTGGCTCATTATTACCTAGGACATGACGGGCGCAGTGCTGGATGAACTCCTCAGCGCACTTCATGTTATCGTGGATATCAGCGAAGCACAGCTCAGGCTCGATCATCCAGAACTCAGCCAAATGACGTGAAGTATGCGAGTTCTCAGCACGGAAGCAAGGACCAAAGGTATACACATCAGATAAGGCACAAGCGTAGTTCTCAACGTTGAGCTGACCAGATACGGTAAGATACGTCGGGCGGCCGAAGAAGTCCTGCTTGTAGCTGAACAGCAAGGGACAAGACCTCCACTATAACTGAGGCCGATCAATAAGGCGGCGCTCACTCGAAACGACCAGTCTTGGGGTCCACTTTGACGTCCTGATGAGCACCCTCGGCCTTCTGCAGCAACGAGGTAACCTGAAAGAGTCGCGGTTCGTATCTACACAAGTGCGCGACTATTCCTGGACTACCTGGAACATCTCTCCTGCACCTTCGCAATCAGCACTGGTGATAAGAGGGGTATGAACATACTTGAAATCGCGGCTCATGAAGAAAGCGTGAACAGCACCGCTCAAGGACGACCTGTAGTCACACAGTAGTCACAAACAACGTCCCTTCCATCAAATGTTCACTCACCGCACGCGAGCGACAGCGCCAATGAGGTTGGTCCTGGGACGGAGATGAGCGATCTCACGGAGGAACTCTCTGCTGTGCTGCTTCTTAGCAAGAGGATATGCAGCAGAGTCGACACCGCCAATGACCTGAACAAGGGCGTTGTGATACCCAGAACCAAGCAAGCGCAATAAGCTCACCTTAATCTTGCCGCTCTCACGGACGCTCAGCTCTACAGCCTGACCCTTGGCAGGGCTAGCCACCAAAGAGCCGATTGCCTGTATAGAGGCACCGGTGGCGATCTGTCCAATAGCACCTACCACGAGCTAGAGCTCAGCTGAGTCGCCGGAAAGATGGTATACCCTCGAAATCAGGACAACTGCTGTCCAAGACCAGCTGGAGGCCCTGCAAACAGGAGCCGTCTGAAATCTCCACGAATGCAAAACCGCTGCCTTGGCTTCGCTTCGTTCTGACCCAACCACAAACGCTAACCTACATGCCAGCAAATATAGCACAGAAAGGAAAGCTGTTATTACAGTCTTGCCAATGAGGCCAGCACCACCATCGGTCCTCAGTAGAATATCCTTCACACGAGTGCGGCCTGAATAGATGCAAGCATCACCAACAGGGCATAAGATATATGCACCTACCTCCAACGCAGCTCGAATAGGGATGGATCGGGGGCTCGCTTCCCTCGGGGATGGGGCCAACAGTGTTGGTGGGCACGGATTCGGGGGATGGCATGGAAAGCTGATAGTCAAACGAGGAGCCTCACCGAGCTAGAGTAACAACGGCGTACCTCCTTGTGGCTGACCTTCGCGTTCTGTCGGTCAGCAGCGCGCTTCTTCGACTGCTGCTGCTTGGTTTCAGGCTGCTTGGCCTCCTCCTTGGTGACCTAAACGTAATGCTCAAGAATCGAAATGATATCACACCGGCTAAGTCCATACCACTTCCGAAGATTCAGACGAAACCAGAATTAACCACAGAGATCGAGCCGGAGCCTTTCGTTCAAATCCAATTCTGGTTGACACGTCCAACTCACTCACCTCGGAGTCGGTGGACTCGACCTCTTCCTTGCCAGGCACGAACGGGGTGACCTCGGGAACGGGGAACTTAGCAGCGTAGCGAGAGAGCACATCAGCCACAGCAGGGTTGGCCAGACACGTTCGGATGTACCGAAGGACGTTGGGATAGTCCTCCCTGAGATCACAACAGAGATCGCCATCAAAAGCAGTAGACTGACATTCATAGCCAACGCGGGACATGCCCGTGATCATTAAAACCATCAGCACTACTCCACACTTACAGATCAGACTCAGAAGCCAGGCCAGTCACCAATGAGGTAACGACCGAAGCATCGGCAATGCTGAGGAAGTCTCCAGAGAGGTAAGTGTGTGTTTTGAGGTGATCTTCTAGCATGCTGAGGCCACTCTCAACCGGGCTGAGTTCGAGCTCAGCGAAGTCAAGCCAAGATTCGATCGAGGCGAGCTGACCGAGAGACTTCTGGTCGCAGACGCTGTTGTCCGCATGCAGTCGGCTGATGTAGCGCAAGACGGGACCAGTGTACCGGACGGTAGGGGCGGTGGCAGTGCTGGGGTTGAAGAGCTCCAAAACCTGCAGAGATAAGTATGGACGAAAATCTCATACCACATTTCCATCGAATCGCACGACCTATACCCACTTTTGCGCTTCCCGAGTTCTCGCACGTGAGAGGCATGTTGGCCATCTTAGCTGCGATCTGAACCTTGAGAGTGGGCACCTCGAGAGCCTTCGATGTGATGAGACGAAGACTGGACATACGAATAGAAGTAAAGGGAAATGAAAACTTGAATACAGCTCGATGACTCATATCAAAAACCCCAAGCCCTGAGCTACTAAGAAACGACAATTAAGAGCATTTTTGGTACACCAAATTCCCCCCCACCCTACGCCGATTTGGCAGGCACATCTTCTGTTTTTGGTGAAGTGAGCTCCCACTCATCTGCCAGGGAACGTCGAACCTAGATAGACCAATCTTACACCGCTGAAAACGATGAAACCAACTTCGTTACTACCCGAACTGGAGTCCAGTGGCGGTCGCTCGGCCCAGTACTGCGCAGCGTGACGATGTCAGGTCGCAAACGCAGGAGCACATAATCAGAACGATCATCAGCCATATACTCAGCCCAACGCTGCCTCCAGTAGAAGCGCTTCAGATCGTCATCGTCGATCTCAGTGGCGGTCCCCTGGACAGTGATAAGTCGTCCAGTAGACGTGTCCATGTAAACCAGGGTCATGTTCCGGCTGCCTGAGAGGTCTCCCATCGAAAGGCTCTTCGAGGATACAGCAAAGTGAATCATATTGAATGGTACTCGATCGCCGGTATATCTGAAGATTTGAAAAAGGAGCGGTATGAGGTTAAGTAGGGCTACTCCAATCTCTCTTACTCTGCCATCAACGAGTCCGTAACCTGGTTTTTCGGGACGCCCTTTACGATCGGCTCCGAGGGCAATTTCAGAGCCCTCTCCTCAGGCACATGCGGTGACACATTAACAACCTGAAAGCCCCGCATATTCACTTCCCCGCTCCTCAGTGACATACCTCTCCATCAGGACCAAGAAGTAGTGCCTGTGATGCTCTCTTGGTCAAGTCACGAGCTGCCTGTAGTGCCTGAGAGTGACTAGGACTCCTACACTATCGAGGGAAGTGTCAACAGCCTACTTGTTCGCTATCCATACGCGCTAGCTTGGCGTTGTCAGCCAACTCCTTGTACTTGTTCTCAACCGAGTTGCGAAAGTAGTACCTGGGCTCAGGACCTACACGTGGTATCAGAGGTCTTCTGCGTACTACACTGCATATCCGATAGGGAGCGCGTTGAACGCTAAGAAGGCAGCGAAGGGCTTCCAGCCCCGGAAACCCGTTTTCTCCTCTTGCGGCTCCGGCTGAGGGTGCAAGAGCATAATCTAGGAATACCCCTAGGAGATCCTTTATTACTCGCTTCTTTGGGTAGAACCCTGCGATTTCGCTGGGCTTCGGCGTCTTCAATGCAGCCACAGTGGCTGCCGCTGTGCTCTGACTACTGGCTACCTCTGAAAGAGCACTTGCCGCCAAGCGTCGCAAGCTGGGCTGCATATACTATCGAAACTGACAACGAAGGGGCGTACAGACTGAGCGAGGCCAACGGCATCGCTAGGCATATGATTTTCGTCGAAGAAAATTATCGATTACAATGGCGCGCGCGTATCTTCACATCGTGGATCAGTGAGCACATTATGCTCCACGTATCGTTGAACCTTGAGTGCCTCGTTGTAGTAGTTTTCAACTCAATCATGCTACCGTCTTCGATGCGTTTAGTAGCGCTGGTCGCAGCTCTGCTTGCACTTGTGGCCGAGGCCAGAGTCAAGATTGACCCTAGTAAACATGATGTTGTCAAGGTAATGTGGGGCGGACGAGTACGTACCTTATGTAGCGGCGTTTTCGTTCAATGCTGATTCCTCTTGTTCTCGCCTCGGAATCATCTCCCTGGTTTTCAGCTCAATCCTCAATCGTTCGGCTCTGTTATCGAGCGTCACAGAGACTGGCAGATCAGTGCCGTCTTCTTCTACGACGACAGTACTCCTGTTAAGGACTTCAATAAGGTTAATGAGGTCGCCCAACAAACCAAGCGTAGGCAATCGCATCGCAGAATCCCTCTAAGGAGTCGCTGTGCGCAGGTATGGTTAAAATGGGTGCCGTAGACTGTGACGAAAACCGTGCCTTGTGCGAACAAAACAACATCAAGGGTTGCCCCAAGGTAGCCAGTCTCGAGCCGCCGCGATCGAGTCAGCCACTTCTGATGCTTCTCAGTTGGTCATTTACCCCCGCAACCCCATACCGCAGTTCATCTATGAAGGCAAGCTGGAGGCTCACGACGTCAAGAAGGCCGTCCTGAGATACCTACCAACCGAGTTGATCAAAAAGCTGGATGCTGCCAGTGCGTTTCAATCCACTTCCGTTGGGCTTGTTGACGCATCTCTCATGCCCTATGGTCAGATGTTGATACTTTCCTTACCACTGATGCTGCCATGCCCAAGGTTCTGCTGTTCACCGAGAAGGATTCTCCTCCACCGATGTTCAAGGCGCTCAGTAAGTCTCGTTCTTTTTGTCACCAGAGTAGCAGGAGCTCTTGGTTAGGCAACGAGTTCCGCAAGGAGATGCAGTTCGGTCTGGTGAACGTCAAGAAGCAGCCGGATCTAGCCAAACGCTTTGGCGTCAAGAAAGCTCCGAAGATTTTACTGCAACAAGCTGTTGGGAAGAAGCCGGAAGCGTGAGACTGATCCCAGTCCCGGTTTCCAATAGCGTGTATGCGCCCTTGTAGATATAAAGGGGAGGTGTCGTACATTCCTATCGCCGACTGGGTCAATCTGCACAGAGAGACATTTTCCAGAGGGGGTAACCTTACTCGGGGGCAGACTGATTGCCATGAGTCTTCGCAGGTGGATTTGAGGAAACTGCGAGACCTGGGTCGGGCAGTGAGACTGAGGCGCCCTCTAGACCCTGGCTTGCACAGGAGATACCCGAGATTACGAAGAGAAGCGCTAAGCATGTTTGTTTCGATGGTGGAGAGGTATGAATTTCTAGTGTGTTTCAGACCGGCATTCGCTTTTGCTCGTTTCAGGGCCACTGTGTCATTTACCTGAAGGAAGGCGGCCCATTGTCGAAGGAGGAGGAGGATGGCCTTGTTGAGCTCAGGGACCGATTCACTTCACAGCTTCACAACCGGTACGAACCCTGCGGCTTGGAGGCTCATTCGAATAGGCCCATGACTGCTTTGACTGTAGGGGTGCCAAGCTTCGTTGGGTATGGCTCGATGTTTCGAAGGAGCCAGCATGGGCTGAGATGTTTGGTATCAGCAAGTTCCCCAATGTTGTCGTATTCAACCCTCATAAGCGTCTTCGATTCTGCAAATTCGATGATGATGACGAAGAGTAGGTGCTGGTCGTGGACACTGGTAGGCATTCTCCGTCTTCTCAGGCACACGGGAGATAAAGATGGCGTAGAGTATCTAGTCGATAAGGTCCTTGGCGGTGATGGCCGATTCAAGATCGTCAAGGGTCAGAAGCTCCCGGAACTTTCGGACAGGGAAGAGGATGGGGAGAAGGCCCAGTCCGACCGGGATGAGTTGTAAATGCCGTGTATGGCAAATCTGGTTTTGCTTGTGGGCAGAGGAACCGTGCGTTACTTTTTAGATGTTTCCCACAGGCGTAGTGTTATTCCGGGTTGAGTTACCAGTCAGTACTATGGGTGTTTACTTTGCTGTTACTAGCCTTGGATGCTGAACTTGGTGGATTGGTGTCGTTCCGCGCGATGGTCAGCACCCAGGGATCTCTATTGATACGGGGAATATACGTGGTCTCAAAGGGCAATGAAACGCTTGAAGATCATCTCTATCAGTTCGATTGTCTTGCACTGTGGTGATTCATCGGTTGATTGCTAGGAATGGGGCATAGTGATGCTGAGAGGGTAGAATCAACTGAAGGAGCTGGAACGTTTAAGAGTGTCTGGCAAGGCGGTCATTCATACCAGTCAGCCCTACAATTTGTAGGCTACAAAGGAATCTTTCTCAAGTACTGTAGGTAAGATTCCTTCCTTCAGGAGGAATGCCGCACAGTGCAGTATCATATGAGGCATTAACTTGGAGATACCTCTCTTTTCCCAGCTTGCTAGAGGCTCCGAGTGGCGGGTTGGGTCAGGTCGTAGTTCATGACTCGTGAACACTTTTCAAATGCTTGACCTAAGGATTGACGAGGATCTTCGGTTGTGCCCATTCATGTCTAACTGACCCACCCGGTCTTATCAAATTTTCATGTGGTCTCGTGGCCTAATGGATAAGGCGTTGGTCTTCGGAACCAAAGATTGTGGGTTCGAGTCCCACCGAGATCGTTTCTTGTTCTAAGATTTGTTCCATACAAGTAGCTCGCAGGATCGATCCTGCCGTCGCCTCCCGGGCAAGTCGTGTATTCACTGCGACTTCCCATGATGCATTACTAAATTGCGTTCTCCTTCGACGTTATGTGTCGTGTTCGGCATTCTTGAAATGTATGATGTCGGTCGTTTCTCCGGCGAAGCATAAAGCTCTCTATATAGATACTAACTCACCTTGTCTTGTTCATGAAAGGATCAGTGGTAGCGTTTTTGCAAATTGCTCGATCTCTGATCACCAGACGGCGTTTATAGGGGTGTTACAGCTCCAAGCTCACTGCTTTTCGTTTACCAAGTCGCCATGAATATCCAGCTTCATGCAAAAATTAGCACACGCCGATATAACGCCCTTGCTTTATACTCATATGGGAATTGATTGGATTGGGATCGATCAGGGTTAATCTTTCCTGCCCGTGTGATCGTATCTCATTAGACATATTTTCAAGCTTCAGCTCCATCGTTCGTCTACCCGCCATTGCTATGGTAATCATGGTGTGTATTGAACTTATAGAAAGTGCAATCATCTCACATTTACTCGGAGATCTCGAGATTGAGTCTGTTTTGGTGGCAGTCTTTACTCTTGGATCATCATGTCCGCAGAGCTTATGAATACTCACCTCAAGGAGGCTGATCCTGCGGTAGAGATTTCCGCCTATGTTCCATTGCTGAGTGTCCGTCATTATCAAGGTTTTCGATATCATCGAGCATGAGAAGGAACGTCAGCGTACCAACGTCTGTTTGATTGCGTCAGAGAACTTCACGAGTCAGGCGGTAGAGGCCCTTCTAACTTTTACGCACTTTATACCAGTAGCAGGTTCTCGATGCAATTGGGTCTGTCATGACCAATAAATATTCTGAGGGCTATCCTGGGGCTAGGTAGTCATCTAAGTCGTGCTGTTGTTAGGAATTTCGTCGACAGATATTATGGTGGCAACGAGTTCATTGACCAGATGGAGACCCTTTGCATGGACCGTGCCTTGGAGACCTTTCAACTTGATCCGGCTAAGTGGGGAGTCAACGTACAGACTTTGAGTGGTGAGTGAGATCCTCAAAGAGTCATTCGTTCGAGTCTGAGATGCTCCCATCCACTCAGGCTCTCCTGCCAATCTGGCCTTGTACACTGCCTTGCTGAATGTTCACGATCGCATTATGGCGCTCGACTTACCCCATGGTGGCCATCTTAGTCATGGCTATCAAACTGATACCAAAAAGGTCTCCATGATATCTAAATTTTATACCTCTATGCCGTAGTGCTTCCAAAGACACACTTATCCAGACACTTCACAGCTGGTCTGCGGCAGGTACCGTTTGGATGAGAAGACTGGTCTCATTGACTATGACGAACTCGAAAAGTTCGCTCAACGTTTCAGACCTAAGCTTCTGATCTGCGGTTATTCTGCGTAGTTGTTCTGAGGTCCAATATGTATTCTGATGCGACTCCAGATACCCTCGCCACTTCGACTTCGCCCGTCTTAGAGCCATTGCGGATTCAGTCGGTGCTATACTTCACTGTGATATGGCGCATGTGGCTGGTCTGGTCGCCGCTGGAGTCCACCCATCTCCCTTTGTAAGGCATGGTGACACGCAGAATACAAGGCGCTTTGTAGGAGCTGTGTGACGTTGTGACTACCACTAGTCATAAGACATTAAGAGGACCTCGTGGCGCGATGATATTCTACCGTGTGGGCCAGAAGGGTATAGAATCACACATGGTATCACAAGAAGGATGGTTTTAGGTGTTGATAAGCATGGTGGTCCTATCATGTACGACTACAAGGATAGGATCAATGCTACAGTGTTCCCCGGTTTACAAGTAAACTGCTCTGTGGCTATCTCTCACTGTGAGTCGTTATATAGGGTGGACCTCATAATCATATCATTGCTGGTTTGGCGGTGGCTTTGAAGCAGGCTCAGACGGAGGAGTACAAGCAGTACCAACAACAGGTACAAATCTCGCTGACTCTGCCGCGCTCTGTTTCTGGTATGATCCGGTTTAGGTGGTGAAGAATTCCAAGGCTCTGGCGGATGAGCTGATAAAACTCGGCTATGATTTGGTCTCTGGGGGTAAGCAGTGTGGAGGCGTCATTTTACGCAGTACTACGCCCTTCATCGTGCAGGGACTGATAACCACCTGGTCCTACTGGATCTACGTAGTAGAGGTATTAACGGCAATAAGACCGAGAAACTCTGTGATCATGTGGCGATCTCCCTCAATAAAAACACAGTACGTTGATATGCGCTCTATACTGAACTCACTAAGCTGCATAGGTCCCCGGGGACAAGTCGGCTATCACTCCGTCGGGTCTTCGTATCGGCGCTCCGGCTATGACCACTCGCGGTGCTAAGGAGGAAGACTTCCGCAAAATCGCCCAGTTCATTCACCGGGTTGTGGAAATTGGCTTGCAGGTTACAAAATGTTTACGACTCTTTGTTGGAATGTCTTCATATAGGTTCAGAAGCAGTCGGGTCCGAAGTTGAAGGACTTTCTTGCTATTTTGGATAACACTCCCCCTCCAGAGCTGACTCAGCTACGTGAAGAAGTTATGGCATTCAGTTGTGGGTTTGTTCCCATCGGTCAATGAGGGTGAACCAGTGATGCACGGAAGAGCTTTCGTTAGAAATTTGAGATGTTTCATGAAGTTATCAAGATCGATGGGCTTCTGCGTTTTAGTTTTATCAGATGGGATCAGCGCATTCCAGTCGTGGGGCTTTAGCTCAATAATAGCCGGGGTTTTAGGTCAATAATGACGTATTGAGCAGGGGGTGGGTCAATCGCGAAATGAAGGAAATAGGTTTGCTTATCGCAGGACCGGTTATTGTTACTCCTACGTATGGCTGATATCAGCAGTCCACCAGCTCACAACGGTGTCCAAGATAACGGCAGGATACGGGAAGGCCTGGCGGAGGTGCTCCCCATCGAGGGCAATAAGGTCTTTTATAACAACGTCCAGGTAGTATAGGTAGTGTATGCTAATCTTGTATGCAAATGTGAAAAATACGCGCTGTTTTCTGGAATTAATTATATAGTGAAGTTATCGCTCTCACAGTTCCGAGTAGTTGCTCTTATCACAGCACGTGTTCGTAGCAGTGTCTATATTGTTTATGCGATATAGTTCCCGATCGATTCTCAATAACTCCGGAAAATGACGTTTGCATGCATATCAAACTGGCATGCACTGTTTGTGGTTGTCGGAGTGTCTTGTGCCGTCATCATAGTGCTGCCCCTCGAGCCCATGCGCGATGAACTATGCATTCGTTGGGACTGGTGACTCTGGGTAGGGCTTCCTTAGCTTTGTGACTATCTGGATGCAGTTGGTTTATTGATTAATTTCTTGGATTACGCAAAGTGGATGTGGTGTATTCTCACTGGTGTCAGGTCTTCAACAGAGACACGTCGGTATTAGCCTTGAATGTCTTCGATACTTGGAGGAAAGACCATTCCCCGCCGGGGAGGGCTGGCAGGGCCATCACGGAGGAGCTCAATAAGAACAACGAGGGCCTCACGGTAATGTGGGTTCAACGAACGCTGACTTGAGCTCGTCAGCTTTGAATTGACATTTGAAACGAAGATCGTTGGAATGTTAATGCACACCCGTGGTTAAGTCAAAAACTAGTGCGTGTCAGCTTCAGAATTCAGGGTCAGAGTAGTAGTAGTAGTAGTAGTAGTAGTAGTAGTAGTAGTAGTAGTAGTAGTACTCAGTAGTAGTAGTAGTAGTAGTAGTAGTAGTAGTAGTAGTAGTAGTAGTAGTAGTAGTAGAGCTTTTGGAAGGCTCTGAGATGCGTACGACTATGAACTGAAGGGAGTTGCTGTTCACAGGTGTTCGAGGCGATGGCGGCCTCTGGGCTACGATCGGTCCGATACGCCAAGGAAGTGAAAAACCTGAAGCATGTGGTAGTGAACGATCTGGATGAAAAGGCTGCAGAAAACATCAAAGCTAATCTCAAGTCGGTGGGGTTCTGCCTAGCATTGAGGCAGAGTTCCCTGTCATATCAGGCACAATTGCATACCCGAGAGCATCGCCGAGGCCAGCCATTCGGACTGTATCAGACATATGCAGCACAACGACTTGGCTTACGATGTACTGGGCCACCGAATGAGAGGGGCCGTTTGAAATCATATTTAGGTGATCGATCTGGATCCCTATGGTAGCGCCTCGCCCTTCTTGGATGGAGCATTGAATTCTGTCAAGAATGGAGGTCTCCTCTGTGTTACGTGTACGGACTCAGCAGTAGTATGGGAGAGAGAACTAGAGGAGCTTTTGGGTGGATATCAAACGCTTGCTTGGCCGTATGTAGCGTAGTGATCGGGTTAAGTACATTCGGAGGGAAATTCCTGAAGTTATCTCAGTTTTGGGTACTTGGTGTGTTTGAGAAATTTCACTGCTTAGTGACTATCAAAAACGGTCGTACGAACGGATTTTTTCGCACAGTATAGGTAAATGCTGAGGAACTCGCCAACTCGGGAATCATAGTTTAGGTCTACCCGGATTGAGTCGTTGGTTTGTCGTTGATGATATCTTGAATATGAAATGCTCATGCTAGCGCGAGTTCGTTCCCTTCTGCCCAGGTACTCTGTGGGAACCACACTGACGTCTGCTACTACCGGTACGGTGGCATCGCCCCAAAAGCGAAGTAGGGAGGATGGGGATTCGGCCCTTCCACCACACCCTTTTCTCAGATACTGTCATGAACTAGCCTTGCGACTAATGCTGCATGCTATATCGAGCGCTGCTGGGCGGAGGAAGCGTGCGATCGTCCCTTTACTGTCGCTGAGCATCGACTTCTACTATAGAGTAAGTGGTCTGACATTGATCTGACATCGTTATTATTAACAACAGGTGTTTGTTCGCGTTGTCGACTCTCCTAAGGATTGCGGCAATCTGGCAGCTGACACGTCCCTTTTATTGCAGTGTGTTAACTGTGAATGGCACGAGCTGTCCCCTCTAGCACAACCGTAAGTGGGCAAACCAACACCGATAATGTCTAACCCGTCTCGTCGGAGTTTGCCGTTGAAACCTTCCTGTGCGGAAGTCGTGAAATTGCACACGAGTCTATGGGTTGCTTTTACTGTACTGACTTCGTCGAGTGCATCGGCTCTGAAATATAAGAATTTTGTTACACGTAGAGAAGTAGCGGTAGAAAATATCGTGAGTATTTAGCAGTCTCCTCTCTGGAGCAGAAACCTAGTACAAGGGTGCCAAGCACTGAGATCTTGGCGTTTCAGGAAGTCGGATAAGAATCCCACTTTGAAACCAGGCACTCTATTGGGTGAACATGGCGGAACTGCACCGCCGGCCACATGTCCTGTATGCAAAGGACGTTTGGTAATGCCCCTTGGACTTCTACTTGCTGGATGACCATGTTCAGGCGATGGGAGGTCCGTGTTGGACGGGTCCCCTTCACGAGGCTTCCTTTGTGAGCGCTATGTTGGCTGAGAGCTCGGACACTGTGGGGAGAGCTGAGAAGTATCCTGGTATCACTGCTTGGAAGAAGGTCTGACATGCAGGAGGGATTTGGGTATGGATTTCTCGACTGGCTTAGGTTCATGGCTTGCTCACGGCTGTGTCGATGGAACTGCCTGCTGCCCCATTGTTCTACACACTAGATGGTTTGATGTCCATCACTAGAGCCCCCAACTGCCCTTTGCAGAAGTTCAAGAATACTCTGGTCAAGCTCGGTAAGGCCCCGTTGTTGATAAGGAGGTCGTAGGTGCTCCCGCTTAGGCTACAAGGTTAGTCACTTCCATCGAGAACCGATGGCTATCAAAACTGATGCTCCTTCCGAAGTTGTCTTCGATCTGGTGGGTACCGCTCATCCTCGTACTGTTAACTACTTTCGCATGCTTCTTTGGACTTGTTGACTCCGTTCAGGCACGGGCATGGGCATTGCAGCATCAGGAAACATCCAATGTAGTTCTGAAACCGAAGGTAGAGGGCTTCCTAGACCAGGGAACCAGCAGCCTCCCGGATCGAGATTGGCGGAAGATCAACTTTGATGAACCAGTCGCTAAAGGCGGTAAGTTTTCGCCGAAAACTTTCCGGTATGCTGACATCTGTATATAGAGTGAATGTGTATGTTTATAAGGGGCGTGCATGCTTGAGATCTCGACAGTCTAAACATATGTCCGACAATATTGTATTCGCCAGTACTCATGATTTATGACTCGTTCCTGTTTATGTTTTATTCGCCATTCACATTTGGAATGGTCGGCGGTAATATACCGACGTCGAGTATGAAGTTGAATATTCATCAGTGTCATACACGAGTCGTTCAGATGCTAAAGAACCCGGGAGTGAAGGCGATAAAGAGCAACATCATAAGAAGAGGACACCTATGTGATAGCCTTGTGCTGGTTTGCAACCGCATTCGATCCTCTCAGGTTCCTGCCGAACCCCGAGTCCAACTGGGGTCCTAAGCGAGCAGCTGCGGGCTGGCCTGGAGGAAAGTGCAAGAAGGTGAAGACACATCATGAAGGAGAGGAGACGCCGTCATCGGCCGAGGAAGCAACAGGCCAGAAGGCACAGTGATTTCCAAGTCTACCAAACGTATTTGCTGTTTCTACTGCTATGCCATTTCCATCGTCGTGTTGTGACCTCGGATGCTGAGCTCTATGTGGGGTAGTTGCCAGTGGAGTGTTAGCGTCTATCATGTCGCGAATCAGTATAGGAAGCGTCATAGTCCTAGTATTAGGGTAGCGTGGGTCGATTTGAATAGTTGATGACACTTTTGCGAGAGAAAGCAGTAGTTCCTCCTCTTCTCCAGGTTGACGGAAGTCTGACGGTGATAGGTTACAATGTAGGTCATTTAAGAATCCTTTTACCATGGATGACAGCGACTCGGATTGTGACATGGTCTCGGCGGTCTCCGAGATGAGCATGGATTCTGAGCAGGGTGAGGCATCATCAGCCCATAACTCTTCGGCTTTTATGTGACAATCGTCATCATACTCGAGAGATCGTATCAGACTGTACTCTTTCTCTGTACTTCGTAGTGTATTTCAGTAATAGCCACTGTACTTTGTAGTGGCTGAAATCGAAGGGGGGAGGGTCTGGTCCAGGTTGTTCGCTCGACTGTGAATTCTGATATGCTTGGTTCTTGTCATACGCGCGCGTATTGGCAATTTACAACTCCTCTTAGATGATGGTGCGTTGGCGAAAGTGACGCAGATGCTGGAGAAGTACAATTTCAAGGACAATCCCGAGGCTGTGGGAGTCATCACTGAGACCATTGTTGGTGTCATCAGAGATCATGAAGTGAGCCCTTTCCAAGTCCGTGCACTGTACGTCGATCTCTCCCTATAGAGTGACGCCGAGCTCATCTTGAAGTGTACGGAGATCCTATCGGACATGGCCTCTCCCGAGCATGGGCCGCCCCACTGGAGGTGTGCGTTGGTCTTTAGAGCACTACTGCCTGTTATTCTCATGGACAATGTAAGCATTGGGAGATCGTCTAGTCTGTTGAACTCGGGTGTTTTTAGCAGTGATGCAAAAAATGTTCGCTTTGCTCAGCTGAGCTCCAGATTTTTCTCACTAATCATAGGATTTTATATACGAATTGGAAGAATATATACGATTAGTGTACAGAAAGTAACAAGGATTTTCGAAATTTTCCTCAGAGATTTCATATTGTCATCAACACATGTAGTTGACCATGCGCAAATTTTACCACATTGGTTCTTAGTATCCGAAAGAGAAGACCCTGGCAGCTCCTACAGCATCCATGAGGTCGGCTAAGGACATGATACTCCAATGGATCATCGTAGGTTCTTAACTTGTGTATATAGAGGAATGTAATCCTATCGCAGGGGTTCGTTCGTGAGCATCCCCTCCTCCTTTGCCGTCGACTAGTTGAGAAGGATGTTGACGATTTGGGAGGTGAAGATGACGAGGATGACGAAGGGGAGGATACACCGAGCGGCGTGAGTGATGAGTGACTGTTGATTACAGTGTGGGAAAGTATGCACATGGTCAACTACGTCAGTTGGTGATAGCATAAGAGTTCTGAGAAAATTTAGGGAAATTATAATTGGTTTCTGTACACCCGAATTCATATCTAGATCTCTGCAATTAGTGAGTAAAGTCGTAGACTGAAACGAAAGAAGTGGATATATACTCCAACACTGGTTGATTACCTTCGCATGAGTAGTTTGACTGCTCTACTGTGACACTGCTGGATATTTCGCCTCGCTCCTGTGAGAGCTCACCTAGTAGTCTATGGAGGTTACTCTATTTAGAGCGAGGAAGGAGAGGAGGGTGACGAGGGAATCGATGATAGGCAGCAGCGTAAGCGCAGACGTGGCCGGGCCGAGGTCAGTACTTGGGGTCATCGGTGATTGAAGTATAAGGCGTGGCCTTGTCACGCGATTCTCCTCAGCTCCTAGCTGTTCTTGAATGCCTTGATTTCCAAGGTTTTCAGGGCCCCCGAGGTGACAAGAGAAGACGCGGCCATCATAGCGATGATGAGAGTAACGATTCGGATGATAATGGTGAGAGATCAGAGCAAGCTAGGAGGGGACGTGGGAGGCCCGAGGGGGCAGCAGCCCAGGATGATGATAGTGAGGATGAGGGAAATCAAAGAGGAGGGAAGAAGGAGGTATCCCACTGGGTGGATCGCTGGTCTAGTACGGTACAGTCTCATCGACGGTTTTTGGGGTAAAAGTCTATGAGTATAGTCTTGGACGTCGTTTGCCTAGTTTCATGTACTATCAGGTGATGATGGATCCTGTGATGGGCCTAATTCAGCGCATATGCACACTGTGTCCCGAGAAGAAGGATTGGAGGGAGGCAGCAGCAGTGGTATTACCATCATTAGACCTAGTATGGTAGGCGAGTTGTCTCTGTGGTCTCAGACGATCGTGACGCTGTTGGAGAGCTTTGCTGAGCAGGTCGTGGAATTGGAATTAGATGAGGGCACTCTAACGGTGAGTCGGACTATGTCGAACTATTCTTCCGGACAGGGAGTAGAGCGAATAGTTTTTCGCAGAGTCGTTTTGCATCCTTCGTTGAGTTGCTGTTGACCACCAATCGCGCCGGGTTTCGAGCTTTTGCCATTGACGTGGTTGGGGTCCTCGTTATGCGAGCGGAAAAGGTAGGTGAGCCTTTTTGTATGCAGTAGGGTGATGCTGGTTTTCAGGCTCACTTGGAGAAGGACACTGCGAAGCTTCTACTACAAGGAGTCCTCGGCTGCGTTCTCGATCCGGTGAGGCACAATCATCATCTGTGTGATGTCAATGACTGGCCCTAGGTATCCACTGTGCGGGCGAAGGCCATACTAGGAGTAGGGAGTCTGCTCAAGGCACTAGTCTTGGGAGGAGGGAGTGATATGGCGGTAAGTGAGGGAAGTGATGCATGCTCTCTTGTGGAGGCGCTGCCATAAGGGTCACCAGCTGAGCTCTTCAACGCCTAGGGTATAGCAAGCGATTGTTTTGGGGTGTGGGGTTGTTATAGTCTTCGTTGGTTGATGTCGTCCTTACTTCAGGAGGAGGATCGAGATTGGTTGCGTGGGGTAGCTCGGAAGATCCCCGAGATCATCGTACGAGCTGCTAGTGATGAGAAGACTGGCGTTCGCACCGTAAGTGCCCTTCTCTCCGGCATCAAGAAATTTTCCAACCGAATTTTCCCATTGGAAATGGTATGTAAATCAGCGACAACTGGTAGACCAAGCTATAGGAGTAATTAAGCCATCATTATGAGTTTTCAAGTGTCGTGGATAAGTCAGATGTTTCCCTTGACACGACAGTGCTATGAGCAGCGTAGTGATAGGAAGGCGTTCTTCCATCTATTATGAAATATTATTGCCATTGCTTCTGAGCATTCCTGTGAATGGAAGTATATGCCTCTAGGGTTAGCTCCGACCTGCCTCCCAGGTATGTACGAAAGTCATCGATATGCTCATTGACGTACTAGAGCAACTCAATCAGCTCGCTGGAGACGAGACTCTGTTCGTGCTGCCCCTGGATGAGACCCTCCCCACTCTGGGCCTTGACTCGGCTGTCAGTGTTAGGAAGGCGGCCATAGCAACAACGGATCGGATACTGCAGGTCAGGACTGTTCTTGTGTACTTCCTAGCAGGGGACTGGTCGTGACTTGGCAGATGCTGTCGGGAAGGCATCGTGAAGTCCTCGAGAGGCTCTATCCCGCGATAGAAAACGGCAGGAACAGCGATCCTCATAGCAAGTCCAGTGTAACGCATAGAAGTGTTGCTGTATGCATCGTGTGCATGCGTGCAAGTAGATACCAACGCTGTGGTGCACAGTAGTATTACCGCTTGTTTCGGATGCCGAACAGAGTGTATCTGACATCGCCACTGAGACCGTTAAGGACACTATTTTACAGCCCTTGAAATCAGCACTGAGGCGGAGCTCTGGTCTGGATCCACTCTCAGCTTGCCTCCTCCGTAATGGTTGCCTAATGCACTTTCTTGTGCACTGAGTTTTAGGCACGATATCGTCACATCACAACTGGGTCGAATACGCTCAGAGGGGTATCAAACTGCTGATGCGGAAAGAAACGAACTCAAAAGTAAAATGTGAAGTAGCGGCGCCCGACGATGGTCTGCTTACAGTCAGCATGCAAACCCTATGTATCTGCCTTGGAAAAAGTCATTGAGGAGACTAGTAATGATGAAGACCCTCAGCTGGTGCAGGCCCTGTGGATGGTAAGGGTAACCAGAGTCCAGGCAGGCACTGCTGTGTCTTAGTTACTCGAGGAGTTCGCGTCGCTTCAGGGTGATGTTGTTGACCCTTCGCTGGTCGCCGGAGCGATCAGAGTGTACTTCTCACAAGATCGATGTAGTGGTTCTCTGTGCCCGACTCGTTTCTCTCTTGCTGACTTCGATCCTCTATCTACTCCACCAGAGTGGTCTGTGTATGATCAGTGTGTAGCCTCTGAAGGGGCGGGAGGAGGTATCGGTTTAGAGGGTGGTTGGTATTTCGCGGGGGGGCCCTGGCCCGCGTTACTCACTATATGCACCTGTTCTTGGTCGTAGGTGATCCCCAAGCATCGTTCGGTCATCTATGTTTACTCAAAGCTGTATTATTCGTGATGAAACAAGTAGCAGCTCGTGTCGATGGTGAATCGTCAACAGCTATAGCAAGGCTCCTACTGGAGGCCATCAAAGAGTTCAAGGTCCCCCTTACTGTTGCTCTGGTAAGACAATAATAAACCTGTCCTGCACTGAGACTAGTAAGTAGTACTCAATACTCAACATATTCAGTACTTTCATCAGTACTAGTTAGTAGTAGTAGTAGTAGTAGTAGTAGTAGTAGTAGTAGTAGTAGTAGTAGTAGTAGACTCTTAGCCCGCTAGTACTGTACAGGGTCTTCGGAATTTCATGGGTCGAAGAAATTCTTTTCCAACGCGTGAGTACTCCTCTCTCTCAGCCGGTCATAGAGTTGGTGAAATGCTTCTGTGATACTCACAGGGCCACCAAACAGGCTCTCCAAGGTTGGCAGAAGGATTTGGTCTACCAGATGGAAGTAGCGAAAATTTTTCATTCCGTATCTCATTGAGTGTTTCCCCAGACATGTGTGTATCAAGGAGCTGTCTATAGGCCAGAGAGGCCGAGTACGATGCTCGAGAAGGAAGCTAAGAGACTTGCGGCGGCCCTCGGATACCTCGGTAGGCTCCGGAGGGATTAATCCTCTTCCTTGATCACAGCTCTGTCATCGCAGGGGATCTGGTGCTAGCGTGCGAAGAATCAGGGAAGAAGAATGTCTCGTGTTTTTCGAAGCCCGAGAGCACCTATACGGTATAGCCCTGCATAATTGCGCATGACAGAATAGAGCTTTTCAGAATATCCATGTGCTGGCTACCGACTCGGTTTTCTCCGACATCATGAGTGGCAACCCAAAACAGGTCAGCGATATGCGATGTTGTCCTTTCCCCCTTCCCCTCCTCGTGAATCAGTTCTCGTTGGTGTCATAGCTCGCTTTATAGTTCGTCGAATTCGCATCTTAATGTCCTCTGTGATACTGTGTGGGAAGGCTTCTTTATCTAACTCTTCTGAATATAGCGTATGAGCATCTGGAGAGGCTATTCTTTCAACAGTGGCGATGGAAGGTGTCATGTGCAATCTCGCTGTCGCTTTCGCGATGGTCACACGTATGTTCTCAGCATTTCCGCATACCGGTCCCGGTTCGCGCACAGGCGATAATTTGCCTTGGGAAGGTTTGCCTCAAAAATGAGAAACAAGCGAAAAACCTCGCCGACGTATTTGCTCTCCTCTTAAGGTGAGATGGTGACACGCACGCTCAGTGTGGGAAGATATGCGCATGTGTTGGTGGCAATATGTAAATTCTGAGGGGATCTGCTTGGTTTCTGTACACTACTACCCGAATTCGTATATAAACTCCTATAATTAGTGGGTTAGCTGCTGCGCTCGGCTGAGGAATGTAAATATAAGTCTTCCGATGTTGAAGAGATAGCAAATGGTGGATCAATGGTAACTGATTTGCTTGTTCGGATCGGGTAGCCTCCTTTAATTTTTTCCCTTATATTTCAACACTGCGCCCACTGGAGGTTGCTTGTTCCCGCGTAGGCACTTCGAGCCGGTGGTTGTACGTAATAATGCGTTCGTGGTCCTCTATGATCTCTGCGTGCAATACACCGGACTGGTCGATCCGAGGCTTCCTATGATGACAAGAGCTCTCAACGTGAGTCGCCTCTCGAGGCAGAGGATATTCGCGTTAATCGATTGCTGCTCAGGATGAGATTAGATTTTATCGTCACCAAGCGATGATGGTCATATCATCCCTCATGGCTGAGGACTACGTCAAGTTTCGCGGCCAAACTGTATACAGATACCTCACGGTGTTAGCTGATGAAAATGAGGAAGTGAGTTGCTCAAACGCTTCGCCTTTGCTCGATCTCTCCAACTCGTCGCAATATGGATGTTTTATTTCTCAACACACAATGGCGATTCATTGCAAATCGTGGTTGACGAAGCCCAACGCTCAGATACGATCGTTTGTGGAGTCTTTCTTTACACGTATATTGATACCGAGGCAGCATGGTCTCTTCGCTGACGTATTCGTGAAGAGCATCTGCGCGCTGAACTGTTGGAAAGGACATCCCCTGTACGATTGTCGGTCTATGGTTGTCGCCGATTTTCATGTCAAGGTACGCTAGTGCCGCTCAGAATAACAGGGAGTTCTCATTGCAAGAGCACACTGTGAAAAGGGAGAGGATCTACCGGTGAGCTAATTCGGAAGGGCTCTCCCAGATCTAGTTGCATGCACCAGGTTCATGATGGAGTACTTCGATGAAGCGGCTAAATTCAAAGTGGTCAACGAGATCATGACCAGGCTGTTAACCAGGTTTCTCGATGATGATGGTACCGCGAGGCCCTTGCCTCTACCACAGACTGAGGAAGAGAGCGGTGCCACCGTTTATAGTAGGCGTAGTGATGATGGTTGATCTCAGGTGGAAGAGTACTGACAGATGTGTTCTGTCTCCTCTGCTGTCGAGAGTTGAGGTTGCACATGAAATCCGGTACGAATAGAAAGCTGCGTCGAAGCGGCGCGGCGCGGATCGGTCGTGTTGTCAGGTGGTGGCAGAGACCTCACTGAACAGCAACGGGCGATGGGTAATGAAGAAAACGAAGACCCCAACGTACAGGGTAAGCCGATTGAACTGTTCTCGGGACGAACAGGCTCCTGTCATTGTGCAGGTGAGCGGAGAGATGCAGCAGAACGGTCCAAGAAGTATATGCAGGAGACGATGATACCAACCTTACTACAGCTCAGAAACCTCATGCAGTCCGAGACGTCGCCCTTTGTTTATCATATAAACAACTGCCTCCGGGAGGTAAGTCTACTCTAATCTCGTTTACTCTTGTGTTTCTATGTCAAATGAAGCACTGAAATAGTGTGGATAGATTTCAGTATTATCGTTCTATGAATTAGGACGGGTTGTGATGCCTTCCGAAATTAAAGGCATTTTGATCAGTTCTCAATATTCTGCGCTGTGAGTCGTAGCCTCGCAGTTACTCCGAGAATTCAAGGACGAGATCGCCACCTTTTGCAACGGAGACGACCAGCTGGCAGTAGAGCTCATCTATGATCTCAACATGGAGGGCCGAGGAGCTTTGTTGCTCGGACGGAACGATCAAGGAAGTGATGTTTCCATCGGCCTCGAATGATACGGCGTTTGGCTTGCCAGATAACGGTGAGACGGCCAACCAGCGTTCTCGAGGACCCGCATCACTGAGGTTATTCGATATCGCGGATGGTCACGGCGATCAGATGGGCATCAATGTTGGCCTTGACGTTACCGACGGAGTGGCCCCTGCTGGTTTGACGGACTTCCAGAGACGAATGATGTCACGTGCGCGCAAGAAGGCGAAGGTGGGTTTGGATTCGATGAAACCTAACTTGAATTTTTACTATTTTCCAATGCTTGAGATTCGTGCTATCCGCTGCCACTATGGCAAATAGGACCATGCGCAGCCTGATAGCTCAATCTGAATCAGTCCCCACAGGGACATGCTTAACTCGATCTTCGGAGCGCAGCCTTGGGCGATCGAAGGGACCTCTCACATACTCCTTTTAGTCGTACGGTGGACGCGAGGCCCCTCCGGCGTTAGCATCTCCCGAAGGCACCAGGAGCAGAGCATCTGAAGGGACTTCATCGCTGCAACGGCGTGCAGAGGACCCACCTATAACGGACCAACTGCGGGACAAAGAAGAAGTAACATAGACCACAAATGACGATCAGCTGGCAGTTTACGCTTCGTCTGTGAGGTGAGAGGTTTTCCCTGTGTGTATTCAGGAAACGGCGCAGGCGACGGCCGATGGGGCCGAAGCGTGATGAATGTTTACAATTTGCTTAATGCAATGATTGCACGTAGAGTTTCAAATGTGCAGTAGTTTCGAGTTCAACAGAATAATGTCTATCGAGCACAGTTGATCAAACTCCCATCAAAATAACTCTACCGACAGTCCAAGACTTCATAACAAGTCAGGATGTGAAGGCGTGGGTCACGGCTGCGACTGATGTACAGATATGATTCTTGCTCCGTCCCTCTTCACGGGCTTGTTGAAACCTGAGCTCTCAGGCTGCCCTGCCTCGTATCATAGCAGAGATGAGGGGTATTTTTGACAACGCATTGGCTCAGCATGGGGAAATAATTCAAGACATGACTCGAAAGAACCTCCAGGTAGAACGAAATGCAACTCGTGACAACTGCAAGACGATTTGCAGGTCATCGAATCGCAAGGTAGAGCGATGCAGCAGACAATGAGCACTATGAATCGTCTTGTTGCTTGCGGAGCGCTGACGATGGGAACATTAGAGTACTGGCGGTGGGAGCGAGAATATAATACAATACAGTGAGACAAGTCAGGCTATCCACGCAAAGCGCAACACTCCGTCATATGTAGGTCTGAGGAGAGGAGGACCAAAGTGATCCGAAGGTTCGTGGTTTTCGGGATTTTTGGCATGTTATTCACCATCGCGGTCACCAAGCTGTGATTGCAATAATAAGCAGACCCGTTGACCTAGATCTTGAACGTTTCTCACAGAAGATTGATTCATCGAGTTGCACGGGCGTTCGGCAGTGAAAAAGAATCATTTCGCAACCTCTGCTACATTCGTGGGATATTTCCATTCGTAGCCGTAGAGCCGCCCTCTTCCAGTGAGAACAACAGCGCATGATGTCACTGGGTTCGTTACATGCTTGGGTTGCCCTTGGTTGAGATCGTGACATGCCACGCTACGCGGAATCGAAGTATGTGATCATGAACTTATAGCTGTTTCTGTTATCACTCTCATAGATGACAGTAATAGGATACTCCCAGGGTATACACCTCAGAGTTGCCTCTGGACTCCCAGGAAGTGGAGCTTTCATTTCAGCAACAAACTCCAATTGTTCCTGGATAAGAATTTGCAGCCTATGGCAACCGTTCGATGGGATTGGAGACCATTATCCAACAGTTGCTGCCCCACTGCCCAACACAACAAAGAGCAGAGAAGACATTCGATCGAATCACGTTAGTTCTTCTGCGATTGCGAACTCAGCAAATCGTGCTGGTCATCCCTCGATCTCAACATGATGAATGGAACGCTTAATTAGGTTTTGCTGTAGACAAAAGCTTCACTCCATAGCCCTTGGCGTTCAGCTCTTCAAGTACATGTCTGAGATCCTCAGATTTCGGGTTGTGCCGCACGAGGACCTGTAGTGGGCATGAGTGTAGCGAGTTGATGATATTTCATGAATCACTCTGGCTCCTCCGAGACAACGACCTCCAACGAGATCTACGTTCAGGGAGGCCTTCACGATGTGGCAGTCGCCAGGCATCACATCACGACGGAAAGCTAGTTCATCCATATCTGAATTTCACAGCCTATTTGTAACGACTCAAGTAGTTGATATCTCTGCCGCGTACTCTCCTTCAAGCCCGACACCGCGAGCTCAGTAATATTCCAATCATTCACTTCGGGACTGCGAGGAGGTGAACCCTGGGGGGAGCCACTGAGACAACAATCTCAAAGCTCACATGATAGCGGCGAAGTCACTGAGACTGACCTGAGCAAATCCCCTATATGGATGCTGCTACGTAGATGATGTTGCCGGACATTCCGAGCATCCGATGGATCACCTATAACGACGCAGTTTCGAGGGCTGCAAGTCGCGAGAACATACCATGTGTTTCGTCCCAGGCCACTTTGCTAGAGTTGTCCTCCATGAATAATCCCTCCCCGCTGAGCCTGTGAACAGAGAGCTCGGGACACTTTAGTAGAGAGAATAATATTTGAAGAGCTAACCTGTTCCTGGCAACTCCATTCGACTTCTCTTGGCCTGAGGAAACAAGATGTTGCACGAACTCTTTTGAGAGAACTTTCCCTATCTATTGCGAGAACGCCGATACAGGGATCGACTTGAACGCTACTGTTCCGTGATGCTGCATCGCCCTTATTTAGTGATCCTCAATATCAGTGAGTTGCAGGGATTTAAAAATGCCGCATGATCCGAGGCGACGTTTATGGAGGAGGTACAAACACGGGACCAAATGTGAATCGATCGTATTGCGTCTACGCCGTCGGAGTCTGACGGTTCGACGTTGGAGAAGAATCTTGGTTAAGAAGTTTCCACAGATGATCGCAGCAGTTGAGTTGAACAAAGCCACAATAATAGGCAGGGGAGCCCATCATGGAGACTCACCGAGGGAAGACCGAGTATCCTTGTCAGCGTCGTTCGACCCGATAATGCTGAAACCATAGCGAACCGATAACGATGTGAGCCGCTAGTCAGACGAAAACCGCACCTATCTGTGCTTTCCATCATCGAAGCGGCTTCACAACTCTGAGGCTTAGCCCGGTAAACTAAGCGAGGCGTGCGGGAGACCTTAGCAGCACAGTTGCGGAGAATTACGCTTATGGGAAGGCTCCTGTCCAACACAGTCCGGGGTAGGTCTACCGAATAGATCGGAATACATCCTGAGAAGAGACTCTCTCAACAACGACGCTTCGCCCCACATATTGTTGCGACGCTTATGTTCCGCGATAGAGTCGGCGGCTTGGGCCTCCGCCTGATCAGTCCGGCTGGCTTATGAAGAGGACATATGCTCTTACGGGGTTCCCTCGATGAACAGACTTTTGCGGCAGGTCCATCACGGAGGAATTTCTCTCTCGGTCGACCCTAGCGGCGACTGTCGAATCCTTATCCTTGTTGTTCTAATGAAGTCGTGTTACAACTCGCCTCGCTCAACACCATAATGAATATGCTTGTTATAATAAGGACGGCCGCGCTAGGCCTACCCCTTCTGCTACGCTGTACCAGGTCTCGTTGGCAGCCATTAGCCTGCCGGCGATTGCTGTTTCACGTGATGCGGCGGCCGCAGGTGTATTGTCTGAGAATTGCAGCAGCAAACTGTGGGATGATGTGCTCTAGACGGCGACAACCACTGACCTCTACCTCCGGGTATCACACCATCGCTGCGGAGGTGATACTGCAGTAGTCCAGCAGCGCCCCGCCTGAGAGTGCACTAGCGACTATCGCCGCACCCATACAATAGAGCGGGCAAATACATCAGTAACAGGTCAGGAGGGACGTTACTCAGCAAAAACATTTTGGGTGTCAGCATGTCCTCCATACGCAGCTTCAGGTCGATGAGCTATTGCATGGGCGTATGCTGCCGTGGCACTTTCAGAAGCCTGAATAAAGATGAAATGCCGAGAAATCAATCTGGCTTCGTCCTACCGCAAAACCGCTACCTCTGTACTCTTGGAGCTTCTTCTCGTGAGCACTAGCATATGGCTGACGAGGCCTGATGCCGATTTTAAAACCGGATGACTCCTGCAGGAGCTGCTCACACGAACTCCGGGAGTTCACTCTTTCGTGGGGGTATATTGGTCTCTTTATATTCACCAAAAAGCTGTGCTGTAGTCTGATCGGCGGGCCTCCCTGAATGAACTCTGTCTTTGGATATCCACTTCTCCTCCTCCTGCATACTGTTCAGAGAGGGGTTCTTAGACTTGTCCTCGACTGCTACAGCTCCGAAGAGATCCGACGAGAAAAACTGTCTATACCTGCCATATCAAGATAACAGTGAAAGGTACACGTGATATTCAATTTAGACGCTATCACTCACCTAGTCCTGGCGATATCCTGATGGCTATCAGTCATTGAGTAAGCAATAGCTGTTGCAAGCTGATGACATGTACGACACCATCTCAACCTTCGAATTGACCAACAAGACGCGAAGAGAGCTGGAAGCAGTGCTAATTGGATTGTGACCAGCAATAGATAAAAAATGATAATGTACCATGATGATAGGCTAGCTCAGGCTAGACTAGGGACTACGGCGGCCAGCAATCATCGCCCACTCCTCCTTAGCGTGCTTCAGACGATTCTCCATGACCCTACTCCATTCAGCACTCGTTCGTGTATGCAACGCCACCTCATGCTGACTCTTCCGGGCTGATGCTAGGTCTCGGAAGCGCGGCTTGGCAGTATATCTGAGACAACTGGAGGGAGGGGAGATAGGAACAGTCTCACCGGGCTGGTGACTTCGATGATCCTTCTTGAGGCCGCGACCTTAGAGCTACGACATGGGTATACTCCGACTTGCTGCTCTCTGAAAAGGCTGTTATTGAGAAGACATTCCTGGAGTAACTGACCAATCGTTGCAGGACTGTCGCTGGGCAGCGTAGCTCCGCTCGGTGATGGGGTCGGCTCTGTGGGCAAGTCATCTCCAGTTAGGAAGTCTGGAGACCCCATGGGCTCGCTGGGGGTAATAACCCCAGTCCTGAATAATGCGCGACTATGATTGGAGACAGCGCATGATGTGTGGGCATGCTTACGCTGGTCGCTCTTCCTTGCAAGCCTTACCGATCCGGCTCTCGTTCCAGCGAGGTGGAGGTGCATAACTCGATCTTAATTGCAGGTCGTGGGTCTAAGCACAATCATCACTGTCACAGTGATCACGTTACTCACTTCAAGAGGCACTTTAAGGGCATCAGGACTACGCCGACGGCCACCGTACCGGTGCTTGTCCGGCGGCTTGCATGAGGCCAGCACCAAGATACTGCTGTCGCTGCCATCTCGATCGGGGATGGATAAATTGCCACTCCCACCGTAGTTCTCCTTGTCATTTAAGTTCACAGCGCTCACAGGCTTACGCGGCTTCTCACTAGTCCCAACGCGGCGCGCATCACTTTCATACGATATAGGGCCCTCATACTTAGCAGTGTCAGGGGTGGCGACCACAATCCCTGCACTAAGCGAGGATTCCCTATGCAGATGTTGCTCGGTCTTCCCCAAGGTCGCTTCCCTCGATGAATCGTCTTCAGCAATAGTGTTGTGCGCCACACCACCTGGGGGGTTCTCTCTCTCTTCCCCCTCCACCTCGACCTTCACCCCATTACTGGGGTTAGCCTGGACATTTGTGCTACCCTTCATCTCGATCGATATCGAGGCACTCGACCGTCCAGAGCCGAACACTGGTGTAGCGCGGACCATATTAACATGAGCTGAGCGATCCTCAGAGCTGAGCAAAGACTCTCCCTCGGCAATCAGCGCCTCCAACGTAGATGAGCCCGAGCCCCGTCCGACCACTCCGAAATTAGCAGCCCAAGGATCTCCCAATGAGGACGAACGTGAGCCCGTATGAAGCGGGACATCCGAGATATCATCCGACTCTCGTAAAGTGCTGTCGTCGCTGAATTTGAAGGACGGCGTCTTCCTACCAGGATTCACCACGATTTTCTTGGGTGAATTAAAGCACAGAGAGCCGCCTCCAGCACCGTGAGTCTCAGCCTCCTCCGGTATCATCGATAGGGGGCCTCGGTCCAAGCCCTCCATCATCCCTGTACCACTCTGCGATACTGGCTCGCTATCCTTGGAGCCGATACATTCCGGATCAAAGGCCACAAGTTGGAGGCTGGCGACTTCATTCTGCTCTTTGATAGCTTCACTCTTTCCAATGCCTGGACTCTCCTCGAACTCCCCACTGCCTAGGAGGGATCGGCTCTCCTGCGTAGCCTTCTCATGTAGCGTCAGGAATCGAGAGGAAGATGGTATGGACATCTCCATCGCCCTTCGAGGAGCCACCACGGGTGCGTTGTGCCTTAATGGTGGCGATTCGTCTGGAGTAGCCCGTCGCCGAGCTGGCAGAGGCATTTCATCGTAATCAACGTCGTCGTCGTCGTCTTCTTTCGGCTATTCCTAAGGCTATCCGGGGAGTCTTCCCTTATACTGGCTGGAGTCCCCTCCTCAGAATCGTGACGACTCATCCTCCGAGAGCGACGGCGGCGGCGGCGACCCGATTCTGTTTGATTCTGCCGGTCATTCATCTCCTGTATACGAGCCATCAACTGCTCCAGCAACCGCTGCTGCGTGCGGGCCAAATTGCCGAGTTCCTCAACCTGCAAGACCCATCACCAGCACGCTCGTCCGAAGCACCACATACCTGCTTTTCCAGTCGCTCCTCCCTCTCCGTCTTCGCTGACGACTCCCCGCTGCCATCCTGTGGTGTCGTGTTGAGCAGCCCCGGAGCAGCACCAAGCAGAGCACGTCGTAGTACCTGATAGCCGAACGGTGGTTACTGCGAGCCGTCGGTGTTACCTCTAGCTCAGCCGTGTGCAGGAGAGCTATCTCCCCAGTGGAATTGAGACTAGTAGCAGCTGGCGAGGGTGCAGGCGCCTGCACGTTGATGACCAGGGGCTGTCCCGTCGGCAGCAACACGTTATTGGAGGATCCACAAGTTGGAGTGGACTTCGCCACAATATCCTCTCTCTTCGTCAGTTCCGTCTCTGAGGTCGCAGGTTCGATTCCTGGATCCGACACTTCCTCTACTGCAGGCGGCGATGGCTCGTTATGTCGTTCCTTCAGCTTCTTGCTATTGGCAATGAGAGTATCCTCTAAAAATCTCCTCCACTTTATCGTACTCGACTGAGGTCGGGCCTTCTGAAGCTGTCGTCGGAAGTGGTCCACTGAGAGGGAGGCCCCCTCGGGCCCTTGGAGGCTCCTCTCCTGTGCCGCTACGAGTAGCTCGAGCTCCGCAATGTCAACAATATCGTACATTCTGCGACGACAACTCCCAAGTTGGGAGTCCCAACCCTCAACCCTGTGTGACAACAAAAAGACATATTTGTGGAGGTTCTAAGTAGACACTTTAACTATATTCTACACTTGGCAGTTCTCTAGTAGCGTTATGAGTAATCGACCTCATCATCCAACGATAAAGCTCTCATCCGACCCTGACAGAAGCAAACACGTCTCCGGCGTTGGCCTCGACTATGTGCAAGCCTCTACCCGGGAACTGGATCGGCTGCCAGCAATGTACCGATCAGGAGGCGGCTCATTGACACTCTTTTCGCCATCACCAGAACGCACCAATGACACTCGTTGTGGAGTTGTTGCTGCGGCCTGAAGGGAGCGAGGGTCAGAGTGGTAATCCCAACATGACGATTGAGAGCTCGTCGATAGAGGAACAGTACCGTAAGGCACACTGCATTACCAACCTGCGACTGCTGACGTGCCATCCTTCGATCGCTTCGCTGTTGAGCACAGTCAAAGAGTCTCGTATGGGAGAGCCCAACCTACCCAACTACACTATGGGCATTGCCTTTCTGCTTCACACTATACCTTAGCGAGAGCCGTCACGAAGATGCGCACTTGTTTGTCACTGAAGCCTACTCCTTTGTCGGCTCCCTGAGGGGTGGCGTCGCCGCTTGTAGGGAAGGGGGAGGCGGAGACGTATTCTGACGGAGAGCTTATCATCGATCACAATGGAGATGGTCGGAACTCACCAGCGCACTTCTGGAACATCTGGCGGCAGGCCTGGGGTAATTGGCCAGGGTTCTGAAAATCAAGTGGTGACAGGAAGCAATGCTCTCCTACCCTCACCAGAGCTGCAGTGTCACCCCCAGTGGGCCCGTCACCTTTCCACCTAACCCGAGATATACCGGTGATTAGAGTACATAGCTCCGACGCTTTGAAGCTGCCGATCTGTGAGAAACCAGCTTTACATGAGGCCCGACTCTAAGCGTTACATTGTTTGTAGTGTACTCGCATACCATCAGGTAGAACTGCTCCGCCGAAGGGGCATGCAGACGTGATAGTGCCCTGAAGGCAGCAGGTCCCATCGACATCTTTAGATGCGGTTTACCCACCACACTAGAGTAGACATCTCCATTGGATGTAGTGGCATTCTATCAACAACTTCGACATCAGTAGAACCCGGAGGCTCGAGTACCACTGTCATCAATTCCTGACCTGACAGCAGTCACCTACTTATGATGCTTGGCCAAGACCGCGAGTAGTACATCGTTCAGCTACTGCAGCTAGCATACTCTCGCTACGGTAGCCGACAGATGCAAATGCCCACATTAGATTAGCCAAGTAAGCACCTAAGAGATTCTTGTCTGAGTATTGAGGACAAGTGGCCTACTACCAGAGAAGAGATGGGTTGTCACTTCGACAACCCTTGCTAAACGTTGAAAAAGTACCTGCCAGGAAATGTAAGGTCTTTGTACGTTCTCCCAGTCAAAGCTCACGTCCGAGCCGAAGCCCATCTTGGCGAGGGCCCATGCTATCGTGGAGATGTCAGCAGGCTCCAACTCCGATGACCGTGCCATGCACTCCTCTGATGACAATAGAGGATCGAAAAGCGACCAACTAAGGTGGACTCACCAGTGATACTAGTGAGCAGAGATGGACATAGGTACTCAGCCTTGCATATGCAACTGTAGAAGGGATGATGCCACTACTGTGGTGAGATGCGTAGCCCCACCGGCAAAGATTGGACAGGTCATCTCCTGTACACTCCCGTAAGCGAGACGATACTGCTACGGTCGACGCTGCCAGAATCTGAGCACTACTACAGTGCGACCGGCTTCTCAGCGAGCAAAGAAGCGAACACGCTGACTACCTGTCCGCAGTTGGTAGGGCTGGGTGATAGCTCCAGAACGCAATGTAGTGCCGATATGATCTGAAACGCTGACTACCAACAACCGAAGATACGTCGGTAGTGTTGTAGTATATGTTCCCAACTGAGTGCAGGAGTTCTCCAACTTATTAGAGAAGTTTGCATGCGAATTCAGGTAGGAGTGTACAGAGAGAACAACATTTCCTCGCTGTCACCAATACATGTAGTTGACCATGTGCATACTCTCCCACACTGTAAGTAGCTGATTTTCTTATTACCTCATCCGCTCGCCGAGGCTGCTGCCGGCGTTTGAGCAATTCACAACAGCGTTCTTCGAGCTTGGCAATTCTCGGGTCCTGCTGAGCCCATACTCTCATGTCAACCTCTTCATACTACCTCCCCGTTGCAGCCTAATCTAACTGCCTGCGCCAATGCTGTTGTTACTACCGTGAAATCCATTCTGAGATCATCCATAGAGTCCACCAGGCGACAGTAAAACACTTTACTTCTGTAGGTTAGCTTCCACTTCGGATAAGAGCTCTTCGGCGCTCCGTATGGAAAGTAGTATCGACTTAGGATAGACTGATCACAGCATACCGCACCGTCTCAATGCGCTGCTCTTCACCTGTCGGGCTTCCGTTGCTTCCCCTTCCCATAATACGTACGTATTCCTCAGATGATTCAGAGAACGCTCTGGCAAGAAAGTAGTCCTCAAAAAAGCGCGAATTCGCCGAATATATCGACACATTCGTAGACACGTTTCGGAAGCTCCAAAATTCCAAAAACTGATCCGAACGCAAATTACTGTTCTTGTTCTTCATCATACCAAGATTTCCTCCCACCGCCTCTCTCATCCTGATGAGGGACGAGAAGTGAGCACGTCATGTTCGAAGTTGATCCAGGTATTACCGAAGTCTTCTGCCTTGTCCGATGACCCCTATGGAGTTGTACTCCTTGCCTCTTGCTGCCATGACTATGCTGGTGCGCTTTTCTCTCACCTGTGACGCTTTCTATGACCGTTCGCTACAGAGTCGGCTCCCTCTACCCACCTCCACTGCTAGTATGCGCCGGCCTCAGACTCACTTCATGCAGATCGTCACCAATGGCAGCGCTCCTTGGTGATCTACTCCTCGGCCGATCCCGTTTCTGAGAGCATCGCAATTCTGAACATGCCGTTAGACATATTTCCTTATTCCTCCACTTACGCGAGTGCTGCCCGACTTTGGTAGAGAAGTCCGCCTGCTAGCTGACTGGGCCTCCGATGGGTGGATACTGCCCTACGTTAATAAGGCTGAACCAATAGAGCTATGAAGGGGCGCGAACCCCTACGTAGAAGCTTCGACCGGGCCTCATCCCCGCCGTTATATAAGGTGTTCCCTCAGGCAGATTCTGACAATAGCTCGCGCCCTCACGAACCTCTATTCCCGACCCAGTGTACTCCTAGTAATTCTACCTTGGCACCGGAACCATTCCGCGATGTCTTATCGTGTCGACCTTTGGGCGTCGTCGTGACGGTGGTCACAGCAGCTGGTCGTAGCTTGATGTTACCACTATTCTTCTCGGCAGGTCTTTGCTCTTGCCTCGGGCGGCGGACATCCGAGGGGAGGAGCTTCACTTGAGTCATCCTGGAAACTGTGGAAATATCAGATCGCATCTCAACGACCTAGTCGCTTCTCTCTTACTAATTACCATCACTGAACATTCCCGGGTGTAACTACTCAGAACATAACACCAATTCACTAATAGAGATGGTAACTGATCGACCACACAAATCAATCCGTATGTGGAGCCGATAAACTAGTGACAGCGCAAGATCGTCACAGGTAGCACCAACGGGCAGGGATCTATACACCCCTCCACATAACGTTCTTAGGATTCGATAACAATGGGAGGTTTTTCGACTCGTGTACAGCCACCACAACGAGTATCATCTTGCGGCTCAGGGAGGTATGTACTTATGCTTTACCTTATATGACCTCCAAGTTTCAGAGCCTAACTCTTCGTAGTTAGTGAGAAGTCGAAGACCGGTAAAACGTTTTCTCCACATATTCTTAGCATACACGTGT